TCCGTAAAAAGAAGTCATAAATTCTAGACCGTTTGTCTGCAGTAATCTGGAAGATAAAAAGATGCCTCAGAAAGAACGTTAACTTTGTTGTTTATTGATCCTTTACAGATACCGCACCCTGACAGAAATCCGCTATCAAGCCAGTGTACTACGATTTCACAATTCGGAAGGTCATGTGACTCATGTCGGTACAACTGACCTGAGAAAGTTTTCGAAATTAGAAGAAGTTCATTCTAATTCGCATCTAAACTGCGTACTGCTCTGAACGTTGAACGGATTGCACAGCGTATTCAACTAGTGCCAGCAATTTAGACCTTTCTCTACGATTGTCACCTGCTAAAGCAGTGGCTTTGTATGCATGCTAAATTTAATGGTTTATTTATTAATTTATATTACAAAGTACTTCGACCATATGAGCACCCGGAACCATGACGGCTCGAGCTCATTTAAATTTTCGAAATGGCTACGCGCGTGAGTACTCTCGCGCGTAGACCTGACCCTAAATTTTAATAAAAAATTTTTAGAAGAAAATTATAATGTAAATTATGTAATTATAAAATACACTATTTAGCATTTTTCACTTGGGAAGAACTGAAACATTTTTGTAGCTGGCTTTTGGATTTTTTCTTTGTTCGCGCTTCTCTGAAATCTGATGTTAATTGTACGGCAATCCGGTGCAAAATTTTGATGTCGCAAACACTAAAGTGTAAGTACTAAAGTTTGCGCTTGCAGGGGGAAGTGAAGAGTGGCTACGGATTGGATTTGCCAACGAAGTCAAAGCGCTGCGCGTATTCCTAGTGCGTCAAAGCGGAAATCTTGATCCATCCAAACTGCGGCGCTCATGCTGTCCCGAAGTGCGTTTCGCGTAATTTACAAAACGATCCATGAAACTGAACATTTACAACTAAAAAATGACAATTTAATTAATTTTAAACAGGAATATTTTAATTTAAAATTTTCGTATCGTTTAGATTGGAATTTTCAATTTTTCAGAAAAAGTACGTCAGATGCCGCCACCGAGGACATTCCAGTCATGATCTTCCCGAACTGCGAACTTGCGACGGATGGTCCACCAGGGCGAGCTGTCCATTGACAGTGTGGATACTTTCTGTGAGAAAAATGTCTTCTACGTGGAACAAACCCGGCGTATTCTGGAGAAAGTTCGCTCTCTGGGTTTTCACGGGAATTTCCATGCGGAAGAGCTGTCGTATGTGGGCGGTACCGAGGTAACGCAGATCGTTGTTGGCCTTTATATTTTTGTACAAACATCTTCCCCAGTGCGGTCTCGAAGTTGCGCTTTAACGGTCAATTAAGTATTGGATCAGCACCCATAATTTAAATCAATTTTGATGAATAATTTGTACGTAATTCTGTCGAACTGTTTCTGATATATTTTCGTGAGTAAGCAATCGGTCAACTGCATACTGTATAGTGTGAATGATGCAACGGGCCGTCACTGCAACCAAAATTATTTGGTTTTCTCTTCGCCCTTTTAACTTGCTAAAGTCACAGTAAAAATTTTACAAAATTCCGTTTCTTTTATTATGCGAAAAAATGTACGGTGTAATTTTGTTATCTTTGCGCTTTACTTTTACTACATCAGTTGGCTGTCAACAATCAATCGTTTACCCGTTTTGTGCCACTATACTACGCTAGCGATTCATTCAGCTTTTTTGACTACTTACCGGTCTGGTCGTGCGATATGGTACAGTAAGTAAAACTGGTCAAAAGCAAATTAATTTTTGGCTTTTACCACCCCAACCAATCGACAACCGATTTTAAAAAATTAAAAGAAAATTAATCAAAAGATGAAAAAGCGCTGCTCTTTGTTGAATCCCATCAAAAATTGCGAAATTAGCTTGTAGTAATTAGTAACAACGGTGCCACACAGCTCTCCTTTACAGTTACCTGGGTTTAAAAATTCGACAGACCCTTTTCCGGCTTTCGCAGAAGGGCGTGGCAGAGGGTGCGCGAGTAATTTTCCACAGCTGAAGCACAGTTATTGTGTTATACAGCCAATTGTGATGCATCTGGCGGCCGTGACCTTTCAGATGTCCGTCCCGGAAGTGTTCATTGCTTCGACGTAGAATGCTGCCGCTTCGCCGGGGCTGTCGCACACGCACGGCTCTCTGGAGACCGAAAAATGTGCCGATTTGATGCTGATCCGGGCGCCGCGATGGGGGCACTTGGTGTTGGGCAATGCCAATCTGATTCACGCTGTTATCGAAATCGGCAGTATTGTTTATGGACGTTAATTGCTTGTTTATCCAGTAATTGCTTGATTTATCCTAATTGCAATATATAATCTGGAACAGAAAAAAAATTTCAAAATATTCTTTAACTTTCCAATTACTGCAAATCTGCAATGCATTTCAGCTTGCTATTACGTACAAGTACTTCGCAACGTAAGATGCACAATACGAAGTTGAAAACCCACCAACACGCCGCAGTACTACGATATGCCACAATTCGGTAGGCCATGTCGGTACAACCCGGTACAACATATGTACATTGGTTTAAGTCGCGCACGAAGAAATTCTTAAAGAGCAAATTCCGTTTCACGAACTCGTTATCCAGCACATCGGTTAAAAATTCCTTGTGGGGTACTTCACCGGCAATGTAGTGACAGATCCCGTCGTTGCGCAGGGCGATACCCATAAAATGCTGCACACCACCCTGAGTCAGCGGTTTGATCTGTATTCGATACATTTTCATCCAGTTTGTTCCCTCCACTCACCAACCAGCAATATAACAAGAAAATTAATCGACGGAAAAATTCGTGCTTTAATAACTAACAGCAACATATTAACTTTTTCGGGGTAAATACTGCATCTACATAATTACTGTATATAAACCATTAAGTTAAAACTATCAAAAAGAGCAGGTTTATATACGTAGGTACGGATTTCTTGCAAAACTTCGCCGCACAGCTTCAGCAGAATGAGTACTAAATTTTAAATACAACGGAGACTGCGAGTGCCGTATACAATCAGTCCGGGATCCTTCTCGATTTATTGGGAAGCCTGTTCCGAAATATATATGCCTAGTACACTCCAAGCTGTGATAAAACAAGGTCTTGTAGTGACCCGTCCCGACATACGTGTAGTTAACGTTTTATTAATATTAATACTTTAGGTCCTCTCATTAATTTTTATTTTTGTTATTTTTATATATTTTTTACTATAAGTATGCTCATTTTCAAATGCGTAATTTTTATTTATCTATACTCTCGTGTTTGTTTAACAATACATCAACGTTTGCTCGTATTCGTTTTTTATTGTTTTTCAACGATACTTTTTGTATTGTTGAAAAGATGGATTTTCCACTTTCTAATCCAATTCGCGGCAAAGGACTTTTCAATCAATTTTTTAAGCCTTTTTTAAAACATTTAATGTCCTCATTATTTTCGGTTACAGCCGATTGTGATGCATCTGGCGACCGTGACCTTTCCCATGTCCCTTTCGGAAGCGCTCATTGCATTAACGCTGAATGCTGCCGCTTCCTTGGGGCTCTCGTACACGCACGGATGCCTTGAAACCGGGAAATGTGCCGATTTATTGCGATACTAGGAAGGGAATTTATATACAGTATGATCTGCGTTTAAATTAATTTGTAACAAAGCTTGTTATATGTATGACCGAAAGCTTTCGACCGGTTATTAGCGTTGCGGCAGCAGTTAACATAGAACTGTGGCACTTTCCGAGTGGGTGAGAACCGAGCGTTGTGCCGTCGAAATTTTGATTACATACAAATGTGATACAATGTATTATGGTTTATTTTTGCTATTTACTACGAACAGTTTTACATTATCAGTTTTGCTTTGTGATATTGCTAATTTGCTATATGACTGCTGCAAATATAGTCAGCTGTATTCTTATTCTGTCGTTATTACTAGAGTAGTAATACTGCAGTGTACGTACACTTTTTTTATTAATTGTATCGTTTACTATTTATTGCCAGTTTGATCTTATTGTGTTATAACTTACACGGCCATTGTTACCATACATCAGCGGCAATTCATCCCGGTGCACAAAACGCATACTCAGCATAGTCCAGGCCGGTACAGAAACAGCGACAGCAGCAAAACAATTTGTCTCACTGTCAGTCCTCACTTCAGCGCGTGAAGAAAATTGTATCCATCGTCTAAAACACTCTAGCAAAACTGTACTCAAGGGGTTAGCACTCCCCCCGCCCCCCAGTGCTAACCCCTTGAGTACAGTTTTGACTCTAGTGACAAGCCTCTGCAAACTTTGTGAAAAGCTAAGTTTGACAAACAAAAGTTTGGGCTGACAATGACCTTTATATATTCCTTATTGGCAAAATCATTACTTACTGTACCGATCGTTGTATGGCGGATACGGTTTAATTACGAGTCCTCCCTGACCTGCATCGCAAACATTAAAGACACCGCATCCCCAGATTAGCAGGAACTTGCACGTTATCAGCTCAATAATCTTTTTTCCCATACGTCCGTAATTCATGATTTTTGAATCATTTTTCGCCTTAAGTGCAACATATTTTCTTGTTACGAAATGAAAACAACCTTTAGTGTAACAGCAGCAGAATTTCAATTAGCTTTATCTGTGTGCGGCATTTCTTCTGTTGCAGGTCTTCTGAAACTGACTTTCGCTAAAGCAGACACCTGGAAATCTTCGCAACTCTATGGTGGTAAACATTGTGTAACTCGTCATACCAGTAGTTTTCAGAATAATAATAACTACCGAGTGCATGTGTCAATTTACTATTGTAGTACGTCGTTGTCAACTTGGTTTTCTATTATTGTAGGTGTTACCGTACTGCTAGGATTAGTTTTTACACTGTTTTTAAGCCGGTACAGTTTTGGTTGTTCGTTTTCATCTGCTACCGTATGATTTTATTCACTTCAGTGTTACTTGTTCAAATGTTTTCTTCATTCATCAATGCCAACAATACAACGCGAGAAACTTGTACGTATTTAACATACAAGCAGATACATTATCACGACTAAGTACTGTAGGTGACTAATGCAGCGATTTCCGGCTACTGCTTGTCAGCAACCAGTGCGTGGTCATCAGTCCTTTGCCCTGCAACCCAAAAAACTGAATTAATTTTGGAATATTTTGACTTAATGCAGCACACGCTGCAAAATAAAAGTAAAACACGGTGCACACCAGACGCTGACCTTCACTTCCACTTGACCGCGCTCCACCAGGATGAAGCCGCCGATCCCTTCCAAAAGGTCACGTGTATCCTGTGTCACTTGGATTTTCATAGCTGAAACATCGGTATTCTATTACCGGTATGTTGTTCTAATCGCATCGATAGTTCATGTCCAAAGTATTCAGAGAATAAAAATTAAAAACGGTAAAAATGCAACCGAAATCTGTGAATTTTCAGTCTGTAAAACCGAATCATTTTTAGTAGTGACCGCGAAGCGTTGTTGTTATGTTGGTGGCTGTTGCCGAATAAATATTTCAAACCAAAATTATACAATCAAATAAAATATTTGAAATATAATGCAAGGCAAAAAAACATTTATTAGTAAAAAAAAACCTACCTTCACCAGTGGATTCCATGCGCGAGGCAACGTTGACAGTGTCTCCAAATCTAGACGGCAAAAATATAAAAAAATTATCCAGCACAAATGGTGTACTATAACAAATTTATTCTGATGTTTTCTACCATATTTTGATTACGAGTTAAGTCGGTCACCAGAAAATGGCCGCCACTATACTACGAGTATGCACATTAAACACTCACTGAACGAATCACCGTAAGACATCTTTTTTGTGCCTTCTGTTGTTCTGTGCATTGAGATACGAGTACAATATCGGTGCCAATGTATAGCGAAAAGCGACCCAGAAATCACTTGTTTAATTTTTACCAAACATCTAATGGTAATGCCAAAAATGTTATTTCTTGATAAAAGTTTTGCTGTTAACTCCAAAATTTCTGATGCCAGTTCCGTACTTGTCTTTAAATTTCTACGCAAATCTGGTGATCTGTCCAAAATGTGTACATTAACACAAATTTGTTTTTGTTCGACCAGACTCGAAGTCCCTTTGGGATTGTCTGCATTTGTGCCATGATATTAATAATAAATTTTAAATGTTAATAGCCACGTTTATTGAATCAAATATCCGAATAGTTCCACTTGTGGCACAGAAGTATTTACATTTAGCAGACAAATAAACGAATAAATATAACTTTTAGGAAAAGATCGTAAATATCTGGATACGCATCTTCAGATGCCTCTCAGATTGGCGTTTAATTCCCGATAGTCTACACAACCAAAAGCCTCTACACTACATCTGCACCTTCCGATGGTACACTGCACGAACGCACTGTTTGACATAACATTTGACACAAGTGGCGCATCTACTTACAGGCAGTATCGCGGCATTTTCAGCCCGACAATCCCGGCAACGCAGGGACCTATAGGGAATTAGGGAAACAAATTCAGTGTGATGTGTTGTATTATTGGATATATCGCTAGTATCGTGCACAGTTTACCGGAATTGATGCCGGCGCGGATTTCGATGCGCTCATCCGGTCGATGCGGGACGACAAACTGCGAAATCTTCCCCACCAGCTCCAGCGTCATCTCGGCGATCTCCACGGCGTGCCGGTTACCGTTTCTTACCGGCAGTCCGGAGGAAACCTGTATAACAAGGGCACCGTCTCTGGTTAAAAATATTGGACAAAATTTCCGAAAAGGTTAATTACAATCTTTCGCTGCCTTCTAGTTTTTCAGTTTCAAGCGATATTAGTTATTGCCTGAGAAAATCTTTATACAAAATTTACTACAAAAACATGAATGATCAAAATTAAATAGAAAAAGTTAAAATAAATGCGTTCTTGAAAGGTTTGCGCGTTTTTAATTCGCTATGCGCAAGTTGCTCAAACGTAAGAGTATGTCGTTAGTGACGGGTTACCATATACGCATCGCCGATGGTTTCCACTTTGTACACGTCAAACTTCTCCATAATGTTGTCAAAGAATGTGTACAATCCGTTAAGCAGAACGACCACATCCATGGGCGTGCCCTTGGCCGCTAATGTGGTGAAGCCGACAATATCGCTGAAAAAGATCGTCACGCATTCGAACGCTTCCGGATCGGCATGGATACCCTTCATCAACTGCTTGGCAATGGCTCTGTAACCAACATCAGCGTATCAAAAATGCGATAAATATACCGAAAATTGCAAAATTAACGCCACTAATAATAATTTTTTCAAAATTCAAAAAGAACAGTTTCATAATAGTATACCGTTATTAAGCCGCAAACATTACTAACGGTCTACCATTATTTGCTTTATTATGTCTTCGTGTTTAGTCCGTAAAGGCGCTATCGACTTATCGGTGATGTAAATTGTATACTAACACCACTGATTTGAATAACTGGGTCCTTACGCCCTTCTGTTAGGGTCACTAATGGTAAGACTCGCTATGATCTGATAGTCCTGTAACCCATTTTTCTCCATTGCATATTCAGTTAACCAAATTTTCTACTGTACTGTACTTATGTCCTTAGATTCTGGCTACTTGCTTTGATTTACGTTATCAGTAATTATTCCGCGTGGAGAATGTGCGGTACGACCGTACGAGTGCAAATGTACGATCTGAAAGTTGAACCGGAGACTACATCAATATCGATATGGCTATCGTAGACTAGTGGCTCTCTGTGTACGGTGCGAATTTAAAGAGTAGGATTTCGTCAATGCGACTGAAGTTATTAAATGCACGAAATCAAGGCCAGTTTGACCATTAGAATTTTGAAAATTATTTTGGTTAAAATGTACTTATCGAAGCACTGAGGCTACTTTTAAGTTGATAATGATTCATTTCGGTTCTATCTCCGTCGTTGTGATTACTTAGGCAGCAGTTGGTTGAGCAATTCCTCGGAGCGGTTCTTCTCGTCGAGAAACTGCTGCGTCTGATCGGCCACCTTCTGCTCGAGATCCGTGGCGTACTGCTCCATCCGCTGCAGCAACACATCCACGATGTTGTCGCCGATGTTGCCCACCAGTTTGCGCAGTTTCTCCCGCATTTTCTGGAAGGTCGGCCGGGCCAGCGGCGCCTCATCCCAACAGCGCTCCATTAACTCGTACAGCTCGTTCGAGCAGGCCGAGCGGGGCACACGCGGCCGCACCGGGGGAATATTATTGGCGATGATCTGCAAAATGCAGCATATCACTGCAAAAGAATATCGACAGAAATGTTGCGCAAAAAAAACAGAAATTTTCTACCGTTTATCAGCTATCAGTTATGCCGACTAAATTGCAAAATCAAGAAAATAATTATAAATCTATAAAAAGAAAATATTTCTAAAAATTTAAAATAATAATTTTGGCGTCAATAGAAAAATTTTTTGTTTCGGCAAAATTTTAAGAAAAACCAACATTTTAAGGAAAGAATTTTGAAAATAAACGTAAGGCTGTATTTCAGCCAAAAAAATCACCTCGTGCAGGATTTCTTCATCTGACAGCTCCAAATTATCATCGGGCATCCTGTAAGGTCCACTGCGCAGAATAATCTGCTGCAGGATAATGGCGAAGCTATAGACGTCGCCTTTCTGCAAGCAAACCATCATAAAGCCTTTCCAAACGTTAAGTTGTCATGATACCGGCTGCGACTACCTGGCTGCCTCGCAATGGCATCGTATGGCGCAGGAATTCCGGCGCCCGCCAGAAGTACTTCCCCAACGACTGGTTATTGGCTAGTTCCAAACGGGGCGGAGAGTAGTCGCTGGCGCCGCGGAAGTAAGTCAAACCGTACTCGGAGATCTTCAGGCTGAAGCGGGCGTCAATCAGGCACGAGCAGGAAGACAGGAAACCATGCGACGACACCGGTGTGGAATGAAGGTAGGCCATGCCCTTTGAAAACAGTCTTTTTGAGGGTTTTGATTCGCAAAATTCTAACAGTATTCTGCATGCAACCGATGGAATCATTGGCTAAAAATAATTCCGAGTCACTGCTGTTTTTTTTGGAAAAGAAACGAAAACCACATTTGAAAGTTTTACCACTTGTAATTTTTTACCGGACACATACTGCACAGAAAACAAACCCTAACAGGTACTAAGCCACATTTCTGCGATATCACTCTTAACCACCAGAACTCTGATTCAGAAAGCAACTTACGTAGGTAAGTACATAATACGAGCAACGGCACCGTCCCGCTTTTTGCTATATTTAACCCGGGATCATCACATGCTAATGAAAATTCTCTTAATGCAATGTCAACGGAATCCATCGCTCGTAGCTTTTTTATATTATGTGGCGCTTTCAGTGCCGTTAACATCTGGAGCAGAAATGAATCGTAATTGCCGACGACAGCTTCCGCCAGTTATCTCCCACTATTCGACATAAAATTGCAGAAGAAATGTTTCTTTTAAAAAGCCAGAAAATCCTAAGACTGCTTTTTTACAGTAATCCCGGACAGGTTAAAAATATCGAATTTGACATTAGCTGACAGTGTCAGCCTGACACTGACAGTATTTGTTAACATATCTTTAGCTACTTGTGATCACGGAAAGAAACGCAGCCAGCAAGCCATCATGCTACGATAAGACATGTCACCTAGCGTACATTGACAATGAGGAAGTGTACATGCCACCCACGTACATTGATTAAGTCGCGCACGAGGGAATTCTTGAAGAACCAGTCCAGCTTAACGAATTCGTTCTCCAGCACATCGGTTAATGATCCCTTGCGGCACACTTCCCCGGCGACGTAATGACAGATCCCGTCGTTGCGCATGACGATACCCACAAAATGCTGCAGATTACCGTGATCCAGCGGTTTGATCTGAATCAATAAATTTCATTAAATTTCACGCAGCAAAATTCTAAAACCAGCAACCACACCAACCAGCAAAATTCTAAAAACAATGATGTAGAAGTTTGGAACTTAAAAGTAACACTGAGTGACCTTTCTTCGGTTGAATACACAAACCGGAGCGACTAACCAGTACACACTGGCAAGCTCCAAATTTTCTTTTGGGAGATAATTATTATAATTATGAATTATTACTAATTGCATATTACAAAGTAATAACAGAAAGCAGAAAGAAAAAAGAGCGTATAATCACTGCTTTTACATTACTCACAGACCACAGTCACGTGCACAGGTGCACTGTAATATGCACTTATTTCATTTTGTTTGATTCTAGCATGGACACGCCCTATTGAGCTCTGCAGATGACCTTTGCAGGTGGAAATGTTTTTGAAGTACACTATGTTGGTAGTCTTAACTCTGTGCATAAAAACGCATCTTTTGGAATTCGAAGTTTGTCTATGTCCACTGTCCTGCATGATAAGTAAAAATTCGCTAGACAAGATCGATTTATATACGTACATCAAATACATAGGCCTTACGGCTAGAATACTTCGCCGTACAGCTTCGCAGTACAAAAGCGTACGCACCATGAAGACTCCGAATACCTACTTTGGCAGAGGCTTACCAGGTGGGCTTCCTCGACCAGCTCCTGTTTGGCGTACTTCATGGCGGCGGACACATCCACCAGCGACAGGACACCCCCGTCGTAGGTGGCCGTCAGGAGGTTGGCGACGTAGGGTGAGGACTGGGGAGTGCGCTTATTGAGACTGACGCCGCCGTTGGACGATGCCTGCAAGGACGGAAGGGTAGTGGAGGAGCGCGCTACTCCTAGCCCGGCTACAACGACACACCACACCCAACAGTGAATCAGTTCACCTTCAGCTCGCCAATCCGCGAGGAGCAGCTAGCAGCGCCACCTGTGTGCACGGTTATCTCGTCCTCTGGGATGCGCCACCAATAAGGATCGAACTGGGCCCGTAGCTGCCTGTGGGAAGAGTGCAGCCAGGTAAAGGGAAAAATTCCAACTCTTGTTTATTTTTGATGCCAGTGAATGGTCAAGGCAAAGACAAAAAATGCCTTCAGTCAAGCAATGTTATAAAAATGCCAAAAATTATATATACGCAACTGACACCGCTGAAGGCAGTTAGCTATGTATGGCTTCATCGTTCCATTCTATCTCAGGTTGGTCCATTACACTACAATATTTATTGAGGTAATGTTGTTCTACAAAGGAATCAGACGAAATACCGGGCTCAGTTTATTTACAACGCTGTTCATTGGTGTAAGTACCTTAATTTGATGAGGACAATGGCAACGCCGATCCCGATCGCGATGACGGTCAGAAAGGGCACCACGATAGCAGCCGACAGGACACCGGGCGACAGCGTACTCTGGCATTTATCCCCGTGAAAACCGCACAGCGGTTCATCGGGCGGCAGTTTGCCGTTGTCACTCGGCCAGGCAATGTCCTGTACGTACTGGAATTTCGACACGTTGCCGCGCTGATGCTGCAGATATTGCAGAAAAACCTACAAGAAACTCACGCCTTAGCTAAGAAAGTTTTGAAATTTCCTTAAAAATGACGATTAAATTACGGTCGATTAAAAAACTGTGCAGATTCCCAAGTGTTCGTACAAGTTATAACTACTGTATGTTATATACATCTATATAACAGCATTCTTGGTCAAGATCATGACATCGCTTATCATTTGACGCCTAGCAAAGCCACCCCACTACGATCTGTCCGTTAGGGTAACGGAATACAAACCAATACAGCCTGTAGAAAAACTGTAAATTGTTTCAGTTTTGAATAATTTTAATTAGTTTCCATCAGCGCAGGCAGAGTTATGCGATCTGGATCAACTGGCTACTGCGAAATACAGCATATATTTTTTAAAAAGTAAATTTGCTTAAAAGTGACGGTAAAACGGCTTTCATGCAATTACATACAGAAATCAAATACTTTTTACAAAAAGTAAAGCGATCTTACGTTCTTATAATTATGTCATAATAGTAACAGCCATTTCGATCAAAATCTTTCGCTACCCCACTCCTTCGCAGCGTAAAGCCACCGCACTACAATCTGTCTTTCTTTCAAAAAGTATGAGTACACGAGAATATCTATCTCTAATAAACATGTCATAATCTGTTATTGATTTTTCGACTTAGTTAATCGCATGATGTCGATACGATAAATCAATGATATCAAACACTTATACGAGAAATCTATCTCCAATAATTTTTTTACCATTATTATTATGGTAAATTCGATTATGCCCGCTCCTTAGTCCTTACCATAATTAAATAATTATTTTTATCGCAGTACTGGATTTACTCTTACAAAGAACTTTAAATACCGGCATTTACCTCAAACCCGCCGGTGCGCGGATTGAAATGTTTTATGTTCATATTGCGGTCGCGTTCCCCATCGGCGCCGATCCACATGCGTGCGCCCTTGAAGACTTCGTAGGATGAGTTGAGGACGGTGCCGGCGATGAGCATCCCGTCGGTGTAGTTGGCGCCTGAACGCGACAGATTGGCCACGATACTGGCGTACATCATGATGGACTCGTACAGCGACGACACCGTCGGGTCAATCTAACAACCCATACATGGCAGTTTAGTGAGAGCTGTCCACAAGACATCAGATCTGCTACAGACATTCCGGGATCAAACAGAAACTGATTTTAAGATGAGATGCTGAGATTTCTTCTAATTTATTGTTTTCCAAATTCAATTTCATTCGTGAGGATTTTCTTTGTACACCTACATACGCACATCACCGCGATTACTGGTCGATAATACTACTCTGTCCGATTTATCAAACCTACTTTTAATAAAATTAGAATAAACCCTTCCAACCGTGGCATTTGCAGAATCTGTATGGGATCCCGTAGGCACGTATGTATTTGTTGGTTTTTTAGTTCAGTAATGTGTATTCATTTTTTACAGCTCTACAGTTCCAGAACATACGATGATTTTGTTGCGTATAAAAAATAATTCCATAGAACCAAATTCAGCGATACGCTTTCTAAATAAGATTCACGTAAGTTATGGCAAATAAGAGTAAGCACTCGCATGCATCAATTTGCTGCCATTATTCTACAACTTATATTACGTACTGGTACGTTATCCACCGGCATGAAGGCGTTGGAAAAATATGTACTGCCACAACAGCGGTTACTTACTCATTTTTAAATTTTTTTTCAAGAAGAACTTGTAAACATTCTGACATTATAATGTAATTCAGAAGACTCATTGTAAACAGACAACAATCAGCGTGAAGTGAGCACAGGTAATTACCGGTTCCAGCGCATCGAAAGTGTAGTTGAAAGTGCGGCGCGCCAGTGCCTTGACTTCCCGCTCGAATTTCTGCATGTAATGCAGGCTTTCCACTTCTTCGCGCAGCTCCACGATCAGTAAGCACTGATAGGCCAGCAGAGCAACCTATCGAATAAAAAGAACTAATGCAACCAATAACATTACCGAAACAACATAACATAACCGAACATAACATAACAACGTAACATTACCGAATATGTAAAACGAATAATCGAGTAAAACGTACATTACCGAGTACGTAAAGAACGAATACAGGATAAACTTTTTTAATCCACACAACGCGAGAAACATTCGCAAATTAAAATGAATCGCATTAACAAATCGTATAAACAGCAAAACTTTTAATCCAAATTAACCATTTTTAACTGAAACAGCAATAAAAACTGAGAGTTAGGCAGCTGCATCTATGGGTTTGCTGTGCATTTACCTCCACCACTGCTAGAGCCACTACACTACAAACAACTACACCCATTCTCATGTAGCTGTTGCTGCAGAATATGTAGAAGTCACCGAACACTAGCGAGTATATCTCCTAAGCAGCAATAAATCCTACATAACAACACACAAACAGATACAGTTCGGGTAGAAACTCCGTACATACTCCAACCGAAATAACTATAATAAATTACAACACTGTAATGCCGCATACATCATTACCGGGTCATTGCGATCCTGATTGAAGGGCGTGATGATGCCCCAGTAATCCAGATGGTACAACTGCACCGCCAGGAACACCTTCACAAACAAAACAGTCCCTATTCTAATCAAAGACTACAGCTCTGTACGGTTCAACAAAGCATACATACATGATAGCCCTTGGTGTAACCTAGTTGACTGGCGGAAATCTACAGACAAAAGTATGGAAAAGGTCAAGAAAATCCCCATCAACCATACGCCGAACTAACGAAAATCCCCGGCTGATTAAATCCAACCTCGTACCATGATGTCGCGGATGCCCAGAGCATGGACCAGCAGAACAAACACTGAACAACAACAACAAAGAAGATGCACAACATGACGAGCAAAATTTTGAAATTTTGGGTTAAAAGAGAATCAGAGCGTACCCCGCGAGCGCTCATTAGCGGCGCGCAGCATCGGCTTGTACTTCTCCACCGTCATGTTCTTACTGCGGATGTGCGTCACCACGGTGTTGGAGAAGAACAGTGGTCGGCGGGCTTGTAAAAGGGAGAGGATGGGGTTGACCATGGCGCTGAAGAAGGAATAGGAGTCATCCTGTTTTAAATAATTTTTGTCATTAATTGGTTTGAAAATAATCCAATTCCAGTCCATGGAACTGTTGGATTGTGCAAATAACGAGACTCTTGTCTGAATTATAATATTATCGCTGATCTGAGATTCAGAAGGCCGAGAAATTAGATAAAAATTCGAAAACATGTATTTCAATTCACCGGCGAAATGACATAACAAAAAGTCAAAAATAAAAAAATCGCGTGGAAAAAAAAGTTAAAATAATGAACTTCTATTAAAAAATAAAGATTTAAAACTGCCAATGATTGTAGAACGTTTTTTGTTTATTTATTCAGCCATAATGATACTACCATCAAACGTGCATCAACATAATCTTTTTAATTAAAATATTTCAATTCAACATTGAAATTAATTTAAATTTACTGCAGATTTAAAGGATCTAAAATAATTTACTAAAATATAATTTTGGAAAACATCAGGTTGAATACTGCCGGTGTCGGTTCACCTGGAAGACAGAAAGATGCCGGTAACCAAAGCGGTCCAGAAAGTAGACAAGAAAATCAGTAAGGTCACTGAAGCCGAAAGCCGGTCGGATTAGCAGGGGATAATCGGAGAAATCCGAGTCGACCTGCAGTGACCAGACACCGGCCGCCGGTGAGCCGAAAATGGGCACGTTCAACGAGGAGGCAAATCCGTACACGGCGGCGGCGGTGTAGGCGCAACCTACACATATCGCAGAATGGGATAAAATACTGTGGACAACAAAACCGTTTAAATTTAATCATTTCCGGTATTCCCTTATTGCACACAGCATAAGCCCCAACGCGGCGAAAAAATTCCAGTCTACGAACACATTTAAAAATATTACGAAGATCTTTTTGAGAAGTGCTGTCTACTCTTGTTCTTGTTCGCATTTCGGTAGTTCCCTTATGTAAAAAAGTGAAGCCGCCTTTTCTAGCCATAGTTCTACGATACCCCAACTAGTACAACTTACAATCAGATAAATTTAAACGAAACGGGACATTTCCATGCAGTTGCATTTGAAAGAATTCAACAGAAAATTATTATATGCACAAAAGCAGCAAACAATCGATAAAAAACTGTCACTGTCACAATAATCATCAGTCATGTGACGACAGTACAGCCGAGTTTCAATCTCTATTCCGTTCTACGTGGAGTATTTTGATCAAAACAGCAAATTCTCTTGAAAATTCGTACAATGGTGTTATATTCTTAACTGCAGAAGTGCGTGAATACAGGCTGGCATTATGACTTTGATGTGGCTAAACCACAATTCTACGATAACCGTTCAAAAATTGTGTACACAATTAGGAATCCAGAAGCGAAACCATGTTAACACTCAACATCGCCATTAAAGCAATGCGTACGACATTTGCACAAGCTTTGAAAAAATTTTGCTAATACTTTTACATGAAAGCATGTTATTACGGAAATATCTCGTGCATAGCAGCACTGCATAAATGATCTATTATTTGTAGGTGTACTCGAAGGAAATGAGTACACTCAAAGCCCCTATTCTACGAACATCGCTCATATTTAGTGTTAAGGACACAGCCTGCATCTTTGCCACTTACTCTAGCCAGCGCCCGTCGCAAGGTCATAATACTGCTAAACTAACTGTTAGTTACATAATATTATTATCGTTCGCTACAATAAAATCAGCGTAAAAAAATCCACTGAAACACTTACACTAATAATAATACACACACTATTTATTACACTTACTGGGACCGACAAAGGCGCTGCACGTGGCGCCGGTGTTGAGGAGATGGTAGATCTGCTTGACCACCGAGTACATGGTGTGGCCGCAGGACGGCCCGGTACTCTGGTACAGCACATCCATGTGCACGCCCTCGGGTAGGACAAACGCGTTGGCATTATGCACCCCCAACTGCACGGCGGCGGAGGCGCGCTGCAGCGTGGAGAAGTAGGAGTCATCCTCCCAGATGAAACACACGGTCAGATTCCGTCCGCTGACCACTGCCATCCCCAATAAAAAAATCACATCACCCAACCACATGTTTAAAAAAAAGGGAACAGGTCCGGGATGAAAAGGAAAACGCTGGCAACTGAGCCTTATAAATTCGGGAGCAACTAACGGGAACTGGTAGGGATGACCACCGAGATTGTCACAGCACGCAGCAGCATTTTTTTCCAAAAAAGGGAACAGGTTTGGGATAAAAAGGAAACACTGGCAAATGCATCCTTTAAATTCGGGATGAACTAAAGGGATTTGCTAGGGAAGACCGTTCGCATTTCGCCCGGGGCGCCGAACAAGCATCCGCTTAATGAGGAGCCACAAGAGATGCAGTTTTGTTCACTGTACTGGTGTTTCATGCATCTGCATTCCGCCACAAAGCGGAATCGATAGGCGTGCTCGCGGGTATTAATTAGTCTGACTGGGCTACCCGGTAGCATCTTATTTTCCGTTCTCCAGTTCACCTGGAATGCGCCGCTTCGCAAACTCGGCCAGCTCCAGTTTCCAAGAAATGCCAATCACTTAAATTTCTAAACGACAACGTTTCCGATTTTGTTCGAATTTTAAAATAAATTCCCGGGCACGGATGACGCAGGTGGCAGAAACCCGGAAGGACTTCAATGCAGCGGATGCGGAACGTTGTTTAGAGTTATCGGTAATTGTTTACGTGATATGCATCTCTTATATATACGTAATATGCACAATGATTTGTTATTTCTTGGGTCAGTGCTTGACTGGATTTTTCGAGGTTATTGTATTGCATGCAGATCGAACTAAATATGGAACAAACAGAAGTGCCGAAAACAAACAGAATAATATAACGAAATTATTGGAAAATCAAAAATTAAATTTCGGAATAACTGCACAAATTAATGATAATCATACAACTAATCACGAGAAAAAAGTAAAAAAATATATTCGTACTCCAAAAATCGTACAGCACTAAAAATTTGTTTCAGGAAAACCGACGATATCGGCCCGACAAAATTAAATAAATAAAATAACAAACAAGAATTTATTTTCGAATGATGACGCAAATAATTATCGCAAATTATTTGTACTGTAGTCACACTGAAAATGAAAAATATTCCCAGAAATGTTAATGAAGTAATTTCTTTTTTTAAAAACCGACAAACTATCGTGAGCGGAATTAGTAACCGTACGTGCGCTTTACTGAATTTGTTCTACAACCTTTAGTCACTTTTTTCAAACTCCCAGAAACTAACATGTAAAAAAACCGACCGACGATAAAAAAACAAATAAAACCCGAAAAATCTAACCGGCCCCAATTATTTCTTCTTGTCCTCCATCTTCTCGGTGCGATCATCCAGGATGCACACGGGGTTGCTCTGCACCATCTGCAGGTCGACTTTATGGCCGACCAGATCGCGGATGTTGTCGATGCCGTACTTGATCATGGTGGGCCGTTCCAGCGACAGTCCCCAGGCGATCACCGACACATTCTCCGGCAGCCCCATCGGCAGCAGCATCTCCGGCCGGAAGACACCCGAGTTGCCCACCTCCACCCACTTCGCCAGGCCTACAACACGCGCACACACCTGATTAAACGGTAATCAATGACAGACACTGACCTTTAGCGACAAGAAAATCTTTCTACAGTCGACACTGATAAAAACAGCCCGCACGACAGAAAGGAGCTGCTTTGTAAAACTGAAATTCACATTTTATTACAGAACACTCTTCAGCGTTTTTGGCGATTGCAATTTTGTATTTTCTGCTTTTAGGACTTTTTCAACTGCCCGTGCAAAAAAACATATACTGACATAAAAAAAATTTCTGCATACAAAATTTTCACATAAGAAAACTCGCCCCAAACACGAACAAGCGCTACTGCACTGGACGAATGCAATCAGTTACAGAGAAAGCAAAACTGCGGAACATACGTATCTTACAGATGCATGAAAAATCGATATCCAATGATTCGAATAAAAAAAATTCTAAAGAAATATCTGCATTAGGAAATTAATTTAGGAAAGTCGCATTTATCTATCATGTATCGGTTGCACCAAAGAGATACCACCCGAAATAGATTTATAGCCTCAACACTACGCCAACTATTCAGTGACACACCAAGAAAGACATTCAAAAAAATTATAAATTTTTTAATAAATTAAACCAGATTTCCTAACAGTTAATACATTCAAGCATTTTTAACGTACCGGCATGGTAGCTGAAGATTTCCATGCTGGGCTCCGTGTAGGGATTGTATGCCGGTTTGAAGCGCAGCTGGGTGATGCCCAGTTTCTTGAAGAATTCACTGAGGACGCCCTTCAAATGCCCCAACGACAGATCGTAGTCCGCCACCACGCCCTCGATCTGGTGGAACTCGGCCAGATGCGTGGCGTCCAGATTCTCGTTGCGGAAGACCCGGTCGATGCTGAAGTATTTTGCTGGTTTGAAGCCCTAACAACAGCAAATTATTTGCCATAAACTTTCAGAACATAAAATTAATGCGCTAAAATGCACTGTTTCTCATCGCCCGACTTTTCTCAGTTAGAAATACATAAAATTTCGATTAACGGGCTTACTACTGCTATTCACAAACTCGTTTCCGAGGTAAATTCAAATAAAATCAATTTAAATAAAAAAATGAAATTTGAACCATAAACAACTATGTCTTCCATTTTTTTCCCGTTCGCATTTAAACGTCGAAATTTGTCAGACAAATGCTTCCTGGGTCCTACCCTTACAATAGCTAATAACATAAGAATGTACTATTATTTGAAAACTGATTTGTTTTCATTTTAAATCCTGCGCGCCTTGCGAAAAACAGCTCGCTTTTCAAAATCGATAATTTTTAATGCGATTACGGAACCAACTAGAAGATGAGGAAGTTAGAGCCTAAATTAGCGCACCTTGAGGGCCAGTCGGCGCAGCATGCGGGCGCTGACGGCGGTGGTGTGGGTGCGGAGGATGTTGCGCTTCGTCTCCGTGTCATCCCACTCGTAGTTGTAACCGGCTGAGTTGAAGGCGCCCTGCGAGTGCACCTGCTTCACCAGGTCGACGTAGCGCTGACTGGGCAGCCGGATGGTTTCTTTGGGATCTGCAGAATAATTATTCTTCCGCTCATTCAACGGAACAGTACAGTAGCAAACGATAAAATTCACCCGATTAAACACGTCGACGAGAGCACTCGACACGGATATCATATGCATACCGGCGTTAAAAAAAAGTCACATAATCATCAGAATAAAAATCAAAAAGTGAGTAACATCAAATCGCGTCACGTTAGCTGTAATACGAAAGTTACAGTATACCGGATGGCATAACATCTGACGTTTCCAGTATTAAGCCATTACTCTACGTCAGCTGCTATTGCCAACTAGTATTCCATATTATACAGCCTACGAGCTGAATCTCAAAAATATCAATAAGAAAATATCTAGGCTTATTACAGTGTAAGGAACGTTTATTTTGATTCAGTATAAGTATGCTACAAATATTATTGTTCAAAGAAACCTTTTGAAATTTAAAACATTTTTGAAATATTTTTATTTAATACAACTACCGAATCTGGAATTATTCACTTGCCGTGGAGAATGCGACATTAGCGAAATGTTATTAAAAATTTAAAAAAAAACCGCCTCGGCTTGTGATAATAGCGAAACGCCAGCAAGAGACAAAAAAAAACAGAAAATAGTTGGTACCTGAAACAAAAAAGGTATCCTGGACATCGCGAGCCGGATGCTGCTGCGGCACGAAAAGGGCATCGAAATTCCAGAAAGAGTTCTCCACAAAATTATTCGTCGGCATTTCTTCGAAGCTAGAAAATTGGCACCGTTGTACAACCGAAAAAATTTTTGTTTAACGAATATTTTTATTCATTAAGTTTTTTAATTTCAGCAACCCAGTGAACCCGACGATGTTTCGTCATATGAGTACAGCTTATAATTAAATTCTGAAAAGGCCGAAAGGAGGACAAAAACTTTTAACATATGTTTAATTATTACAGCATTCGATATACGTTAAACGTATTATGTTAAACTTAAGAGCATCATTCCGGGTTTTATAAGCATTCGTTAGGCCACTGCTCTACGACATACCCCATCTCCAAGAAAATCTGTCGGAACTCAGTGCGGACTTTGAGTAATGGATGGAAATAGCCGGCCGACGGCGGCACGCCCAGCGCATCAAAATTGTACTCTTTAAAGCGCTTTTCCTTCCAGGCATTTCTGTAAATACAAAAAATCAGAATCCCTCTGTCGCATATAATTTTTGGGAATATTTTCTCCGTACTTTAATTCATATCAATACCAAAAATAATGTTCGTCTGAAATATCTACACACTGCCAGCCTGATATGCACACACCCGGTTATTATTGCAAAGGCTATCATTTACGGTCAGTTATTGTAGAACAACGGCACCAGAGTCCCAGTATCGCACCAACTACGGAACATCCGGCTGCACATTCTAAGTTCTCGCAAGCAAAGTTCAGATTTTTATAGCTAATTGTACGTATTTTTACGTATTAAAAAACGTACGTTTATTTATTATTTTTACGTGTTTACGTTTCGTACGTGTTTTTACGTTTTTACGTATTTTTACGTTTTTACGTATTGTACGTTTTTTACGTATTTTTTTGTATGTATTTTTACGTATTTTAATTGGGCTAAATCGCCGCGACGGGTTATACAATAATTATAATACCTCAATAATCAATATAAGTATATTTAAAATCATTATGGAATATATTTTTCAGCATGTAATTAAATCTTCTTATTACGGAAAAATTTCTTTATCATGGGAAATAATAATGCAGAGAAAATATGACGAAATAAACTGCGTCAAGAATTATAGAAAAAATTCTCTAATGTTAATATCCTACTTGGCCAGCATATCCACAGTTAAATCGGTCTCCGCCTTGCTGATCGACGTGGCGAAATTCGGTCCTTTGGAGACCAATAAACTCTTGAGAATCCTGCGAACGGCAGAAAATGCAACGCCACAAATTCACAATAAATCACCAGAACATGAACACTGTATTTACTGTTCTTGGGCCAGTTTCCGCTTCTTTACATCGGCCTTGACGGGATCGGGGACACCGAGGAAATCACCGGCTTCCAGTTTCTGGATGATCTCGCGCACTTCATCTTTGATATCGCTGGCAGGCTTTTTGGCGCGAATTATCGGACCGCCGGTTGCTTTCTTGTCGATCTCAATCCACTGCTGCTCCAGCGCTTTGTTGACACCAATTTGGCCGTATTGGAATGATTTCTGCGGAAATTCATATAATTATCACTAACCAAATTGCATGTTAATTTTATTGTTCACAAGGACAAATCATAATCACTGCATTTCAATAAGAGGTTGCCTAAAAACCGCCATTAATAATACAGTCATATTACCCTACCAAAATTTAAATTAAAGAACAAAATAAAATTGTCAAGAACGTTTTTCAAAATTCTGAATTTTCAAAATTCCATTATTGTATTTTCATAAAAACTTCACGTTAACTAAAATAAGCGACAGTTAAATAAAGGTCTTTTTAAAAAAAATTCGGAACACGTTCCAACAAAATACGAATCTTAAATTGTTGCCGGTTACTATATTTTGTGAAATTGGAGACATTTTATCCCGATAAAAGTTTGTACTGATAATCAAAATAAGTCACTACACTACGACCAACGACATAATGTGTCTAACTGCAGCAAAATACCAGGCAATGCGCAGACATACAATGTATATGCACGAAACGAAACAGAAGATAAAAATAATACTGCAATGAAAACCATTTAACTTTCTTCAAATCTCCAAATCAGCGCGTAAACATGGAGACAAATCTTTTAATAAACTGGAAACCAATTAAAAAACACCAAGATCATAAATAGACCAAACCGAAAAAAGTCGATCTGCAAATCCCATGACTAACTGTAAGATGCAGTAAATCCCAAGTAAAAAAATAACGCAGAAATAATGCGCATTTATGCAAAGTAAGTTCTTATGTTGAAAACGGATAAAACATGATATTCGTTAAAAATGTTTTCAATATGTTCGAGAAATCAAAAACATCTGTAGATTTTCAAAGGCCAATTAAATTACGAAATTGCATTTTACCGTGCCTTTAATAAAAAAAAATAAAAGTTATTAAATTGCCTTTTAAATTACTAAATTAAATTAATAAATGCAGTCAAATTAATAAATTAATTACAGAATCGCCGCAGTTTGTTTACAATTAAAACAGTAACGAATACCATTGCGAAGGGTACGAAAAAACTCCCAATAAAAATTAAGCAGAATCCCCGCAGAACGCCGTCACTCCACATCAGTGCTACAAGACGAACATACATACCTTGATTTCATCGAGTTTCTGCCCCTCGGCAGGAACCATCTGCAGGACACGGTACTCATGACTGCCCTTGGTGGCGATCTCCTTGCCTTCGGGCGTCAGCACCCACAGCGTGCGCGACTCCGGTTCGGCCTCGATCAGGCCCGGGATGCCCTGGAGGCTCTTGATGGCGCCGATGATCTTCTGGTGATCCTGATGCAATTTCTCCGCCAACTGCAGCGAACTCACGGGCTGCTCGTGCTTGGCGACGGCTTCCAAAATATCCTGCCCCAATTCAGCCATTTTACACGATCAGTATTGGCTCTGTTAAATTCGTAGGATTAAAAACAGGATAAAGGAATTTTTCTGGATGGTCTGGCAAAAATTCAATCGAGGAAAAAACTGAGAAACCGAAAAAATTGTTGTGGTTTCAAATTGTCTCTGTATTTGATAATTTGAATTTTGATATTTCACTGCGCATCCGCGTTTCATCATCTACTGCACGTAGCGAGGCGAGGTGATAAACGAAGTGGTGAGAAGTACCGGAGCATCGGGCCCCTTCACTACGCTGTTTAGTGCATAAAGCTCAGTCTGCGATTACTTATATTGCAAGAGTTTCGAGTTAAACCTGATTTTTGAGGTGCGTATGAGCGTATCCTTTGTTGGTCGCGGGAACTCTTGCCACCGTTGTTGCCCGTGCTCCCCTGAAAATACTCCAGCATTTTTGTTATTCCTTATCTCGTTATGGCAGCTGTTAATGGGACGTCTTCTCCAGTCAAAAGCACATCCGTAAGAACGCCTTCAACTTCAAAATCTGATCTGCCTTTGTGCCAGCTGTTGCTGTTATTTACCGCTGGTGCGGTCATTTCGCTGTTCAGACCGCTCAACCACGCAGCGTTCTTACGGATTATGTCATCATATGCGTCATGTTGTTTTTTGTCTTCATCGATTGTCTTTACTCTTTGCTGAAAAAAGTTTGATCTGGTTGTTTTGTCTCTAGGCGGAGAAGCGCGCCGTTCACAATGCTCTGGAACGGAAGCGTCGCGATCACATTAAGGATATGTTCAGCCAGCTGAAGGATTCCGTGCCGAATCTGTCCGGGGAAAAGGTTAATAAAGTGCGTCATGCCCTGCTGCGTCCCTCGTGTGTGCTGCGTTGTCGACGGTGTTTCGGGTGTTCGTTGGCGTTTTGATGACTGACGCGTGGGCTACTGTTTTGCAGGCATCACGGGCGCAGATCCTGAAGAAAGCCTGCGACTACATCCAGCTCATGAGGAGGAAGAACACCTCGGCTACGAAAGATCTGGATATGTTGACGCAGCAAATCACGCGGACGAAGAAGCAAAGTGAGTACTTGTGTCGCCTCTTAATGAGTCTTAACAGAAAGATAAATTAAATGAACTAATACTGCGATAAATCCCCCCGAAATTTAAATAAGTTGAAACTTAAAATGTAAAAGTTTTGTATCGCAATACGCATAATCGTATTATTCTTATGTCGATGTTTTTAAATATAGGTGGGGTGACACCGTGACGGCGATCACGTTTTTGTTGGATTTTTTCCGTTTTTGTTTTATGGCTCTTTCGGAAAGGGTTTTGTTTTTTTTTGTTTTATTTTGAACGCACAGTGTAAGCAGTGATTTAGGTGCCATACTTTTTTATAAAAAAACCAAATTATTGCTGGTATCAAATTTCTATTCGTCATTCTGGTGGGTTTTGAAATTGGGAGTCAGCAAAAACGTAAAGTACGGTACAGATACGAGTACGCAAAGGAAAGTCGAATAATGAATTTTTTTGTTATTTTCGGGAATTGCATTTCTTGAGTGCTTGTGTCAGAGTTAGAGGTACATAATTTAATAAAATAAGTTACGTTTGAATGGTAATATGCTTGCTACTGAATTTGATTGATTTGATTGTTATTAAGTAATTTTTATTTATTTTTATTTTGTTATCGGATAACTCTGATGACTGATTTTCTACGCCTAATAAATTGGGTTATATCTGTACATGCGTTTTAAATTAATACACTGTCCCCAGTTTGTAGGTTGTGAATAGGTATCGCGTGTGCATTTTTATTGGTTTAAATAGGCTAACTGGCTATTGCCTAATATATAAATGTTAGATATTAAAATGTTATGTACTGCCTATATCTATACTTATTACAGACTAAAGGTTACTTATGGTTACTTATTACAGACTATCTATACTTATTACTTCTATAACATACTGAAGTATACAGTATTACGCTGTGATTTTCCAACAAATTAACGCGCGGTTTACTTGGTTGATTCGTGGATAATAGATTGAAATCGTAGTGGTGTGGCACAGTAGCGTTGGCGGTTATGGGTAATGTATGCCGATCGGTGGCATGATATCGTGGTATTGTAATTGTGCACTGCACGCGGAAAATAAATTTCTCGATAAAATATTTTTATAAAAAAACTGTTGACAAAAAACTAGGCGTGCATGTTGCCGCGACACTGTAGCGATGTCTAAAATACCGTCCGCAGGTTTTAATATCAGTCGCTGTCAGTTGCACTTATTACACATTTTTCCAGTCGCTAAACTGGAGAGCGTCCGCAACACCACCCGCTACGTCTCCGGCCTGTCCCCGCCGGAATCCCACGTCCTGCCGGCGCCATCCCCCAGCGAGCCGCCGCAACACTTCAACCTGGCCCCGGCGCACTCCCTGTCGACCATTCCCACCCTGACCCTGCCGCCCCAGGGGTACGGGACGGCGCCGCTGCTGGACAGCTACCGCATGATCAACACTCGCCTGCCCAGTCTCTTCGTGGCCGACCGCGGCCTCCATGGCAGTCCGCTAATGGCGGCGCGCGGCGGTATGATGGAGACGGCGGGCGAGGGGATTCCCGTGACGGCTAACATGGAGCGAATCTGAGAAATTCATTAAAAAATACATAAAAAATGGAAAAGGGATTTTGGTCGGAATTTTTTGGGTTTTATTGTGGTAGCTGTTGGTTTGGTCCTATCCAGAGAGTTTTTATCTTGTTTTTTGTTTAAGAATGTGTCTTGGGGTTTTAGTTATGTTTTTTCATCCGCTTTTCCGGTGGTTGATGCGATTTTGTGTCCACTGTTTTATTTTGAAGAGGTTTTATCTTTTGTTGTTTTTGTTTTTGGGCCGCGTCTATGGGCCGCGTCTATGGGCCGCTGCAGACGTCGTGTTTTTCGTATTTATACACGATATTAGCGTGGTACTGAAGAACGTGAAGATGTGTGTTATTGAGAACGGGTAAACGGCGATAAAGCACGTACGGATCGCGTCAAGTGCCTTGATTTCTCGTCAACACTACCCGGTGCTGTCTATCGATTAATGCAGCAGCTTTAATTTTTAATCCAATGCTTTTTGAGTGAAAGAAATCAGGGACTGTATATACGGAAAAAAATGCAGTTAATTCGGTTTCTGTCGCTATTTTTCGTAATGATCAGTTTCGGAATGGATTCGCACGCGGAAACCGTATTTCCAACGGTTATGTCAGCTGTGAACGGGATGGATGTGAGTTTGGTGTGTAAAGTGCCCGATCATATGGAGAAGCGTATGCTCATCTGGTTTAAGAACGGGACTTTCCCGATTTCCGTGGGAACAACACGGACCCATAGTGATCTGCGTTACCGGTTGGTCGAGTCGATAACGGAACTGGTATTGAAGATAACAGCGGTTACCGTGAAGGACTCCGGAAATTACAGCTGTTACAGTTTAATGGACTCCAGAGATTTGGCGTTTTTCATGGTTACGGTCACCAGTCAGGATGGCTTATCTTGTGAGGATAGTGCCACGTGCGGTGATACTGGAATGGACGATGCAGCGGATGCAATTAATGTAAAGAAAGAAATTACACTCGCTTCGCTCGCTCGTTATGTGTGGTAGACTGCTCATTCCCAGCTTTATTTCAGCCCGTCTTCGCTTTAATGTTTAGTGCCAGATTTACAAAATGTATTAACGAACGGGCTTAACTGATTTTAGTGTCCTGTATCACTGAGATACCGTGACACAGTACACTTTGGTCTGTTTTGTAGTTGCTGAGTTCTAATGAAGCCTGGACCATAGGATACAATATGGCGGTGCGTTTTGCAGCCGTCGGCGTTGCTGTCGCCATCGTTACCCTACTGGTGATTCTCGCGGCCGTTTACTGCCGGAAAGAACGTGCCCAGAAAGCCCGTCCGTGTCCTCAAAACGAGGAAGGATCCGCCTGAAGAAAATGCCGTTAGTTCTTGACAAGTAATCGAAATTTCATGTGTGCATTCATCCCTCTTTCGGCCGGCCTCTTGCAATGGTGGTCTGTTATTAGCATCTACTGTTTAATATTGATGTAGCGAAGTGGTGGATGATCTATCTATACACATTACTGATACTTACTATATAAATGTTTAAAATCCTGGTTCATGTTTATTTGAATAACTGCTGTAAAGGCACAGTAAATAAATCAACGGAACTGAAAATGTCGTTAGGCACTGTCCGCAGTATACTTTTGTAATAAACCGGCCCGAACCCTGTTCAGGGTTCATTCTTCACTGCTATGATTCAAATAGGTTCACTCTTCACTACTATATCTAGAATTATTCTAGAAATTCATGAGAAGGGAAACCAGCCGGTGAAGTAGACACAAATTCATAACGCGATGGAATGATTCATCATAACTGGGCGGTCTTACCGTTCGTACAAATAAGTACTATCGCTACAATAGTTAGTCGGTGCACTTCGTTACACTAGCAGTGTCTGAACTCTGAACCGCAGTGACGCAGTCGCAAAAATACAAACGTACTCGTATTTTAAAATTTCTTTTTGCGGTTCTTGAAACTCATGAGATCGCTGATCGCCAACCATCGAAATGACATTCATGAGATCGCCAGTGTTTATTATTGTGGACTGCTGAATGCGGGAATATTGTACTTGTTTTAATTTAATGCCAGTTTAATTTGTGACGTTCGAAGTGAAAGGAACCTAATCTGCATGATTTTATCGTGATCGGTTGATTTAGCAAATTTTTCGGAATATTTGTGATTTGTTTCTGGCAGTAACTATTAAGGTGTGCTCGCTGGCTGTGCGAAGTCGCGAAGACTTCGCATTCCCGCCATTCCGGTCAGTTTCTGACCGTCGCATGCATCTGCGACCGTAACAACGATGTTCTAGGTGGAGTAAGATTGGTTTGGCTTCTTATATTTTCTGTGTAGTGCTTTTCTTCTACGCTTTAGACATTTAGGATTGTGTTTCCAGCACCGATGGCATCACATCCTGAACTGTTAACCTGCTGTGTCAATTTCAGGTTGCTGGCTCTCGCACCCTGTTGATGACTGACATTCCACATGGCAGAGAACAACCGATATGGAAGCTCTGCGTCCACAGTTCCGTACCAGGTGAAGCAGCTGGCCAGAATGGTGGTGCACGGATTCTACGGCCAAGAGCACGGCGTAATTGCGGATATTCTCTGCAGCCTGTCGGTGGTTGAAGAAGACGTCCTGTGCGATCTTAGCCGATCTAGTCAAGCTGGACAAGAAGCAGTTACGACAGTTGCTGGCTGTTCTGAAGGCTGATCAGATTGTTAAAACGAAGATGGGTGTGGAAACGGGCGAGGACGGGAAGAGTTTGCGTTGTACTTACTATTTCATCGACTATCCTTCCTTGCTCAATATGGTGAAGTACAAACTGGAGCTGATCCGCAAGAAAGTGGAGACGCAAGAGCGTAATACAGCCAACCGGGAATCCTTTAAATGTAAAGACTGTGAGAAGACTTTCTCGGATTTGCATCAGGTCGGTACATTATGATGGTCTTTACGCAAATATTTATAAGTAACTAATAAACAGTAATAAATAAGACTAGTATTAATAGTAAGTTTTAAAACAGACTAATAAATAGTAAATAATACCAATAGGTCGTAAGATTTTGTCTGCCTCTGAAGTCTGAAATAGTGCTGTAAGCGCCTTTGAAAATTTATGGGGAGTTATTTTTGATTTGCAGGTTTTGGATCCCTTTTCAATGAGCTTCAAATGCACTTTCTGTGGTGGAGAAGTGGATGAAGAGATGGTTCCCGCACAAGAATCCCGAGTTGTGATGATGACTCATTTCAACGAGTCCACTAGTGCCTTATTTGATCTCATACACGAAATCGACAGCCTCAATCTCACCCCTGCCGAACTACAAGCGGACATGGCGCAGTCGATGGTCAGTGCGGCCAAGGCTGCAGCCAAACCCGGGGCGGCCGGCTCGTGGAGCGACGATACCAAGAGCACTGAGTACAATTACGTTCCTACCCAGGATATCACCGTTACGATCGGAGAGACCGAGAGCAAGGGCCAGAAGGCCAAAGAACGTCCGGTATGGCTGACGGAGAGCACCGTCTTCGCCGGAGAGGTGGCTACCTCGGAGATAGATGTCAAAGACCAACCGGAAGCGATTATGAAATATGACGAAGTCATGTTAGCGCTGATGCGGCACGAATCCCACGTGTACGAGGAAGATAAGCGACCCGAGCCGGCATCGGAAGACGAGTTGGAGGATGTGCAAGATATAGGCTTCAAGTGAACTACGAGTGATTTGCCATTCGAAACGCGACAACCCAGTGACGGATCAGTAGGCCTGACGCCAAAGGCATTAAAGTTTATCCGAAATTCGATGCATTTTCTTCGAGGATCACCAAATAACTAAGATTCGATTACATGCTATTAAAATAAAGATAGATTTTGTGATGGGATGGATTTGCTCACCGGTTGACCACTCGCATAATTCAGAATTTTTAGTGCTACTTACTCTTTCCCTGGGGCGACTATAGTTGTTCGGTTTTCGGTTTAGTAGAAGCCAGACGGATTGGCTAAGTTAAGGTGGGCCAGGTCCATAGATTACTATGTTATAAAACGTTTTTTGAAGGCAACCATGGCTCCCTGGTAGAAAGGGCGTCGCCTACGCAGCCTTTCCTACTTCGGACGTGGCCTTCGGTAATCCCGAATTAGTTCGCGCAGTCGTCTGCGTTTTCGGGTACCTCCTGTTTACTTCCTCAATACAAGTGGTCATTGAGCAATAGTCAAATTTGTCAGAACCATTTTTGATACTGCAGCCCGTAGGAATAAATCAAAAACAGTGATGTTGTCTTGACATTGCCGTGATCGTCTCATTATGCCATTATGTTATGTCTTTCAAAAGAATAAAGTCAAACAGATTTTCCCTCAGAATCGTGACTTAACGACTTGCAAGCTGGTCACAAACAACAAAATTCCCGCCACGGTCAGAGCGACGAAGAGCGCCCAGTTGTAGCGTCGCCAGCTAGTCACACCGTTGCACAGATTGGACGTGCACATGCACACCCTCACGCCCGATTCTAGTCGGCACTCATGGGCCAGACTGCTGGGTATCCCGCAGTCCCGGATCACTTTGCCGTCCACATCGGCTTTGATGCAGGAATGCACGTCGCCCTGGGTCGAAGCGCACTCGGTCTCCATGTCCTTCGTCACCGTGTCGCACGCCGTACCACTACGACACTTGTAGCAACTGAAGCCTCCAACACCTGCAACGGCTGTTAAAGGTCATAGCACTGCGAAGCTCTTATAAATTTATAAATAAAAACTCCCATAAATCTTAGCATTCACAGTGAAATGAAAAAGATGGGTCTGGAAAAGCTGTGTTCTTAAAAAGAGTCATAAACATTTAACGCAATTTGCTTGCGAATTTCACGGATGATAGCTCACCAGTGCATAAGAATATAACCAAATGAATCAGTGCTAAACAAGTTGGACCTTGCATCTGCAGAAGGTAATTGCCATCAACATTGTCAGATCTCAACGTTTTAAAAAAGTCTAGAATTACTATTTATTGATAATTATTCGGAATACTGCTATCTGCCTAGCCTTCTTTAAACTGACTAGGTGCTACAGCGAGACCTTTGATACAGCGCTTGTCACACTGCAAACTTCAGCAAAAGCGAACCCTTAGCAACATCCAGCTACTGTGCGTTTATGCAATAGCATCTAATGGATAAATGCTTCCTGCAGTTGTTTTCAAAAGAACGGCACTGAAAGAAAAACGAGTGGAGTGGAAAACGAGTTATTGAACCTAGGTCATCAGTGAATAACCACGAGTACTTTTCAAATACAATTATACAAATACGTTCGTACAAATGCTTTCTTAAATCGTGAGAGAAGAAGAGTGCTGCTGGCCTTCCGCAATGCCATGTATGATGCAGGGGCCGTCCTTTTACCGGTTTTGGACTGGAAAGCTCACAAAATACACTGTTCCCCCGGAAGTTAACAAAAACGTAGCGCATCCTACCGATTAAGTTTGAAATACATTTCGCATTTCCAATACATAGCTCCCTCTATCACTGTAATAATAATGACAGAAAACAAGGCCGAACCCACGAAATCGTGGGTTTGTAAATGTAAGTTAGAAGTTTCTGAGTTTTCTCTACTCTACAACATTAGCTGTGCAAGTTTTGTACAGGAAAATATCCGACTTTCCCTTCACACCGGCCATGACTAATAAGGGTCAAGGCGTATTACCAGGAAAGCAACCGTAACATTGATTTGGTGCATCACAACAAAAACAGCGAAGTACGGTAAATTTCCTTGAACACAACTTGCACAGCTAATGTTGTAGAGCAGAGAAAACTCAGAAAGTTATGGCGCTGTTTAATATTCAGAATTTCAGATACTGTAATTAATTACAGTATGTGAAATTCTGAACAACAGCGCCATATTCCGATAACGGAGACCTGATTTATACAATGAACCCCTAATGAGGAACCGCTGGAAACCACGCATCTTTAAAACCAGAGATTAGACCCATTTCCGGTTATTGAAGAGAACAGTATTTGTTAGGGGAGGCAACATTCAGACTATTTCCCTGGAGCATTGGATTCTGCCATGACTTCAACATTTTCTGTAAACTTTCCTTTGCATCAGCTTATATTCCACTGCAGCTATCGTACTTACAATTAATTATAAGCATTATAATTAAGTGCTGCATGGCCACAGAACTAAGCGCTATACGTACAGGACGTACAGAACTATGTGCTATAGTAAGTCGACGCAGTTGCCTTGGTTTGTACACTAGAAGTCGGAAGAGGATCGAACCGGTCAAAGCTGAATAACGATGGGAGTGACCAACTTAAGCTCCTCTCTGCAACTTGCGTTATGTGCATGCCATGGTTACAGCCTAATACGAGTACAAACTGCGCATCCGGTAACAAAGAAGGTACGGTAGCAAGCGCTAACTGGGCGGTAAAGTCAATTTTATTAAATATGAATTTCTTTAAAGGCTCTAAAATCTAGTGTCCTATTATAAAGAAACTGTTTGTTGTCTGCCTCAGCTACTAAACGTATAAGCCGGTTTCCTTTGCCATCACTTCAAGAAGACACGATGACATCGTTGTACTATCGCAAGCTGTTTACAGGCGCACGCGAAATCAATTACGGGAACACAGTACTGGTGCAGCGCGATAACGGCCAATGGTGGCTGGGATACGTACAAGACATTGACGGCGATAACTACTTCATTGACTTCGATGCCAGCACAATCAACGCCCAGTGGATCCACACTAGACATCTCTGGCCGCATCCCTTCCTCTCCTCAATGGCATCATATGAAGGCGAGTCTATCCAGGTGGCGTTAAGGCATTCCCCAGGAGCACCCATGGTTTTCCGCCCGGGCTTTGTTATCGATGAGCGGACCATTGGCCTTTTTATCTTCGTAAGTGTGGACGAGCAAAATCCTGGCGAAAACTCGACGCACATAGTACCGGCAGCGCACTGCGTCGAAAATCTACCGCCGTCTGACGATGGTGGTAGTTTCTTTGCGCGATCTACCGGTTACCTGTATAAGAAATATGTCGTCGGGTTTCGTGAAGCGCATTTGTTGTCGGACGTGGATTTCCTGCCGTCGTTCCTAGCCCATACGTGCGACTTGTCGCTGCAACGCGGCTGTGATGAGTGTAATACGAATTGCCGCTTTGAAAGAACGGTTTTTATGGAGAGAAGCGATTTTCTGTGGCGTGGTTTACGCCCGAAGAAATATTCGTTTGATGCGGGTTGCCGGGTGTTTGTGCGACTGGGATTCGATACGGTCACTTTCGTTTGTGCTGAAGTCTACGGTAGTGCAGCTGGTCACAACATGTTCTGGACTGAAAATTCCTTGAAAAAAGCATGTGAAAACTATCTCATTGAGAAACAACGGGGAGAATCTGTTAACATGGACACGACTCCGTGGAGCGCGCTGCAGCATGGTCAGTGTTTCAGTGCTATAGGTGGCTGACGATGTAATGATTTCCTATCGCTGCACTGCATCAGTCTGTTTTGATTCTATGATTGCATTAGATGTTACTTAGTTCCTTACTCAACATTGTTTACTTCGTTAAATATCGAACTAAACGTGTTGATCCTATTATATTGCTTCACATCTAGAATGCGTCCTTATAGCAACTTGAACTCCGTAACGTTGAACTCAAACAAAATACTTCGCACTTGTAGAAATATAAGAATATAATGTTTTGCTAAGCTAAATATTCTGCAGATGCTGAGGATTTGTCCATCAACGAGCTACCACACCCGATCGTAACATGCATCCTGCTTTACTTGGATGTGGATTCCCAAGCGCAAGCTAGCCGGTACGTTTCAGTTGGCTCTTTTTCGTATTAATCACATCTTTTTAGGTTTGTCTAATTTGGTTGCGCCCGCATTCTAATCGGCTGCTCTGCATTGATTGTTCTAATCACCGAATACTACTAATACACTACAGCGAATTTGATGGTATTTTATTTTCCATTAATCAGCGTATGCGTTCTATGGAGAATGATCTCCAGGAAATACGTGACCAACCGGAACATCCTCTTCGATTTATGCGCGCACTGCGATAGGCAGCCGCGAGACGACAACTCGTCCGGGAAATATAATGAATATCTCACATACAAACTGGTCACCCTGCTGGACAGCCTGGCTCCTGGACTAACACAGACGCTGGCGCTGAAGGAAGGCGAGAACCAGTGTCATGCTGACGCCGATCTCCAAGGACGAATGCACATAACCAAATCCGTGCTCGCCACTAAAAATATCCGTCTGCCTTTGATTATCGTGAAGAACGGCCACGATTCCCATGGTTCGCCAGTGCCTTTCTTATGCATTTCCCGTAATCGCGACAGCGGTATCTTGGAGTGGGAATCGCTGTCCGAGATGCAGTCCGTTTGTGAGGAACTGGTGCTGATCGACTACCATGCGGGAGAAGCAATCATGGGAACTGTGTGTGGGAGATTTTATATCTCGATACAGCATCAGCTTTGCCGAAGTCGGAGACAAAGTTTATGCGAAGCCTTGTGGCGGCCCGTTGTGATATCATTATTCCGCTGATGCGCTTTCGCTTCACGGAGACGGCCGCTGAGCAGTGTCGAATGTTTTTGGCAGCAGCAGATGCCAACTGTCCGGCCGTTAGCCCGCGCGCACTTGAAAAGGTCATGGCGATGCATTCACGTTGGGTGCAGACGTTGACGTATCCCATTAAGTGGACCGGTATTCGTGTTTTCTTACGGCTGTAAGTGTCGTCTCACTGGTAGCAGCGAGTCGGTAGTGCCCGGCTTTATTTATTTCAAAGGGATTTTATTTGCATCTTAGCAAGATTTTTCTTTTGTTAGAACCAACAAACTTTATCCCGGTAAAATGATTTACAAATTATTAGCTGTTCATTTTGCCTTATTTTCTCTAAACTGAGCAGATTCAACAGTCTTCTGCCGGATGATAATCCACAACGCTGGGATACTATGGACCTGCGAGAGCTGGATATTTCTACTTTGACCAGTATAACATTTGTTGCCCTTGATGGATACTTCAAAAGCTGAAGAACACCTTGACGCCTGCGCTTTGTTATGCGTAAAGTACAGGTTTCTTCTCGCTTTAATTTGCTTTCGTTTTGTTAGCACTACAGATTTTTTTTAAAAATAGTATTTTATGTGAGATCGTTAACAACGGCGCATAAGACGATGAATGTTGATTACGGCTTTGTATTCTTTATTTCTGTTTCATTTGTCTGTATACTTGGATTTTGGATTTGCTTAGCGTTGTCAATTAAGTAAACACAAAGTAGTACAGGGGGTTTTAGTTGTGATAATGCATACTCCAAGCGCTCGCATACATGAGAAACCAAAATACTTATTCATGCACTGACAACACTATGCTAAGGAACACAAACTAGGTACAACAATTCTTAAATGAAAGGAAGAAAAACAAAATATTTTACGCAGACGGATGCGGTTCAATTCACGTTTCCGAGTGGAGGAAATCCAGCGTCAACAGCGGCAGAGACTCGAAGGTTAATTTTAAGATTAATCCAGCGTCTGCGCAGCGGTCTCCTGTAAACACCGTCAATCCGGCGCTTGCACCCGTGCATGCGCGCTATCACCAAGGTCCTGATGATCGGCCGGTTCCGAACAGGAACTTGAGAATAAGCACACAAACGACTAGAAAAAGTAATACCATTGCTATTACACGTTTGGCTTTTTGGCGCAAGGAACAAGGAGGAGACGGAGTCGTCAAGCCCAGTGTTTGCGGTCTCACTTCCGTGTTCTTGCGCAGCATTTCCATTACAGCCACAACGCTGATCCTGGCCTTACTGTCGTAACACAAACAACGGCGAGCACATTCTCCCAACGGAAACGGTGCCGCAAAGGGCACTTCGGGCATATAACCAGCCGCGACCATGACCGCATAGTGGCGCTCCTCAACATTATCTCCCCGCTTCCGATCGTGCGCTAGCTCTCCGTTGCACAGCCATACATGATCGGTGCCCATGACGCAGTTGATCATGTCCAGCATAATACATCCCAGACTCCAGATATCGGTTTTTCTGCAGATTTTGGCGTTGAAAATACCTGCCGTCGAGCAGCCGAGCATCTCTGGTGACATGTAACGGAAACTGCCCTGAGGGTAATTAGCATCAAGATCCGCTGTAGCGATGAGGTTGTTCTTTTTCTGGACAAAATCCTCAAGGCCACCGATTACAAGTACCTCGTGGCTGTTGGCATCATCTTCGATGGTGCGGACGAATATGTTACATGGATTTAGATTACCGTGAATAATGCCATTGGAATGCAGGAACCCCAAACCTTCGGAAATCTGAAACATGTAGTCCACAGCGGTTTTCAGGTCAAAGGGCATCTGTACCAGTCGGGTACCGTTGGCGGTGTTCCACATTTGATTCTGGTGGCAAAATCTCTGCAAGCGATGAGCCATGTTTCCTTCTAAAACATGGTAAGCAAAATTAGGATTTGCTGCACACCAGTATGCTGAAACGTAGCCAACGACAAACGACCTTGCCGCTTGCACATCAGTTGTTACTTTGTTATACTATCACCATACTTTTCTAGTCAACCTGCGATGTACAATACTCGCATTTTAAAAGGTAAAACAGAAGTAGTCTATCAGATTCTATCATGATGCTTTTAGCTGCGGTCGGTCTGGCTTGCCTTAAACGCATCTTGGCTGCGTAAATTTGCTGTCATAAAAGTGATTTTACTGGGAGAGTAGTTACTGTAATTGTTGTTCATTCAGTGTCCTGGTTTATGTACTCTGGGAGGACAAGTCCATGATTTCCGGTAAAACAGCTACGGCCAAATATTACAGATCATCTTATCATTTAGAATACTTACTATTATAGTAATCCATAAGCACATACACGAAAAAAGTGTCGCCGGATGTCGTGAAATCGATCATAAACTGGTGGTACTCGGTGATGTGATCGTGGCTAATCCCCAGAAGTCGCTGAAATCGACTGCGCATTCTGTTCCTGGCCGATTCGTCCGCGTAAGTGTCCTTTCTAGGTTGAACAACTTTGACGGCCACATCGCCGTCTCCTGTGTAATTTCCGTAATCCGTGATGGTCGCTTTGCATACATAACCAAAGCTCCCTTGTCCGATCAGCTGGCCGGGATCATGGATATCGTACAGATATCGGCAAGTCTTTCCGTAGACTTCCGGCTCAAACGTAATGGCAACCATTTGAACGGATAAATGGAAAACTATGTGAGAGTGAGACGATCACGAACGAATACGGACTATTGAGTCAGTGCTGCAGGAAGCATTATCACAAAAGCCGCAGAAACTGCGATTTATTCAAAAACACCTTTATTAAAGTACTGTAATTTGGTCAAGGTTGACATATCGGACTATTTGTTAATAAAGCATTGCGATTATTCGTACTGCTAGTAAAGTTTCCACAAAATAATCTTCTGTTCTGCTGTCAAGTGACTCATACACAAGGTGGCATCAGCTGATAATATAATTATGAACATATTAACGGTAAAGTACGCGGAAAACTGAAATGTTCACTCACGATTTCAGGAAATTGCAATACAACTGATCCCTGATCCCCAATACACGCGTATACAATAACATTGTGCGGAATAAAATTACGGTCCTCGGCGGCTTTCCGGTAGCGGATTGTTGAACAATTCCCCTGTTTGGAAATGGGTAACGTTTCACTGGGAATTTTATGTACAATATAGCAGTGGTGGGCAGCTGCTGCAGCATACCGTAACTTGCAGATCGTAAATGTGGTTATACCGTACTAACTGCCGGCAACATGGATGCGCAATTGATCACTGAGCCCAAATCAGGCAGCTATCATGCAGCTATCATGCTGTCAAACTCTCCCGAACGCAGCAACCATTAAACACGCAACGGTGAGTGCGCTAGCTACGAGTACAGTATTGTAACAACTTTGCATACTTGCACATACAATACACATGTACTAACACATGTACATGTACATGTACTTGTACTCTCAGCAGTGCTCGTACAATATTGTAATGCACTAATTATTTTTATTCTTCATGCAGGCTAAAAAGCCGCGTAAAGCAGCACTTTATGCAGCAAAAGTGCATGCAGATCTTAAACTACAGTAAAATACACCAGTACATTGATGTACATGCAAAAGTAAAATATCTATACATTCTTACAATCTTACCGTCGCAAGGCGTAATTCCGTGGGTTATTATGGAAAAATCAACGCGTGGTCGGTTTAAGTTCAGCATAGTCTTGAAATGAGTCTTATTTTCCATAGGTATGTATTTACGCTGAATTTTAATTGTCTCTAGAACTGCCAGGTTTGAAAACTCTCTTGGTCGTTTTAAGTATAGGAAAGCCTGAATCTCCATGGATTAATAAGATTATAGAATACGTGGTCATCTAGAAATTTCGTAAGGACCATGGCAAGAAGTGAGCGACAAAAAAATTTACGGCACCTTACATTTAACATACTTAGAATGTCAACGACCGTGGGAAACGGGTGAGATTTTTATCTTAAGTTATCTTCCTGAGATTTCGGGACGATTCCAGACAAAGTATTATTTTACTTAAGTGCTTACAGTACGTACTCGAGAAGCCTGACAACAACATTGCGAAGAACTCTGTAATTTAATTAAGTATGACATTTAACGTAAGGACAACTTTAGCCATGGATCTGGGACAATATGCATTAATATATATAGTTTGTACTGTACGTCGAGTGTACGCTATTTGATTTTTGCGATAGGATAATAATTAGTGAGTGACTGTCCGTGAGCAAAATCTGTAGGTGAGTGAGTCACCGAGCTACCACGACTCATGAACAAAATCTCTAGATGAGGGAGGGAATTAGCTACCACCACTGTCCTGTGAGCAAAATCTGTAGGTGAGTGAGTGGCCGAGCTACCACCACTGTCCGCTACCACGACTACTGTCGTTAGCACTACTGTCGTATCTCGTTACAGTCCATAAATTCAAGCCTAACCTTTCCAATACACATTTGCCGAGCGCGGAGCGCGAGGCTTACCTTGTAATTAATGTGATTACAGTATCATAATATGATACTGAACCATATTATGGCAATTTTGAACCATAACACGTATGTATTATGTAGTTTGACATGCACTGTTGCCACAACCATAACTATTATTAGTATCGTGTGGAAGAATGGTTGTCTTTAATTACAAGGCAGTTAAACCAAAACAACAACACAGAAACAACACGACACACAGTAGGTATGCCCGTTGCCGGGAATCAGGTCAGCAATCTCGTGAATAGACTTGTACGTCAACGAATAATGGTCATAATTCGCTTTAGGCTCGGCTTATTAATTTGTATTCTGTATTTGGGCTTGCTCAGAGTGAACCTAGTGTAGCACCCGAAGAAAAGTTATCAAAAATGTTTGTACGAGTACAAACAACCAGTATGCATGGTTGGCTAAGGGCTGGTGCTTTCACAAACTTTCACAAATAACGAGTTTTGCTCACTGTGGTTAAATTACATTAACTGTTTGTTAAATTACATTAAATTACATTATGTAATTAATTACATTAATTACAGTTCACTGTGGTTAGTTTACATTAAATTTTGTGATTAAACAATATTACCATATGAAGGACGTTGCTATCGTTCATGACAAAGCGGCATGTAACGGAATTCGGCCGCAAATGTTCACCATTACTAGTATATTTTCGGTTGGAGGACGATGGAATTCATCAAGCAGTACGTGCAATATGTTGGCCGATTTCTAGATAACTATGCTTACTGGCGGTTTGTGGCTAGTCCGTGTATTCCTCATGATCAGTTGTACTTTGACCAGTTTTTTGCAAACTGAAACTTCTTTACCAGTTCACCAGTCTGGCTTACCGCGAATAACAAGCTCATACACTACGGAATATCATGAAAAGAAGATAAATTATTGGCAAAAAGTTTGCTAGCACTATGCAGTCGCAAACTTTGTAACAAGCCTTTTATAGCCTCTTCAGGTCAACCCTGCTACGTTAAATTTAAAGCGATAATTTACGTCTACTTCCCATAGCCTTTTTGAGATTTCTAAATGGACGCTATTGCAATCGAGCCAGAAATCTATGGAAAAACCTGTCGATACCTGTACGATATGCATGATCCGCGTCAGCGTATCGGACAGGGCGGCTTTGGCTCCGTGTGCAAAGCGACTATCACGGATTACGGCAATTATGTCGGGGACGGTGTATTGGCCGTCAAGGTTATCTACCCCAGAAGGGACGCCTATGCGGACGAAGTGGCCAAAAACAAAATGCGCAGTCGATTTCAAAAGCTGCTGGAGATCAGCAACGAGCACATCGCCACGTATCAACAGGTTATTATCGATTTCACAACATTCGGCGACACCTTTACCGTGAAATTGCTCATGGATTTCTATATAGCGGTGAGCATTTTGAATGATTTATCTTTGACTATGAATTTGGTACTCTGAATCATGATCTGGTTCTTCAGATCTGTTTCTGTTGAACGTAGTCAAAACTTGGGTATGCTCCGTTGTTCACTGAAAAACGTTCACCTCATTAGCGCTTTAAATTTCTTGATCGATCGGGAGGACAATAATGGTATTAGGTAGTCAATAAATACCGTACGCATAATGCACGGTAATTGCTCTCAAAATAAACACGAGTACATATGAGCAAGTGAGTTCTGAGCAGAGTAAGTTGGAAAATATGTACAGTACGTTGGTCACCAATGCTGCGAAGGAAGAGATTACCGGAACTGAGATAACACCGGATCACATATCCGTTTAGTCTAGAATAGAGACTAAAGTAGATGGTTTATCATTTTCGTATACATAAATACCAAAGAGTCAGAAAGGAAGCTAGATTAGGACACAGCTGCATAAATAGTCTCAGCAGTGCAGTTGAGCTGCCCTTAGCAAATCTGCAGCTGTACTGAAGTATGCCACGTTCATCAAAAACTGGTTAGACCATGCAGTGACAACATGGTAAACTTGTTAGCCACTACTTCCGCTTCAGTAAAAACACCCAAACTCCGAAGAGTTGCTTTAGATCTTTTAGCTTAACGAACTGTATTTATATTTTCATTTCGTAAAACCTAACCCGTTTACTGTATTTCAGAAGGCGACTTGGCTCATCGCTTGCAAACATTGCGCCACGAAAATCAGCTGTGGCACACCGGCACCCGACTGGTACCGATGCCCTTTGACCTGAAAACTGCGGCGGACTACGTATTTCAGATTAGCGAAGGCCTAGCGTTTCTGCATTCCATCGGCATTATTCACGGTGATCTGAAGCCTGGAAATATATTTATCCGGACAGTAGCACAAAATACTACTAGCCGCGAAGTACTGGTCATCGGCGACCTGGATGACTTTGTCCAGATGAAGGCTAACATCACCTCAACAGGCGACTTTAGTGCTCATCACACTCCGGGCAGTCTCCGTTGCATGTCACCCGAACTGCACCGCCGATCGGCCACGGAAGTTTTCAACGATAAAACGGGACGGAAAACCGATATCTGGAGTCTGGGATGCATTATCCTGGAGATGATTAATTGCATTATGGGCACGAATCACTTATGGTTGTGCAATAAAGCCCATCCGCCTGACCGGAAGCGGGGTGATAATATTGATGAGCGCCCTTATGCAGTCCTGATGTCGAAAGGCTATCTGCCCGAAGTACCCTTTGCTGCACCGTCCCCATTGGCGGAGTGTGCTCGCCGCTGTCTATGTGAGGACAGCAGGGTTAGGATCAGCGCTGCAGACGTGGTTCAGATGCTGCGCAACGGCCAGGAAGAGATCGCGCAAGCTACGGAGCTAGCGGGAACGCCTTCCGGGCATCGCATAGCCGGTCGTATAATGGGAGCGATACTGATGTTTCTGTTAGTATCGGCTCTGGTTATTATGATGTGTGTAGGGCCTGGCCGATTCTAGAAGTGGGAATCTTGGTGGTAGCGAAGTAAATACGCAACATTGACAATTGATTACTACAAGATATAGCCTATATATCCTCAGGGTGTTTTCGCATTTTAATCGCTGTAATCTGAATTTCAGAAGCACAAGTTGCCCGCTTTTGTCTAAGTCAAAATACTTCTTTTTAGTGCTACAGCGCAGCCGTGTTTTGCATTAATTTATTCAGACAAAATGAATTAGGGGAAGGGTGGCCGAGCTCTGTAATCTACGAGTACGTATACTCGTACCGCTCAGTAGCCATCTGAATCCCCCGCCGTGAATTTTGTTGCTCCATTTTTTCTTCAGCGTTTTCCAACAAGAACAATAGTCCCGAGTGGAAAAGTAAGATCCGAAAGGTTCTTGCTATCTATCTGATGCTTGCTGTTGCTATTTTGTAGCAGAAGACATTAATGCATGAGTGTGAACTCGTATTGTACGAGTACGTTGCACGATAACGTGTGTAGAGTGCGGGTCACGTTATGCTGCGGAAGTCTAGAATAGCTGGTATTCGGAATTCGGACAGTTTTTGGCAAATGCAGCGTCAGTGATTAAGGTCCGAGTAATTAAGTTTTTTTGTTGCTTGGCTTATTTTTCCTGATTTCCCGGTGGGGAGAAGTCTCTGAGAATGTGAACGTTTTCGCAGTAGCACATCCTAAGGTAGGTGTATAGTTTCACCACTGATTGTCGTTAACCAGCGACCTGTAGCTTGATTAATAATATTGTTTTACGTTCACGTCCAACGTCGCGACAAAGCTACAATAATGTGTTGTTGGGTATTTTAGCGGTGCATATAGTGCCATATACCTTTTGCTGAACTAGCAAGCAAGCAGTAAGAAAAGTAGTGACTACAGTAAGGGGCGATCCAAAAATTACATACGCAGCGAACCAGGAAGAGAGGAACAAAACGTCATGACCTGGGTGGAGTATCAGGATGGCGTCCTCATGTGGATTATCGAGTGTATAGTGCACACTGGTGATTAGTTAAGCTGTACTTACGTAACACGTTACTTTATAATCGCATTAGTTTTATACGTGAATGTTCTCACTTCTACTAAGGTAGTACTTGATAGCTTTTTGCAAAACAATCGGCCAACACATGATGCCAGTCGTATTTTCGTTTCAGTATGCATGTTTGGATGCTGCGTACTGCCTGTATGGTAGGTATACAGGGTGCTTAAAAAATCTCGGAGTTCTGTATTATAAATAACTTAATGATGCAGGTTACAATGTACAATACACTTTGTACTGCACGCACGAACAAATTAATAGATCGGTGTACTCCGGAGTACCTTTCTTTAATGCCCGCCGTATGGTATATAAAATTACTGCATAAATTTAATTAAAATTTTCTATACAAATTATTCCTGCCACATGAATTGAATGACCGGGCTCGGACACTGGAAAATAAGTTGCTGAGCTAACGAAATAAAGTTAACTGCCAAATTTTTACTGATGAAATTATTTTATCATTATCAGAATAAATTGGTACTGTTTTTTGTAGGAACTCATGCAGAGACGCTGCGCACTACTGCCCAATCTGCAAAAGCAACCTTGGAAAATACAAGCGACTGTGATTTTTATTGTGGGTTCTTGCCCATTTTGTTACGGAAATGGCCAGAATGGCCGTTGTTACAATGTAATGATTGCAGTCCCAGTGAGTTGATAACACTAACTGAGGTCATTTACAAAAGAGCATTATTCTAATCACTATATACGAACCAATAACCAAACTACTGTATGTTGGTACTTCACTTGCGATTACGGTACAAATACATACTGTACTCTTGTTTAAAAGACATTTCCAAACTGTAAACTGAAACTTCCGTATTACTTAACACGACGTTTTAAACATTTTTCAAGTCACTCAAAAATCTGGCTGTTTAAATTATAACCACAGTAGCCATTGACGGCTGCAGCTATCAGCCATTATTTATTACCATAAAAACGACCACAAATAATATCGTCGTTGTTTGAGCAATCGACCACCGGCCGGTAAAAATCTTGATGAATTTTCACGGCATGTTTGATGCAGAATTGTCGATGAACTTCCTGTTGGTCGCAGTTGTTGCAGTTCCCGACTTATGCTCAACGAATTCAACAAAAGAGTAAATGAACATAAATAAAAATCATAAGGATCGTTTTGGGTTTTCTAGATCATCGCCCCTATTCGTTAAAATACTTCCAAAGCTTGTAACAGCTTGCAATAAAAGTTACCAAGCCCGCCACAGCTGCTAGTACTTGATAGCACGGACCTCTCCGGCGTCTCCGCTCTTCCGATTTAACCGCTTTAGATCGGGGGGAGCGCAACAATGGAAGTAGTTCTTCAGCGGTGGCCCTCGTTTCGCTGTCATACCACAGACAACGGCGAATGGCTTCGGCGATCCCGGCTGGAGTGTGCTTCGGTTCCAGCAGAACAAACCCCGCCTCGACCAGCCTGATGAAACTTTCAGCATCGACATTATCGCCCCTCTTCTTGTTGCCTTTGTCAACATCAAACATCCACAGTTCCTCCATCATGCAGTTAACCATTTCCAGCATAATACATCCCAGACTCCAGATATCCGTCTTCATGCCCACTTCCGTGGGAGGATCTCGCAGGTACTTCCCGCACATTTCCGGCGACATGTAACGGAAGCTACCGTGCAGGTGCGCGGTGCCTGCGCTGCTATGTTCGATTTGGATGAAATCATCCAGATCACCGATTACCAGTACTTCCCTAACCGCCTCGTTACCCTGTATGAGGCGGATAAATATGTTTCCGGGCTTGAGGTCGCCATGAACGATGTTGTTTTGATGCAGAAAGCCCAGTCCGTTCGCGATCTGTGACATGCATGCCGCGGCTGTTTCCACGTCTAACTGCATTAACGAAGAAGCGTCAAAATGTTCATGTGGTGGATTGCGTCGCAGCTGATTATGTTTTTGGAACTCCGCTAAAAGGCCAGCCAAGTCTCCACCTGTTGCAAAGGCAAAGGGAAGCAATAAGCGACAAGGAAAAGGCGCTTGTACAGCATGCATAACAACACTAATTCCATGAGATAATTTTTGAGACGAGGTACATAGTATTAAAGCGCTATCTGTTACGTATGTGACATGTTTCGCTTATTTTTGACCGGAGCGAAGCGAAGGTCTTCCTAATTCAGCTCCAGTGCTTAGCTTCACTTGTGTCCGTTACGGAAGTCTAGCTATGACGTCATCCTGGATAAGTCAGATGACGTCACGGCTCTATACAGTAGTTTTGCAGTGCTCACTTGTGTCCGTTACGGAAGTCTAGCTATGACGTCATCCTGGATAAGTCAGATGACGTCACGGCTCTGTACAGTACTTTTGCAGTGCTTAACTTGTGTCCGTTACGAAAGTCCCAAATATGACTTTACCGCGGACTAGCCCGATAACGCCATGAGACTGTAGAACAGTTTTGCACTGCTTATCTTGTGTCTGTTGGGGAAGCACCGTTGATGGTAACGTGGTGTTTCCTGTATGCTTAAAACGCTAATGAAGAACACAGGGCACTTCAAATAGCAACCTTTCCCAATGTCGCATTCGAATAAAACGTGCCTAACTTATAGAAGAAGCTCGACAAGTAAGGGCACCCTGGCTTAGATAATGAAGACCCGTGCCAACCCTGGCTTAGGCAGTTGTAAGAAGCAACTGGGGGTGATCACCAATTTTAACAGTGCCGGCAATAATTCAAAAAGGTCACCCAGAGCTTGGTTAAAATCGACTGGCAAATAGACACTCCATTGTTTGCGTAAAATTCCGTTGTTTGTTACAACATTTATTTAGAGAAGCGGGCTTATGATACCTAAACGGTTTCTAAACTAATTACCTTCAACTCTGGCAACAACTAAAAAACGAATTTTTAATGGGAGGAGGTGCTTTAGGGACCCTGGGTTGAACTGCTTCAACCCGGCAACGTCTGCTAGGTGGAAAAACCACCAGTACTAGTTCGCCAGTTTTACAACACCAGGACTATTGTTATTGCCTGGGTCACATATGCGTTAGATTAGATAGAGCAAAGATAGTGTATTTTAGTTGCATACTGTATTTTAGTACCTTAAAAAACCTACATGGCTTAAAACCCACTGAAAAATAACGTAAAAGTACTACGAAGTGTATCTAAATCGGCTCTTATGGTAATAATTTGGGATTAAATTGGTGATAACTCCATATGAGTATCTCACAATTTCAGTATTACACAAAGTCTGCAGCTCTTTTGAAAAAACTGTGAATTTACACTGAAAAAAACACTGAAAAACAGAAAACACTCAAAAAATAACGCAAAGTTCTACGAAGTGTATCTAAATCGGCTGTTATGGTAAAATTTGGGATTAAATTGGTGATAACTTCATATGAGTATCTCACAATTTCAGTATCCCACAAAAGTCTGCAGCTCTTCTGTAAAAAAACTGTGAATTTTCAAAAACAGCTGGTGGAAATTCCACCGCTTGGGCATTGTCGTAGGACAGTAACATGCTGCCTGAACAGGCACAATAACCAGAGCCGCACACTTCATATGATTCAGCCGTTGCGTACTAAGAGTAGCCAAACCATAACACTGTCAGCAAACTGATCAAAATATCAAACAAATAAGGACATCTCAGTGCTTTTATAATAGCATAAATGCTAATAAAACATTTTTCTTATCATATCACAATATTTTCTTCGACTGCAATAGGAAAAAGAACAATAGAGACGTTGTGGATCGAAGCAGCCAACAATAAATATGGCTGGCTATGATCAGTGTTATGCTCATGAAAACTGGCGCAGCCCACCATGACCCTGTTGCATACTGACCGGAATTCAAACATTTTTGAGTATAAATTCAACCATGAACCTTTTCATGATGAATTAAATTGCACAAGCTAACTATTATAAAGTGTAAGCAGCTACCACAGCCAGGTTGATTCGAGTAGATCAAGTAGCCACAATGTTGTGTACAACGGGGTTTGTGTGGTGTCGCACCGGCAACCACCGTGCCCACTGCCCACACCGCCCGTATTGTATATCGTTAATGCCCAAGCGGTGCCACCTACCCACCTACCCACCTACCCTTCAAATTCTAAACTACTGCAGCAAAAATTTTGGAAAAACATAGTTCAGGGTTATTTATTGTTATTCTGGTATGAATTTCAACTTCGACAAAAATTCCTTGATACCTCGGGCATTGCCGGGTTAAGCAAATTTGCCGTAGTTTTAATTTCGCTGTAATCACGGTTTAGTGTCAGAAATAACTGAAAATACTCATAAAAGATACTGGACATACGGTAATAACTTAAAATGATCAATTTGTATTTGTTGACGGGTGATATGTGGCAAATTCTGGGAACAACTGCTCTAAGCTTGCTTAACTACAAAGTGAGAAAACTAAAACTGAAAGAAGAAAGAAAGAACAGAAATGACAGAAGAACGGTGGCAAAAAGTTTAGTCTGGTTTTCAGTTTTTCCTACATGTTGTCCGAGAATGATTTACAAAATTTCAATGAATTTTTTGTCGGCGGGCCATGCAACAAAGCTTCTTGACCAAGCTGTGAAATCGCTTCGCTCCGGTCTGCTAAGGCACGCCAACGTGCATTTTTCTAGTAATAATAGCGAGTAATACACAATGACAAATGTACACTTAAGTTGACCTGACTGGCGTAATAGTCCATCATCAGATGCACCGTACAATCCGGACCGGGTTTGGTGAGGTCAATAGAAATCTGATGATAAGCGGCAATGTGGTCGTGATGGATGTTGACTAATGTCTCATAACGACGGACCAGTTTTTGCCTGGACTGTTCAGCCGTAAATATATTCTTCTTGAGATGAGCCACTTTAACGGTTACAGTCGGCGCACCCACATAGTCTCCATACTCGGTAATTGTCGCAGCGTAAACGTAACCGAAAGAACCCTGAGCGATATGTTCACCCTCTGCAATTTGATACCGACAGGTTTTTCCATATGATACTGGCTCGATAGGAATTACTTCCATTTTTGAAATAAACCAATGCTCAACAGTTATAATCTTCGTTAACACCTAACTGATCAGAAGCAGAATAATCGGTGCGAGAGTATTTATTTATATGCACAGAAACGCACGACAAGTATATCTTCCACAAAGAACTCAGTATGACTACGTACATTCACAAGCGATATCATACTTATCAGATTTGTCGCCATTTCAGTGCGCTCGATCTTCACAGTAGCGAGTTTTCTTTTCAGTACAATAAAATTTGCAAGAGTGAACATCTGCGAACGTCGGACATGGCTTAACCTATACTGCAAGCTCGGCTAGGAACCGGTGCGTCACGTAAACTATAACTGTATCGCTAATACTGAATACTGGCCTGCATTGAAAATTTTGGAAGGAATCAGAGGACCCCGTAGGTGTCAAAGTAAACAGATTTATTGCACTACATACATCGCCAGATGCGTGCATGGCACTGCATGCCAACGATAAAAATATTTTAAGCGTACATAATGATACCATTCAGTAGGATACTGTCGTAGGTTTTTGGTTATCGAAGCCATCGCGTCAATATAATACGAGGTATATCCAATTTCGCAGGATAACTGTCCATTCAAAAAGCTTGAATATTACGCATACTCGGGTTGCAATAGCGACTGCAAGTATTACTCATTCTCCGATGACGGCTGCCTTTCACGTAAAGCTCCTTGCACTGCTCTCGGCAACTTTGGAACAAATCGAAAAAGTACAGAAGAGGAAAGAAGTGAATGAGATCATAAGAAGAGAGCCACCATTTGAGTGAATGGAGAGAAACTTCAGTTTCTTATAAAACGCAAGAAGTTTTTGCTTAAAACCGCATTATTCGCGCACAAATAATATATTTTTTCCCGGCCGTGGTATGACTCCACGTAACAACGAAAGCCACCAGCAAAGGAAGTGCGTGGAATGAAAGAAAGATTAATTAGGAAGGTGTTGTTGTTATAATACATAGTTTGCTTTCTTTCAGTTTGCATTGAAGTTTTCCCGGTTACGATAAAAATTAATTGTGACCGGGAAGCCGGTCCGATTAATTACTTATTTTCTTTTCTGCTATCATTTGTTATTGTTTAGTTGAGTGAGTTTCCCGCAGGAGGAGGTGTCATAGAATGTGACCTTTCCCCTAGTAATGCATACAAAATTGTGCGCTTGAATTCGCTGATTGTCATTAGCCAACGAACGGCAGTTTGATTAATAAAATTAGTCTACAGATGTGTACAGAATGTACTCGTGCACTCATCTCCAAAGTCCCGGCAAAGCCCAATGTGATATTAGACATTTTAGCGGTAAACCACACTGGTCATAATAAGCAAGCAGTAAGAAAGGCATAGTACTTGTAGCAGCGATAGTAAGCTAACCACTGCCAAAAAAAACAGATAAAATGCAACTAATCAGGTCCCTCCCGGAATTAAAATATTCTGTTGCAGGAATACATGCACAGTGCAGCCACCCACGTGCAAGCTTATTAATTTTCTCGTAAAAATCGGCGCTAAGCATATGCTGATTGCAACTTTTTTCGCATTGCTATATACCGTAATTTAAATCGGCGTATTACGGAAAGACGGTTGTAACCGTTATAATGGCAGGCAACCGGTGCAGTACTACGTAACGCACGTAATAAGCAGGAACGAGCCTTTGATCAAGTATTACCGTGCATTATGCGTGCCGTACTTGTACTTTGTGCATTTTGTATAATTATTATACGTTAGTCTGGCGAAACGATACAAATACGTGCAATAGTTTAATCCCTACCTATTACACCGCATGCCAGGTAATAGTTGTAGCCTTATTTTCAGAAATAAGCCTACGGAATTTTTCCCGCACTTTTAGCAGTATTTCTACAATGCTCTCAACTCACAAGCATAATGATTATTATCATAGCATAAAATTTTAACAGTCAAGTGTATTTTAATAAACATGGAAGCACTTTTACCAACTGAAAATTGCTTCTATTTAAGCACAGCATTATCATATATGCTTCGCGCAGCTCGCTGCGAGCGGATCAGGTCCGTTTTATTTCATGAGCATGCAAGCTTGCAGTCCACAATGGCTTCGCATCGAATGCCGCATGCTCATCCTGCAGCCGGCGACGTGCCGCCCGTTGACGCGCAGCGAGTGCTTCCTTCATTTTCTCTCGCAGCACTTGCAGCGGGCTTGGAATGTCCCGCTGTCCCACATTCGAATTCTCGAATGATGGATGGGGACCAATGGGCACAGAGCCATCGATTAGGAGGGGGCGGAGAGTGCTCACATCAGGCGGTATGCCATCAGCAGCGACAGCATCCAGGCCGGGATTAGGATTGTCGATATCCGGTACGTCACCTTGTCGAAGTTCCGGCTGTGGCCCCAGTACAGCAGCTACATGGCAAACATATATGAGTGCGAGCAGGAAAGGTAACTTCATCATCCTGCTTAACTAAGAGTACAAAAATTCGGCAACATACGCGCAGGCAAAAATAGAAGGGAATAAAAGCGTACTATTTGTCCCAGTGAAAGTAACAGTTTATCTGAGTGCAGCTAGTGCCAGGCAAACTCGCAGCTTTATATAGTACCGAGTGAAAAGATAATCATTATTCAAAGAAATGAGAGGCCTGGAAAACCTTTCACGCGTGGTTCCACGCATGCCATTCGTATGTCACAAGGGTACTTCTAGTAATAATTACATCGCAAAGCTGTTATCCGCCGGAACGTCTACAAACATGCACGAGCGTGCCCATGCGTACAGGAATGCTTTGCCAACAGGATCGATGACACTGTGATTAACCGTTTGCAATTAGTAAAATATGGCAGCATTCCATTAGCCCCGTCTCTTAAGGCTTAAGTGAGCAGATTATCCGGCTGATCAGTTTAGGAAATGTCGTCTTTTGGACGCTCGATGTGTAATCATGATTTTGCACCGCGTAGCACGGCGCAGTTTAATTGTTGTAAACAAACAAATTCAAGTTGATAACTGTTACCATTCAATCTAACGGTGTACAATACTTAGGTATTTAACAGAGTATGCATGTACAGAGTACAGTACATACGTACGATGTATGCATGTTAACTGGAGTGCATTTAAAGTCACTTTCTAAAGCTCTATCTTATTCTTTTGCTTCTTGCGTAAGCATTGTCCAAACAGCGCTACAAAGCATAAACTTTATTGTATAAAGGGGAAGAAATGGGTCAGGGAAACAAGATTTCAACGTCACGAAAATCCGTTTCGGATAACCCGGGGCTAATCTTTCAAAATACGGAAACCGTGGTCGCGTTCAAAGGTTCAGCAATTTAAGGACAAAGTTCGAATTACATAATTGTAAGCAAACAAGAAGCATTTTCATGCACTCTCTCATCACAGAACGAACTGCGGCTGATGCTTAGGTTCTGCCTCATATTAAAAAAAATAAAAAAAACAACAGGTCTCTTAGTTCATTTCAAATTTACACTTTCCGGAGTAAAGTGTACTGAAAGTTTGCTACCGAATTAACAATATGTAGGAAAATCCTGTCGAACAGAAATGCTAACACTTTACAAAATAACACGTGGTGATATGCTAAAACCATCAAATAAATATTCGTCCGATTCTGGTAAAAGTTTATTGGTCGGTTGCCTGAAAAATGCAGAATAGTTCTTTGGAAGTCGAAGCGTAGCTAGTGCGTCCTGGTGAAGGTCGATGTCTTCGTCTTCCGTGTCTACTGAGCGCTGAATACGTGTTGGAGGAGGCATTTTACCAGCTCCACCAAAACCAATGCGGCAGCACTGAATCCATTCTATATGGTACTGTAAAGAACACAACTGATGAAAACTAAGGACACTCATTCATTAGGACATTTTGCTACCTGGTGACCGGAATATGAAACTATAGTTAAAGTGACCGGAATATGAGAAAAAGCGAAGTACATATTATAAAGCTATCAGATTATATTATTTTGATGACTGTGCGCTCAACAATCCGTGACCGTAGAAAGGTCAAACGTGCCTCTTCATCAAATGGATTGATCTTCTTCGATATTCCCGTCATGACATAGCCGCTGGCGCAATAAACGATGGCATGTTGTAAAGAATCCTGAAAAGCGAAGACGGTTAATCCCGAAAAAAAGATCACAGGCCACCGTATACGTTACGTTAATACTTACGTAGTATTCCCAGTACTGGTCATGCGTCGGCATACTACAAATAGGCATGTGCAATGCGTTATAAACGAGTCGACGACTATATAAACTGTACTGCTTTAAAACATCTAAAGCAATACCCACTGACATGGGTTTATTGTTACGAGGATTAACGTTTACCGAAGTAACGACAAAACTAATTTCAAATGCTGATGTATAATGATTTATATTAATTTTGATGACGTACTAGTAGCAGCTAACGTAGTCAATATAATATCCCGGTGGCACTCGGCAGCACTTATACAGCTGAGTATCATCCAGCCTCGTTCGGCTCACAAAAAACTGGAAATCATCGTCCCAGAGCCCTGAAAAAATAGAACCTGGCAGCTGATGCAGTACCATAACACCAAAAGTAAAACTGTAAAAATAGGCTGTGTAATAAATGTACCGTTTGTTGTTGATCAAATAAAAAATGCGCACTTCATTAAAAAAAGTAAGACAATCAGCTACCATGCTCAGCCCAAGTGCCTTGCCTGTAATAAATGAATTCACAGTGCGTTGAATCTGCTGAGGATCGAAGCAAAAAAATTGGGACGTGTAGTTTCGGGGGAAGCACCTGCATAAAAAGAGTACAATTAAGAAAAGAGTTATATAGAAAATTAAGAACACGGGCAAACTAGCAGCATTGCGTTTTACTGTGGATAATAAGGGTACATTCCGTTTGTGGGCGGTTTGAATGGAAAAATAAATCTGCACCAAACGGATTCAATTTTCTGTAGACAAGTACTGGTCAGATGTATGACAAGCGCATGGATTCGGAACATTATATTATGTAACACTGCACAGACGAATTTTGAAGTGGATTCCCTCGTACCTGGAAGTCATTGAACCAATCTCTGGAAAATAAAAATAAGAAACCGATCGCTTTCTACATAACTGTGCGCAGTACATTGTACCAAGTTACATTAATATGGTATAAAGCATAAGTACAGCACTAAAAGGCTTTCTATTTGATATTTGTGTACAGTATTGAAGACAGCAAATAAGCCAGCCCATTTCAAAAGCCTTCATAAACCTTTCTAATAAAGACCGACCGACACACCGGTCTGCTTGAGAAGTAACAAAATATTATTGTTAGTCTCATAAACAAAAACACTTTGTAAACAATATTGTTCAAATTGTTGCGCATGCCACATACGGTTTATACGGTTTATAAACTACATGTATTATCGGCATGTTGACAAAATTAGGGCAGTCTTCGTTTTGGTTAAACCTACTGCAAACCGATCATGGCTTCTCCATCAAGACATTCCACATGCCACTTTCGATCTATCAAAGAGTTTTTCGTTATTACGGCGCTGATAATTTTAAACATATACTCGTACATTGCTTATATCAAGTTATATGACAAAGTGATTCTCACAAATCAGTGATCCTACCTGTAGCACTTTTTCCTTGATGCGCATGAAAAGTCGATATTATCGTATCCCCCTGGCAAGTTCAACAGCTGGTTGCACAACACAGCGTCAACATGTCTCGAAAGGCTAAAGGGATTTTTTGTGATACTTATCAGTACAATACACTCTGCTCAATGATAAAGCCAAATGAGTTTTTGTCAGTACATACAATATGCTTTATAGTTGTACTCTTAATTTGAAGTATTAAATACAAATACGGGTGTCACGTGTGCATATATGCATCGTTTGGCAGATTCACTGCGAAACTGGAGAAGGTTAATTTGTATTGGGAAATTATGGAAACCGTGACTGAATGCCGACAACTTACAGATCCGTAAGAAAGGTATGATCCATAATACCGAAGGGTACCAAAAACGGGAGTGACAATAAAGCTGAGCCATATAAACAATACCGACCGGCAACGAGAACTATTTAATTGATAATGATTAAGCATTTCTTTGTAACAGGAAGTCGGAAAACTGTTCTTACGGACAGTTCGACAGTAAACTCTGAGATTTTCCGTCACTTTGATACAATGACAGTCATTTGGACAGTAGTACGAGTATATCGTCGGATATCGTCGAATCAGTTGAGTATAACCAACCGGATTCAATAATACCGTACTCAAGAAGCTTTTTTCAGTTTTTTGTATGCCTACCGTGCACAGAAAGTGTACACGGCATGGTCCATGCCGTGACCAGCCTTGTGAGTGCCTTCGGGTTTGTCTGCCGGAACTATACTTCTACTGTAAAGTATTTACAGAAACCTCTTGAATGCGGTATGATATTATTCACTATTAAGGCACCGATGGTTATTAACCATCGGTACCTGAAATTAATCACTTATAATAACTAAAAGACACAATAACCCGGTGCCGGAGTAGTTTATTCGATATTGTCAGCATCGTCTGGTTTGATTTTGGATTTTTAACTGTTAATTTAAATGTTAATGTTTCTCACAATTTCCAGTGCGGAAAACTGTGCCCGTTCTCACGCAGTCACAAGTCACAACAAACATCGAATTTAAGCAACGATGGAGGGTGTTAGGTTAAACCAGCGCCACTGTAATAGTTAAACGAGGTAAGTTATCCGAATTGACAACTTACAGACACAGTCATAGAATGGCTGTCACAATCTGCATGCCACGCAATCAGTATTAATGCAATCATAGCTACAACAATACATCATCATTATTTCTTCTTTTAACGGCGCAAATGTCATCATTTTTCTATACTAAACTGATTTCACACACAAATCATCGGCACAGTCGAGACTTACGGGCCGCATCTTTCTTTGGAATAAAAATATTCTCTTTTTATAACCGTATCCTCCGGCATTAACTAACAAACCAAGTTCACTAAATCCGTATTCAGTCAGACGTGTTGTAAACACTGTATGTTTGCTTTTAAAAATGAGTCATTGGACGGTTCACTGCCAAGCCAGTACCATGCTGTTATCATTACTCCCTGGAACACCGCACAATTCGATGACCTTAAAACAGTAATTTTTTTGTACTTATGATTAGGGATGGTTTCGTATCGTATCGTAGGCGCAGAGCTTTAAGTTCAAAAATTGTTCCCTGCTGCTAGTGTTAACGTTTAGAGCGATTTGGATTTGCATGGTGTTTGCCACAGTTTATGCAATCCAGAATGTGAACAAACTGGCTGATTTTTTGTAGCGTTCCTTAAATTGTTTTCCTGCACAAATCCAGTAGCTAGAGTCAGCACGGAGACGCTTACTCCTTTCATTTACGCGATATCAAAACATTGCTAACCAAATTACTGTATTTGCTAGAGCTGCACTGATAGTCAAGCGTCAGGTTATTCGCCTACTCAAGACAGTTAATATCAATCACGTCAGCTGTTTATACTGTAATGGCATACTGTTAATTACGGTTAATTAGACATTTACAAACTGTTACCCAAACAGCACAGGTTAATAGCCTGTCAAAAGTGCCGGAACGACTCATCACTTATCTCAGCTGTCGATTACTTTGTCACTAACTCTCCATCAAGTCAAGAAAATCTGTTTTCATATCCACGGCCATGTGATTGGCTACTCAACAGTAAACTGAGTAAAGATTTTGTAATTACCACAATTACAAAACCTATACTCGGTTTTACGCGTAATTGAATTACGCTGTCTTGACAATCATCACACAATATCTCCAAACGATTTATCCATCAGACCATCACTACGATATTCAGCGAGTACGAGTACTCGTATCTGATGGTTTATTTTATTGTTAAACACCGTTCTAGAGCAACGCTATCATAATTGTTGAGCTGTGCCGAACCGACGATCTACTAATGAAATTGTTGAGCTGTGCCGAACCGACGATCTACTAATGACCTGAGCAAATTAATCAGCCGATAAATTAAGCCGTCATTTTCCATAAAAGTTTACGGCAACTCAGTGAAATTTTTTTTTACTTCCAATCGTCTTAAAAATTCCTCTTACAGGTAAACGCTTGAAATGGATCAAATTATTTTTGCACGTAACACACCATCATCCATCAAAAACGTAAAACACAAAAAAAATCAAAACGTTATTATTCATTAACATGCCACGTGTTACTACAAATACGTGATAAACGTATTTAATTATCGAATTGTTAGTCACTAGGTTCTTTGAGCTTTGGCTGGCCTTTGAAGATTCGTGAGTACTTAATTGCGTTACAAGAAACTCACAATGAATATTAAAACGGATACTCCCTCGGAGCTCCTCCCTTTAAGCGCTGAATAAGCATTTGGAGCTAAAATTTCTTAAGAACATCCTTTTATTCTTCCAAAGCCAGTGTTGATTTTACGGCCGGCGATTTGATGCTTTTGTCAACACAGTGCGCATCCACACAGATAAAGGTGTTTACATTAAACGTGTAACCTGTGAACAGGTTTAAAATGCATGCCGCTGTTAGTCGGTTAACCATGCAACGCCGCGCGAATCTGCAGTCCGTGCTTGTTTAAAAGTCTATTAATATTCGCCTAACAGTGTAAAACTGCGCTAGATTTGAGAAATGAAGATTACAATAAAGCTTTCAACGTAGCGTAACGTCCTTAAACAACATTTCTAATAATCTGGTTATCGCCATACTTTTTTAGTGGAGTGAATTGTACATTACTCATGTTGCCCATCCACAACAAAAATGACGAAATTGCTACCGATTCAAGGTGAAAGGTATGGACAAAACTGGAATTATGAAGGCCTTCACCTGATCGCAAAGGGCGCCTTTGGCCAAATTTATAAAGCAAAACTTATCGAACCGGGGAATTCTCTGAATGCAGATTTCATCGCTCTCAAGGTGGTTCACTTCAAGAACGAGGAGGTCCTATCTGACGAATCTGCCCGGGAGAAAATGCGCAAACGATTTCAAAGACTACTGGAAATTAAGCACCACTGCCTTGTTGTGTATCATCAAATTACCATCGACTCGACAACATCACCGACTAGTTTCACTGTACATTTACTGATGGAAAACTGCTCCGGTAAGCACGCATCTTGACAGCGAACGTGGTTGACAATAAATCCCTTCGAAAACTGATCACTTATCAAAGAAATTTGGTTTTAGGCGGAGATCTGGCTGGGCGTTTGCAGAAAGTGAAAGCTACGCGGACAAATGCGCGCAGCAATCTGCCGGCGCGGATAACCCTTGATCTGCGAACAGCTGTTTGTTATGCACAGCAAATAGCCGAAGGACTGCAATGCCTCCATAGAAACTGCATTATTCATGGGGATCTCAAGCCAGGCAATGTACTGATACGGGTTGTGCGGGATGAAGCGGGAATTCAGGAACAACTGGTAATCGGTGATCTGGACGATTTCATACAGATGCAGAATAACACGACATGCTCCAAAGACGTTAGTACGACCCACACATGCGGCACTTTACGCTACATGTCACCGGAAATGCACTGGAAGATGTCACAAACTCCTACCGTCAGTCCGGGCCGCAAAGTAGATATCTGGAGTTTGGGCTGCATTATGCTAGAAATGGTCAACTGCATTCTAGGCATCGACCAATTATGGTTGCGTAATGTGAAATCATCAGCCGATAAAAAACGAGGCGACAATGTGGAAGACTATAGCTACGCGCTACTGGTTTGCGCTGGTTATGTTCCCATTGTGCCGAAAGAGACGCCGGCTGCGTTTGCTGATTGCATTTGCCGATGTCTGTCCTTCCCCAGTGAACAAAGACCCAGAGCTGCGGAAGTAATGGAAATGCTGCACGATCCAGACGTTCTACATAAAATGCAGTCTGCAACATCAGACAGCTGTAAATGTTCCTTAGTCTGAAATGTTTTCTAGAGTAGCCAAGGTCAAATGGACCATGAATCATCGTCGTGTCGGTTTGCATAAGTAAAGTATACGATTATGGAACAAAACAGCAGTACATAACTCTTACAAATGCGCTGGAATTGTTAGTAGTATATGGAAAGTTAGCGGAGATGGATAAAGGAAACAGCCTACAGAGGGTGCGGCAGCCAAATTGAAACAGCTCATTCAAAAATTCTCAATAATTTTGTTTTTGAAATTATTTGGCAATATTTACCACCATTTTTTCCTACCATGTATTTGCTCTTGAATGATGCTAATTTCCTGGAAAAGTTATTTGCCATTGCTCGAATAATCAGGTTCCAGAAAATGTCAACGATTTTTAGGCTTGACCAGTTGAAAAAAAAGTCTATGGGCAATTTCGGCTAGACGAACGAAATTCTCTAATCATAGTTGTTTTCATATTATTACTCTTAACCATAGCAACAGAAAAAAATGTGGTTCTCCATATAAAAAACCTGTCCCCTGATTTGAGATGCCGAAAAACAAAACTGAAAAACGCTAAAAAAAGCTTACAAAGGTGCAGGGTTCATGTTCGCAGCGAAAATTTTAATTTCAGAACCTGCTGCCATGCGAATTGTCCCTTCCATGATGAAAATGAAAGCTGAGTGTCACATAAACCATATTTCAAAGTTTCCGTCCGCAGAAAACATTTCTCGAGTTCAGCTTAGAGCGAGACGAGAAGGTCCCCCTCGGACTGGACACTGCCCAAGCTAACAAGACCAGCAAAATGCACCGATGGGTGAGATCCGGGTAACAACAAGCACATTCCCCCACAGAAATGAATGCTGAATTCGTTTAACCTATTTTCATTCGATCCCGGAATGAACGAGAATTTTTAAAAATTATTTTGTGAACAAAGTGCGCTTCGGATTTTGCGGACTGGTAAGGTGCTCCCGCAGTGCCAGACTTACGTTTGAAATTCTTCTTCATCAAAGATTCATAGCAGATTCGCTTAATGGCGTTTAAGACATACCTGATTGTTCGGGCATTCAGATAAAAAAGTTTGAGAAAAAAATGTTTGCAGTACACTGCGAAAAAAATTTTGAAAAGTTGTTTCAATTTGGCTGCCGGTGTTTCAATTTCAATTTGTTTCAATTTGGCTCTGTATGAATGCATGTATGGTTTGTTTGTTTGTTTGTTTAATGGGCTTAATGTCTGCGACGATCAGGTGTAACCTGCACGAGGTCGTAGACTACTCATAACAGAAAAAGCTTTCGCAGTAGCGAAAGCTCTACGCAAAGAAAACCGCAAAAATAAACAAATATTTACAGTAAAGAGTAATGATCCTTATGAATGAAACGTTTTGTCCATTTCAAGTCAGTCCATTTAACAGCAAGGAGAGAGGATTCAAAGCGGCTAATGTTTAAATATGATTCCTTCGGGAGCTGAATCTCGTTCCACAGACTCGCCATGAGGAAGGCAAAACTCCGTTCGCTTAGGAGTTGTCGTCCATCCGAAGACACCGTTCCAACGGGTTCCACTGCATAGGGATGATCGTCCAGCGAGGTCATCTGACGCGTTCTACCTGCAACAGAGTCGAAAGCAGTACCATGGTTTTCGCGTAATGTAAAAAACTTTTCACCATAAGGAACAACATTAAAGACCAGTTTATACGTCAAGAGTAGAGACTTTCGAATACGACAGAACAACAGGGACTTGTAACCTGATTTACTAAGAGTTTCACAGTACTCGAAGTGACAGGGTCCAAACCGGTGGAGGTATATTCTTTCATGTTCCATAATCTGTATTAGAATCACTGTCGAGTGAGTGAGGGAGAAGAACTCATTGGGAATAAATCATCCATGTCTTGTCGCTTTCGTCCCGTAAGTAAACCGCACTAAACACCAGTCACAATAAGCAACTACTGTAGTCTCGTAGCCTTTGAGATCATTGAGCGAAGTGACTTGAATCATGGTAATACGTGTACATGCACGAGAACTTTCGCATTTGCGAGCTCCCAAACACCGAAGTTCCTGCAGCTTTTTCAAATTTCTAAATAAATTTGAAAAATCTAGAAATTAATTTTTAATTTCGAAGGAATGTTGGACCTCTTGTTCAGTGTGAGAACGCTCTCCATAGCTATGAGCGCTCGTATGCAAAAGAAGACCGGTCCATATCGAGACGTTTGTAACTTTGTTACACCTGCTTGTGCTTACACTTTTTGGAATTTTGTTGCACCCATAAATTAACAACCGGGTGTTTCGCGCCGACGCGCACAACGGTTCTACGCCAGTGTATACAAATCTTCCGACTGCAGAGCCTGAAATAGCAATACAGAAACGTGTTTGGTGGCCCTGAAAACAGAAGTGCTAGTGCACGCATGTAGCCGGCAGGAAGGTTGACGGGTTGATGGTTGATGTTCAATGAAGGTCATCAACCTTTCCATCAACCTTTCCGTCAACCTTTCTCGAAAGGTCATCAACCTTTCTATACGGCAAATTTCCATGCTGAGTCGGCACAGCACAGGCAGGGCACGCAATAAAGCAACAACTCTAAGCCCAGCCAAGAACCTGCCAAAACGCAAGTAAGAGGGATGGTGGATGATGAATGAAATCGCATCCACCTTCCTGCAGGAGCCAGGAAGAATCATGTCCACTTTTCTGCCAAATCATTGTCGCTTTAAACTGATCCAACATGGACGCCATTGTGAGCATTTAGACCCATTGTGCGATCAATGCATGCCGCCACTGCTCGGCTTAAAGGTGGACGAAGATATGTCTACCGCTCTACCTGTACATTTTATACTGACTAATTTGCTTCTAGTAAATAATTTGCTTCTCGCGCCTGTCGATGGATAACTTTCAATTTAAATTTACGAAATATATAGTTCACTGGGATATGAAAGCACGACCAAGATGGCGTATAAACTGTATAAATTGAGCGATAGACAGTAAGACATATCTGCGTCCGCCTTTCTGCCAGAGCAGTGACGGCATGGTCTGATCTCACAAGGGGTCTGAATGCACATAATGGCGGCATTGTTGGATAATTAAAGCCGACACTGATTTGGCAGAAGGATGGACGCGCTCCGGCAGATTGGTGGATGCGATTTCATTGTACTTCCACCGTCCTACAGCCCTTCTTCTTGCCGGTTACGGATGTTTAATAAAAGTCATCAACCATTCTGTAAAGGTCATCAACCTTTCTCTGAAGATCATCAACCTTTCTCCAAAGGTCATCAACCTTTCTCCAAAGGTCATCAACCTTTCTCTAAAGGTTATCAACCTTTCCGTCAACCTTTCTCGAAAGGTCAACATCTTTCCACTAGCTGTATCCGCTGATCTGCTTTGAAGGCACGGTGTTCTTAAGCCTTAATTTTACGGAACCTAGTGACTGTATTTTTCATCGCACTAAGTCCACGTGTTCGATTGCGTAAGTAGGTCTAATACTGACACGTAATGCGCAAAAAGTAGTCACAGGACTCGCCAACTGTCCTGCAGAAAGTTAGGTATGGAAGAAGATCTTGTCATTTTTTCGTTGATTTCTGTGTGCGGTGTAAAAATTTCACAATGTGCGTCATTTTACGATTAATCGGTTGGAAATCTCCTCATCCTTAACTCAAAATTTTAATTAATGAGCACAATAATATCAAGGACACCGCCGGTAGAAAGGTGGATGACCTTTTCGAAAAGGTTGATGACCTTTACAGAAAGGTTGACGACCTTAACGGATAGGTTGATGACCTTTGCGAAAAGGTTGATGGCCTTTGGAGAAAGGTTGATGATTATACTGAGTTGTTAATGATCTTTAAAAAAGGGATTATGACTTTCGACAGACAGGTGGACTACCATCATAACCCTCACTAAAACCAGGAGTTGCAATGACGCTATTTGAATGCAAAACGCGGTGCTGTTCATAATGTTCTTGTCCTAAAGCATAAAGGTCGGAAAATAGTTACAGATAAAGTGCACAAATGGCGCGAACGTGACAACCAAAGAAAGACATCTGCGCCTTTCGTCTTAAGTTTGAAGTGTTGTGCTCCTATGTGTAATACCTAATTCGGGTAATTTTTCCAGTAATTGTAACCGAGCATTAAGCAAAGGACAGTCCCTGCAGTAAGGTTTCGGCTACTCTGAGCGCATAATCATAGGGATCAAAGTGATTTCATATGGCCGTAATGTTTCCGAATGCAGTTTTTAAATCAATGGATGCCGAGAAAAAAATGTCAAGAAACAAAAAGTTAATGCTAAGAGAGATTAGACAGATAAACAATGAGCAGAAAGATAAATATGTTGGGCAGCTATTAGGATAACCGGCAAAAAGGTGAAAGCTTCTGCAGAAAGGTGGATGACCTTTAGAAAAGGTTGATCACAAAGGCTGATGACCTTTAGAAAAGGTTGACGAGAAAGGTTGATGACCTTTAGAAAAGGTTGATGAGAAAGGTTGATGACCTTTAGAGAAAGGTTGATGACCTTCATTGAGCCTCAACCATCAACCCGTCAACCTTCCTGCCGGCTACACACGCACACCTATAATACAAATTGTGGCGAATTACCGGGGCACTTCCTTTAAGTGTCGTGCGAGTATAATGGCATCATGGCTACATTATCAAACTTTACCACCTCCAATGAACAGCAGGTTTATTGCATGTTGACGACTTCCACACATCATCGACCCTATCTGGTCCAAACCGCCCACAAAACTACCAACAAAACCATAACCAAACAACCCACGGTATATAACAGCGGGAGCCGCCACCTTCCTGTTGTAGGTGCACGAAATTCCCGACTCGTTTCAGTGAATTCAACCTGTTCTTCCGCTTTAGGAGCAATACGGGGATGGCGCAGCAGTGGAAGAAGCTCCTCAGCAGCCGCTCGCTTGTCGCTCTGGTAACGCAAGCAGCGGCGAATCGACGCGGCAATGCCGGCGGGAGCGCGCTTTGGCACTAGCGGGATATAACCCGCCGCTACCATCAGAATAAAACTATCAGCGTCTACATCGTCACCCCTCTTTTTATCGCCAGTATCGATGTTTCGCAACCACAGTTCATCCCGATCGATCATGCAGTTAACCATTTCCAGCATAATGCATCCGAAACTCCAGATATCCGTCTTCATTCCCAGTTTGGTTGTGGGATCCCGCAAGTACTTCCCGCACATTTCCGGCGACATGTATCGAAATGTACCTCGCGTGTGGGTAAGCGTGATGTCTTTGGTGCAACTGATACTGTGCTGAATTTGAATAAAATCATCCAGATCACCGATTACCAGCACTTCCCGAACCACATCGTTGCTTTGCACGATCCGGATAAATATATTTCCGGGCTTAAGGTCTCCATGGACGATGCTCTTTCGATGGAGAAAACCTAGTCCTTCCGCTATCTGCAGCATGTATCTGGCGGCGGTTTCCACATCCAGTCATATCCACGACGACGCATCAGTATTTGGTGTATTGTGCCGCAGCTTGTTCTGTTTTTGGAACATCGTTAGACGGCCAGCCAGGTCTCCACCTAGTGCAAAGGTAAACATTATGCATAAAAAAGAATCTTGTACAGAGTATAAACTGTATATCGCTTTTGTGTTTATGTGTGAAAACTGTGTGTCAGCTTTAAGTAAGGTCGCATTGATGTGCACTACCAGTACCAAATCGATAACCTTCGCTAAGAATTGCAAAAAAATCTAATAAAAGTCATTCTAGTGCTGTTTGCATTTTTCAAGGGAATGAATATTGCGCAATGTACACTTAACTGGTGTAATAGTCCATCAGCAGATGCACCGTATAGTCTGGACCAATTGTTGTGAAGTCAACGGTAATCTGATGGTAAGCGGCAATGTGGTCATGGTGGATGTTCAGTAGTGTCCGATAGCGGCTGCGTAGGTTTTGCCTGGTTATTGCAGTCCTGAATAAATTCTTTTTGATATGAACTACCTTGACAGCCACAGTCGGCGCACCGACGTAGTTTCCATAGTCCGTGATTGTCGCCGTGTAAACATGCCCAAACGAACCCTGCCCGATATGTCCGCCCACTGCAATTTCATATCGGCAGGTTTTCCCATGTAATTCGGATGCGATAGGAATTGCTTCCATTTTTAATAAGAAAATCGATGCTTTAGTTTGCAGTCTTCGTTAGTATTTAACAGTGTGGGCTGGGTTGAACACAGCTTTAGGCAAATGCTGGTCTGTTGCCACAGACTTAAGTAAAGCTCAAGCAAAACTATGCCCGGTTGCTGTATCACGATAATATCACTAATATGGGCAGTAGCAAGCAAGCAGCACTACTGTATGTTTGTGATATGAAGACTTAGCATTGTACAGTTGCCTGATCCTCTGTTGCAAGTTGCAACCGATAACAGTTCTGCGATCGGTACGGGGGTTGGTAACTTGGTGTTAACAACAAACGGAACAAATGGTTACTGTGTTTATACAGGAAACACACAGGTTAATGTTAATATTGGATGGTCAAAGGTGCAGCTTTTACGAAGAACTTAAGCGGCATCTGCATGATCTTTAATCAAACAAATGATACTTGTACCGTACTTCATCAACTCATGTCACCCCCTTATAGAATCTCCTATAGACTGCATTTTGCCACCGTTTTCAGAAATAAAAATTAATTTAAGACGAAAAAGAGCACCTCCTAGGATCATCACAAAAAATACAGACACGGGGAAAATAACTGATAAAGTATTTCAGCTGAGTTTCCAGGCATGCTGAATGATGGATCCGATAACGTGAGCAGTCAGTTTTGTTTTTGGTTTGCTCCTAAAAAGATTAACGGGAAGCCGGATCCGAATGTAATCTAGATCTCTTCGATCGTCAAAATATATGTTGCATAGAAAGATTTCTTCCGGACCATAAGACAGTTAGCATAAATTAGAATGGAAGGAACAAAATCAACATACATGGCTTTACATCTGATGGGGTCCTGTTTAACCACGGCTCCGTCCACGCACACTCCCCCGCCCAGACGGTCTAAGAAGTGGACATGGTACAGAGCGATCTGGCGGGGAATACCTCGGCCCCGTGAAAACCTGCGGAATTGCTGGGGCAGAATGCCACACACTGGACCGCGGAAGCGCATTCTGAGCGGGAGCTAAATTTTGTCGGTGGTAGTGGGCCTGCACTAAATTATCCACATCCTGCGTTTTTAGCTGGTATTCCACATCCTCGGTTTTTGGCCGGTAGTCCACATCCTGAGCTTTTGGCCGGAAGTCCACATCCTCAGTTTTTGGCTGGTAAGCAACGATATCGTCTTCTTGCGCAATAGCGACAGAATTCGGAAGTTTAGGTTTTGCAAAACTGAAGAGAACTAGATCTGCGAGCCGAGGTTTGTCTGCTGGTATAATTTCCACATCCTGGTGTTTGGTCTTTTGCGCGTCCACTGATTCATCGACATAGTCTGTGTCGAGCGGTGGATGGTAGTTGGCCGCCAACGAAGCGGCTTGGTTTCGCAGTTGTTCCCTTTCTGCTAAGACTTTACGCACTTTTTGCCGGAACCAGTAAGTTGGATCATCTGGCTCGTGCTTCACGATCTTCTGGCGGTCAGGGTCGTTCTCGGTCTTCTGCCGATATCTAAAGTAACGGGGATTGAGGCGAGTTTCGTGAGTATTATTTACTTGGAAGTCACCAAGTTCCTCCATTAGATGATCGGGCAGATTTTGGCCAGTCACTGGTGTCTGCTGTGGCTTTTGGAGAGATTCCGCAGGTACATCATCGTGATAAATCAGCGAATTTAGGATATCCGTGATTGTTACGACGTCCAAAAGGATGCGGCCTTCCGGAGTTTTGGGCTCCTGTATAAACTGCGCCGCCGTCACGTGACATAGGCACGTTAGTGCGGCTACAACATGCAGCGGCTGCATACTGCTAATGCTAACTTCCGCTAAGAAGCTGTCGGCATACAGTCATGGAAAGAAAAGATGGTCAAGTTATCACAGATTTTATTAACCGAAGCATCCGTTGCAGTCCTCACTCAGTTCTAAGCATATCTTTAGCTATCGTTTTACACCGTAATAATTAACGTTTAGTCAGTGCAACAGACTGCAGTGGCATAATTTTGTTGTCGGCCATAACAGGGACTTGGAAGGAAAGGACCAAAGGTGTGTGTTTGACCAAAGCAGTGAATCACGTGTTTGTCGGTATTCGTGCTTCCGTTATCACTGGCGCAACGGCAAATGTTTACACTGCCGCTGCGTCTGCAGATGCCGTTCTTCTGTACATTAGAGAAACTGCAAGCGAAGAATCTGTATAAAATATTTACTTCACAGCCAGAAAGCCGTCTCTCTACAGATACACTACCTGGCCGCTTGAATTTCTACTTCCCCACAGCGGATGTATATAAACCATGTTTATTGTGTACACACTACACAGATACGAGACTACCAGATATATGTCGCTATAACAATCACAGATCTGAATAGGGTGTACGTGCTGCGGCATTAGGCGCACCGGAAATTGGTATAGTACTGTACATAATCCGTTTCTTAAGTATCGGTTAAATGAGCGAGCGCCGTGTCGCAACTGCCCAAAAACTGCCGATGGGTCTACTTCACTGTGATTGTGACGCTTTTAATGGGCAATTTTTTATTTCTGGGTATCACGCGTAATACCCAGTAGAAGTTTATTACTGACTTAATACTGAGTAGGTTCGGTTTCCATACTGCACACTTCGAAACCTCTCGCAACCCGATCCTTTTTGCTGTGCGGTTTAGCAAAGCGATCACCAACGTACTAGATTAACAGTGTTGCACACGGTACTGGCTTAACAATTCCACATGAATTCGAAACCGAAACAGTTTACACCCATAAGCAATATTGATCGATGTATCGATGATGTGTATCGATGACAATGTTTGGCTGATCACCTAAGTAAGTCCTGATGATTGATTCCTGGATGGGTGGAATTTTGCGCTAAATTTCCCTGCGCGCCTTGGGGGTGTTATCCTTTGGCTGGAAGGGTGGCTCCAGAAGATTTAACCTTGGCACCGTACCACGGAAGGGGAAAGTGCCACGGAACGGGGAGCTGCTCGCGGCAACCTAATCTTCTTGGGCATCTTGCTCTCTCGCGGACGCATTAGGTGGGTCTTTTTCCTGTTGCACGTGTAATATGGTTCGCGATCAGCCTTGCCCGCACTGTCGAGTGTGTTTCACGCAGGGAGCTGGATTCGCTGCTCACACACGGGCATGTTCCCGCAAACATGCCTCGGGTTCCTCCTCTGCCCAGCTTCCACCTCCACCCCCAGGACAACCTCTCAAACACCCGCTGCAGTTGTTTGTGGAGGGTGATCGTTTCCACATCCCGAAAAGAGTTCCGAAAGCTGTAAGACGGCAGTGTGCCAGGGTGTTGACGGAAATCATCAGAAAATGCATCCGCACTAACTCATCGGAGAGCTGGATCGACCTGCTGCTTTTCGCACCCACGGCCTTGTCACTCCCTCCGACGAAAAGCTTGCGCAGGGAATCTCTCGCAGCTCACATCCGGAAAAACCTTGCAGACCTGTCAATAGCGAAGCGCCACGCTGTTCCTCGCCGTGACCAACCCAGACACGATGAGCTGCCACCTGACAGATTACGGGCTCAAATTGCTTCTACGCTTCAGGATGGAAACGTGAAGGGGGCAATCAGGATTCTACTAGGCGATGATAAACTCGCGGAAATAAACCCTCGTACTATTGAATCGTTGCGCGACAAACATCCCCCAGCACCTGATGACTGCCAGTTCCCTGCGGACCCAGATGACAGCACAACACCGCCCGCAGTCACTCCAGCCGAGCTGATGGCCGCAGTTTTCAGCTTCCCGTCCGGTTCCGCTGGAGGTGTGTTTGGCCTACGTCCTCAGCACTTGAAGGACCTCCTCGTACGCAAAGATGACACACAGAGCGAGCTGTGCTTAGCCCTAACCGACCTGGCTACCATGGTGTTTAGAAAGAACCTGCCTGAAGATGTGCGGCCCTACTTTTTTGGCGCAAATCTAATCCCGCTCCTCAAAAAAGACGGCGGGATACGGCCGATCGCCGTGGGAGAAACTTTGCGACGTTTGTTTTCGAAAGTTATTAGCAACCGCTGTTCTGAAGAAGCAGCTGCGATGTTCAGGCCGTCCCAGCTCGGATTTGGAATACGTGGAGGAGCCGAAGCCGCTGTGCATGTTGTCCGCAGCTACATCGAAACGACACACACGGAAGCCAGAATCGTCGTTAAGCTGGACTTCCGCAATGCTTTTAACACACTCCGTCGGGATACTCTACTCACTGCTGTACACGCAAACTTTCCTGCCTGCTATCGGTACATCTGGCAGTCGTACCGTTATCCTTCACATTTGTCCTGCGGTTCGTCTCAGTTGTCATCGGAGACCGGTGTACAGCAAGGAGATCCATACGGGCCACTAGGTTACGGACTTGGTACATTGCCGCTGTTTGAAAACCTGGACTGTGACATTGCGGTGGGTTTCCTGGATGATGTCACGCTGGCTGGACAGGCGGATAAAGTTATCGCGGCAATACGCACCATTATTGCTCGCGGCTTCAAGATGGGCTTAGAGCTTAACCTAGGAAAATGCGAAATCTACAGCACAGGAAGTTTCACTGCGGATCGTCTACACGCCATTCGGAAAGTCCTGGACGTATTTCCTGGAATGCTAGTCGCGAAGGAGGAAGACTTGATGCTGCTGGGCGCGCCTTTAACTTCAGCAGCATGCGAAGTGTTCCTGGTCAACAAAACCGAACAGTTGGATCATTTCCTGCGTCGACTGAAAAACATTCCAGCTCACTTTAGCCTATACCTACTGAAAAACTGCCTGTTTATACCAAAACTGCTGTATGGATTTCGCACCGCGAGATGTTATGAACATATGCCGTTAATGGAAAAAATGGATGAGTGTATACGCACTGGTTTGTCATCCATTTTGAACATTCGGGTGAACGATATGCAATGGAGCCAGATGACGCTTCCAGTAAGAGACGGTGGATTAGGACTTCGCGCTACTAAATCGCTAGTTTTCCTGCCTTCCTGGCATCGGCGTATTCAGTGGTCAGCCTGGTCTCCTCCATCTACCCGTCAACGAACGAAGCGCACCTAGCACCTGTCGTTCAGCAATGGGTAACGCTAACAAGAAGTGAGCCTCCGATTGACGGCGCCAGAAAGTTTCAGACTGCATGGGACCGTCCGGCAATCGATTACGTGGTGTCATCACTGCGTTTAGCCGCTACCAATGAAACGGACAAAGCAGTACTGCTAGCCGCCTTGAATCGTGATTCCGGGGCATGGCTCAACGCTCTCCCTGCACCAAGTCTCCATACATTCTTGCGTGACGATGAAGTAAGAATTGGCGTCGCATTACGGTTCGGACTTCCTGTGGTTGAAGAGCACGACTGTGTCAATTGTGCTAGCCACGTGAAACTAACGGCCACCACGGGCTGTCATGTTCCAGTAGCAAAGGACGATGGTCCCGGCATCTCGAACTGAACAACATTGCTAAACGCAGCTGGGAAACGGCGGGCTTTCCCTGTCAGAATGAGCCATCGGGATTGTCAGACAAGGATAACAAGCGACCGGACGGCATGACACTGATACCCGTGCGTGACGGAAAGGCGGTAGTGTGGGACGCCACCTGCTGGGACACCGTGGCTACCTCGCACGTAAAAGCCAGCTCAAAGAAGTCAGGTAACGTGGCACGGCTGGCGGAAGACTTTAAGCGCGGGAAGTACGGATTTTTGGAGGATATGGGGTATCTGTTCTACACCCTCGCAGTCGAAACCCTTGGAACTTTTGGTTCGGAATTTGCTGAGATGATACGTTTTGTCGGGAGGAAGATTCGCGATGTGACCGGGGAATCTCGATCTACGGCTTTCCTTAGACAACGTTTTAGTCTCGCTGTTGTTAAAGGAAATGCGGCTGCTGTCTTGGGTACATTAAACGCGCGACCGAAAGTTGGATGTGACAGTAATGACTTTGGTTGTTTTTTCAATGTGTAAATTCAAACTTTTTAATTAGTGTCTTTCGGCGCAGGCTTTTTGTTACGTTTAATTGGCTATTGCCTGAATAAAAATCTTTTATACTGAGTAATACTCAGTGAGTATTACGCGTTCTGTATACATTGCACTTCGCTTACGTAGTGGGTACAGTTCGGGCCACATGTCTTAATAAATTTATATGTATCTGTAATACAGATACATATAATTCTATACAGATTCCATACAGATTCTGTATAGAAGATAATATTAGAGACAACCATGTACCCATTCTTATTTCGGAATGGAATCGGTCGTTACAGTGTGGAATTATTTTTGTTATATCTCAGCCTTGTATTTAATCTCGGCACCGGTATCATTCGGGTTTATAAGAAGGATTACGGGAAAACATTCGGAAAACCAGTCTGTACCTTATGGAATGATTATCCGGCCATTCCTGAAGCGAAATTTCCGGTTGATCGCTCGGTAAATTTTGTTTATATTCTGTGAATATTTGTATGTAACATTTGATATTGTGTGCGTATTTTTTTATGTATTGCGTATACAGCAAACGTTTTTAAATTAAACTATCGTTGTACTATAGGTTTACTTGAAGACAGGTGTTTTTGACGATGCTTGCAATCTATCAAAAGCGCCTACAGGGGAAAAATGGAGGAAATCCCCTAAAATGATATTGTTGATGGATGACTCCGACTGTGGACCAGTAAAAAACGGTGAAAAAATAAAGACGTTCTGGTCGTGAATCAAATGGCCCAAAATCGCCTGGTTATAACAGTACTTCTACCGTACTTACACAGTTACAGTTGCTATTATTTTGTGACGACGTAAATTCCCGCACGAAATTATAGAAGCACAGTGGACGTCAAAATTGTGTTACAATTATGTAATCACAAAACGTGCGCCACCAGGCACCTATCTGTACTCAAACCGCCACTTCCGGGCTGTCCATTGGCCTTTGTATTAACACGTACACCTTGCACATTTCCCAACAAAAACCAGCACCGATATCGCAAACGAAGGAGAGAAAAAATGGCAAGAATTTTAATACCAAGCAGATAGGTAGTTCTTCATGAGATCGATCTAAGAGGAAAATCGAGGCCCTAAGTTTCTCGTAGACACAGCATGAGATTTGAAGCCACGGTGGCTTCGAGTTTTCACGCAGAAATTGTATGTTATGTCTACGACAAATTAAAAATGACTCGATTTTCTCTTATGTGTCATAAAAGATAACTTGTTTGGTATCAAAAATCTTGTCGATTTTTTGGCATCCTTTTGAGATATCGGTGGTCTGAAACGTGCACGGCGCAAGTGTTCGAGTTCATGAGTCTATGCGCAATTGCGCGTTTCCTGTTAACTGGGGCAAATATTGGTCATTTGATCTTGGCTGTTAAATTGTCGGTCGCGGACCGTATGTCACACAATTTTCATGTCCACTGCAAGGGTAACGGTAATTATTCGGTTTTTGCGGTCATTGCAAACGCGAAAATTATCTTTTGGGCCTTTGGCTACATTGCACTTCTTAATTTTGTAGTTCTGGGAAGTGCAAGCAGCGGGAACAAATCAGACAGTGACGTTTTTTATGCCAAAGTCTTGAAAGCACAAGAATTTGATTACGTTGCAGCCATCGTATATCCGAGATTGCCCGTTAAGCGGCAGCGGCCTTCGGTCAGTCTTTCCGACCCCGAAAAGCCAACAACGTCTACCGACATCCGACCGTACCCCATTCCGGTGTCAGATAAAATGGCAAAACTTATAACGATCCCCGTGCATTTCGTTACGTATGAGCAGGGAATGATTTTAAAACACTATGCACATCAAGGTCAGGATTTTGCGACCGGGTATGTGTGATCGGATTAACTGCCCAGCAAGATGTGATTAATTGTGGAAGCCTCTGTAGATTTTCGTGTTCTGCATTGATAAACAAATACTTACATAAACTTTTTATTGTTTAAGAAAATCACGTTATTCATCTTTGTTCCGTTGTAAAAACCATAACGGTGGTCACTTAACTTACTCCAGCTTGTTCTATGGACGCTTTGAAGTGCTGGTACGCAAATAAAGAGATGTTGTACCGTGTGCGACATTTTGGTTGTATTTTGCAGGTTCCATTTTAACTTAGCGAGATTAAAAACCAATATACCGACCATGAAAAAAAATAGCTACCTGTCTGCTGAATGGAGCGAGTTTTTTCGACGGCACCGGAAATTAATATTTCTGGAGACGGCTCAAACAACATCCGCTTACTACGGCATCAACGTATTGACTCCACGGTACGCGTTTCCCGGCATATCAGTAGATCATCAGCGCTTCTTCCGCCTTTTCAAATGAGTGTCGGAAACATTGGTGCTAACAGTATTGTTACAGGCCGAATAACGCGTGGTCGGATGACGGTCGCGAATCTCCGACAATCGAACCACTACCGGCATATAGTACCTCGAATCCAGGATACACGTCACAAACGGCGAATTCACTTACAATTTATTTTGCGGTGATCCTATCTGCTGGTCTTGTCTTCGCTTTGCTGTTCTGTGCCTGTAACAAGATACGGCTGCGCCGACAACAACGAGCTGGTTCGCGACGATTTTCACCAAGAACCTTTTCGGTAAGCAGAAGAACAGTCGTAGTACGCGCCAAACGGTTGCAATGCATAGCCATCTTCACGAAAGGAATTTTACTCTTACGCGTGGCCTGCCACCGCTGAAAGACCTGCCTGCATATACAGATATTATGCGAGATTGCAAAAATGTAAATGATGCAACATCTACCTCGATATTACGCTATGACCTGCGCCTTGTTTTCGAACGTACAGATACCACAGAATTTAACCGGTGAAGAGACCGCGGAAGTTATGGCGGCGCGCCGGCGTCTGTATGGATTATGTAAGTTCCTTGTACAAGAGCAGGAAGCCCAAGAACGAGAACGCCAGACAGTCAACGATATACCACTTAGCGTCGAAGAAATGGAACAGCTTCCTCGCGTCGAAGTCACCGAACCTACCGATGATGTTTGCCCGTCGTGCCAACAGACTTTTATTGAGGGCGATCTTAAGATTGTCTTATCCTGCGCGCACGGTAACGAGACTACATGTTTTTGTACATTTTTTGGAGGTTAAGAGCATTAATTATCTGGCTTATCTTCCTTGTTCAGAAGTAAAAATGGAACTTGTGAAGTTTCCGCTTAGGTATCTAAAATTTCGTAAATATATTTTACGGAGATTTAATTTACCGTTACTGTGGCATGTGATTGTTCGCAAAGTTAATCAAAATTAGCTTTACACTTCTCTGTTTTCTGATGACCCTGCACAGTAACTGAAATTGCTTTAGATGGACATGAAGCTTGCCTGACAATATGGCTGACGATGTTTTCTCGGAACTGTTCCGTATGCCAACAGCCTGCCTTTGCGGATGGAACTGCTGAATCGACAACAAATTCCAGTATAGTACTGACTGCGGATACGTGCTCGCAGGGAACTGAATGACCCTTGTGCGCGGTCTCGAAACCTGCACGGCACATTACCGAATACCCTGTAGCGAATTTTTGCGTGAAAATGGCGGTGACTGCCCTTTTTTTATCATGCAGTGCTTTTTGTTTATGCTGTATCTGTATAGTTTACAGTTAAAGCTTTTGACCCCGGTCACGACCGACAGCGGCCACTTGAGCATGTCTCCGGTCACCTAGGTTATAACCTGGGTGACCGGGGAGCCTCGTATCGTAATTACGATACGAGTCTCCCCGGACATTCTTTTTTAATGAAACTCAATCGACACAAGGAATATACAGTAATCAGCAAACGAGACAACAAGTCGATGTACGCAGTTGCTGTGCACATTAATTGGTCTAAAGTTTAAACACAGCTCATCCACATGAGCCGATGATATTGAATTAAGTCAGGAGAAAAATTCCAGAAACATCGTAGTGGAAATCAAAGCTAGACAGAAATTAAACACCAAAGTACCAGCGTGTCCAGGATATCCGAGATCGTTCAGACGTCTAGGAGGAAGCTTTTGCAACCACTGGGCACCTATTCAAATGGCCACGCCCCGTGACAGGCACGTGAGTGTAACGCCACTACAACCGCAATAAACAGCAGCCGTCATAAACAGCTTGGAAGCCGACAAAGAAATTACTTATGAGAAGCTGGCTAAAGTCACGCAAAATCGAAGCCATTAGCAGCAGGATCCATCAGCAGGTATCCATCAGCAGCAGTTTCCTGTTTCAAGGAGCTCAAAACTTTATGACACCAGTACAGTTTTGTACCGTAAGAATACTCATTTTTGACCAATTTCGTGGCAGGTTATTGGCACCCCGTAGTAATCGGACAAATATAGGCTTGAAATAAACGGATCAAAGGTGTGTTTTATGACCGATCGATGGCAAACAGCTGCATTTCCTGCATCGGTACGAGTATAACTGTAATGAATACAGTTTTGTGTGTACAGTATTTGTTATCGATAACGCAACGGCATATATTTACCGGTCCACAAGATCTGCGCTTCTATAGTTAGAAGAAGTTAGCAAAACGCTTGAAAACGATTTTCAAAAGTAGATTCACTGCAGAAAAATAAATTTCTACACATCCCGCGAAGCCAAGCCCTAAAATACGGCAGAAATTAAAGAAATCTGTCAAAACAAAAAAGTAATCTGTCTTCCAAGACTGAATACTGCTTAATCGCAAAAATGACGTTGTATTGTTATATCAAGGTATATAGGGTTACCTGGTAGCGCGACTGGCGTACTTTTTTTGCCGTCACACCTCGTTAACATTTCTCGAAAGACAAAAGAAAAACAATGGCCGAAACGGCCATCAAGTTGTAATCGTATGGCAAGGATTTGCGGACGATCCATAAAAGCTACAAACTTTTAATAGACACAAAGCCTTCGTAGAATTTTACGCTGATTCTGAATCTGCAAGTTTGTTTATCGGAATTCCAAAAAAAACATCCGAGTCGAGTAAAGTAGTAGAAATGTGGTTTGAATCGGGCATGTAGACATAGAGGCCAGGCAGGCCGCGCGCATGGAACAGTCTGTCTGCGCCCTACAACCGCACTCACTCCGATTGCTGCTGCGGCTTATATAAGGCTGACTCATATTCATAATTTGACTTATGCAAAAATCATAATTTCTCATCAAATCGATAACGAGCATGAAGAGCAAGAAAAACTAGACAGAGAATGTGCAATCGGTTTTAAATAATTTTAAGCGGTTTAGGCTGTAGGCCGTGCCATACGTTTGGGCCCTTAATTACAACTTGATGCCTTTGAGTGAAACGTGCCGAAAATTACTGAATTTTTATACAGCAGATTCCCGACTTCTGCGCTACCAGGTTTAACCCTATATACCCTGGTTATATATCTATTATTTATAGTATAGATACGGTGAAAATAAAATGTTATAATAATACCCAGTTAGACTGACATTAAAGCAACCATAAACCGTTAAATTACTTCTTATTGCAATTTGCTGGTTACTTCTTCTTATTACAGTTCCCGATTCATCTGGTTATGGGGGACGCCTCGATTGCGGTGGTGTGCTTTTGAGTGCTTTTTAGCCGACGCAAAGCAAACTGCAACGGTCTATGTACGAGTACGTACTCGAGTCTTTTATCTTGTTACCGGTAATAGATGGGTCATTGCTATCTTTACAGGAAAACATGCATTTCATATGACGTAACATCGATAGAATATGGAGCACAGTATCTATTGCGCTGTAATTCCGATAATTGTAACTAACTTCAGTACACCTGCAGAATCGCTTCGTGCTTACGGTATCTACGGCACATTTTGCAGTCAGTACAGTACAATATACTTTAACAAAAATCCGAGCACTGTACGTTGAAACACAAACTTCCCGCGTTCCTTTTTTCCTCCCACTGACGGAGAATTTGCCATCAGCTAAAAGTATTTGCCAACGCAATCGCTCCTTCGATTGGTGCTTACGGTGACACCCGTCAAAGTATTACACACTTTGCATATCATACCAGGTAATCTAGGCAATTATTTTGCATCTTTGTACTTGTATTTTTCCCAGCTTCATTGTTTTAACATCAATTAGGTATATGTCGATTGTCCATCGTTATGACTTATGACTTCTCTGTGGGGTATGTGTACAGGAACTGACTATTTAATAACTATCGAATACCCCCTGATGCAAAGCATATTTTTATTTTTTTAGCGATACTGATTGGATGCTGTTGTACGCTTGTATGGTAAGTGTGCGTAGTAATACTAGGGTAAATAATGAGTAACGGTTAACACAAAATTAGGAAGTACAAACAGAACAGTATGTCTTTCGTCGGTTCAAATATTATAATCAATATATTCCTGCTTTCGCAGTCGTGGCGGTATTTGCATTCATTTATAATCAAATTTTTGGGTATGGCATGGCACGGTGCAGGCACGGTACCATGGTACACTACTTACTAAACCTGTCGATTAGATAGTCTTGTCGTTAGGTTATCAACTTTGTACTTGGGTCCCTGTAATAGAAGAGTAAAGAATAATCAGTCGTCATAATGGGCGCGCGATCGTGCCGGGGGATTTCTATATGTACAGTACTTCTATCCGTCGTAAAATCTTTGTCACTTACAATTGTTAGCTGCCTCAGGCATCGCAACAATGGCACGAATTATGAGAAAAAACAAAAAGAAATACATATTTTACTGAGAAAACTTTTTAGAAAATGAGTGGTGTTCTTGTATCGTAGGAACAAATGCAGAGACGCTAACCACTTCTGCCCAAACTGCCATCACTACATCGGAAGATACAAGCGACTGTGCTAACGACAAATTACAAATACAGTCATGACATTGACAAAATCGGCCAAAATCCAGCGGTAATCAAGAACAATTTTTGATTCAGTATTGCTCGTTATGACCAAGAAAAAATGTCACTTCCAAAAGTTGAACTGACTGTGAAAATGGTTATTTTTACTATATTATTATAACTGTCAAGAGTACATTGAGCACATTAATGTACATACAATATTGTCGGTGTGCAATAACTGCACATAATATTAAAGAAAAACAGCAAAATCCTATCGAAATTACCGTAGACGAAGTTCAAAGTACTGACCATCGACCACCAGATTCAAAGTACCGGACACCAGATTCAAAGTACTGGCCATCGACCACCGCATAATCAACCATGCAGCGAAGACAAGGGATTTAATAAATTCATCTTTCACGCTACGTTTTCGTTCGCTATGCTACCAAAAAATTGGTCATGTATAATATTATTAATAATATAAGTTTACTGTAAGATAAAAAAAAGTGCCAGTAGAATCGGCTTTTTTTTGTACCACATTGTATTGCATTTGTTTGCGTTCGATTGCTTGTATTGCCTTCGCTCGGATTATTCTTATATTGTAGCATGTGTGCAACTGATTAAAATTTGATTGCAAGCAAGTTGCAATAACCACAAATTCAAAGGCGCAATTGGGAAGAACAACTGCTTTCATAGCCGCGGTTAATGGGAAAACTACATGTAAATGCGGTAAGAACTTGAGCGGTGACCGGGAATAGAACATACGAGTAGATTGTAATAAAATCATCGATTGTTCAGAATGGCTATGGTGGTGGTGGATAATTAGCTGAGACTACAAAATTAGCACTACTCAGTTATTTAATTAAAATTAAAAGTACACTCCCAAACTAATTTCTGATGTTGCGTTTTTCGGTGTGCGAGGAGGAGTAATTATCAAGCCAAGAACAAATCATTTCTAGACCGATCAAGATGTTTCCGGAGACGCTTTAGAAGGTCTACCGGATAATTTATTAGTCGTCACCTTTTCAATCTGCATAAACAGACCAGCGCCGGCAAAACGTGCTCGAGTCAGCCTGCCGCTTGCTCCAGCCCTTCCACCGCGGAGACTGACTGTGCTCTCCCTCCCACCTGCATAAGAGGTTCTGTGTCCGCACCCAGTGGAATAACTGGTTCCGCTGTCAGTTGTACAAATTTTTCACGTTCCAGTTCTATCGGTTGTTGCGACTCCACTGACATTTCCATATCCGGCTCGTCCACTGACTCCGGGCTTTCCAGTGCCCGCTGTTCGGCCACACTGTGCAGGCTGTCGATTTCTTGCAGCATCTTGCGTTGTTTGGCACGGAATTTGGCACGTTGGTCCTGTGGCTTGGGGGTGAATACAGCCGGGTAATTTGATGGGTAACCTTGAGTCGTCATACGCGGAGCGCTACTGTCGTGACAAAGGGATGACGGCTTGTAGACCTCTCCATTCCGCGAAGCATTGATAATTGCCGTTAACAGTGGGCCAAGCCGCTGTTCTTCCGGCTGCTCGGCCAGAATCGCAGTGGCGTAACAGAGATAAATCAGTGCGAAGATGACCGGGAGAGCTTTCATTCTAATTTCTAACCACGGTATTGTGGGTGAAAAGATAGAATCTGCAGTGTCAGGCACCAAAATCCTCAAAGAGCAAAAATTTCAAATGTGCTACCCTACGCCTTACTAGCGAGCAGTTCAGTCAATGTAGAGCAAACAACTCAGCAGACTGACTCACACTTATTTACATTCAAGATGGATTGTTTACCAATAAAGTAAAAGATGCCACTTAATGATTACATACTTTCTTCAGCTGTTGAAACCAAATTACTTGCATCTAGGGGCCATTGTTAGTCACCGTGGTAAATCTTTCCATTCCGTAATCAGTCCACTGATCCTCTAACCAGTACGTTCAAAATTTTTTTAGAATGGGTTTGTGTTTTTGCTTGCTTAAAATTTTATTGGGGACATGTATTTCTGCTGATTCCACAGCCTAAAAAAGGGTAGCATTATTCTCAACGGAAGACTTAATACAAGATCTACTACACACTTAATTAGCGTGCAAAGTATCTGCAGTATAAAAGCAAAAAAGCTCTCAGAGTTTAATATTAAAATATCTTTAGAGTTGACACTGACATACGTATGCTAGTAAGTAAGACCTGGCACCTCAGAATTTTAGTTCACTACTCTACGATTTTTTTCACAATACCAGCGACAATTTCGCAGATATTCGCAGTTTAACATGTAGCAAAGTCAACTTGATGAACGCAAATTTAATTAGCGCCGCAATGCCAGGAACTGATCAATGTATCTGATTTAGTAACGTAGATTGTTTGAAATAACTTAGTTTCAGTTTAATAATTTTCAGTAAGTTTTGAAAATACAGAGCTCTGTTATTACTGTACACGAATACTTATTAGTTATTATCAATGCCAGATTTCGGCCCCTTTTCGTTTCCGCCAATGATCTCCACTTGGACTCTACCGATTTTTCTGCTCTGAAGTGTTACAGAGTCCTTTCACTGTGGCGGGGAGCCTCCGATTGTTGACCTATTGCCAACTTGATTTTGCAGTGCCGGGTGGTCACTCCAAATCTTTTTACCAAGTATGTCATAACCTTCACATGGACTGCTGGTTTCCACGGATGTAATGCTTATTTTACGAGTACATTTGCGTAGTATTCTGCAATAACAAATCCAATAATACCAAAAATTCATACAATATTCCGAAGGTGTAATTAAATCTGGATAAAAACTCGTTGTAGGAACAATCTGTTTAGTATCTTTCATACGAGTAACTTTTATTAGCTGTATAGTGTATACGTTGAGAATGGCCTACAATTATTAAGACTTAGTATGCTTCGATATTTCTGAATATAGAATTGATTTTTATTGATCAGTACGTAGCGAAAAATGCAGTACAAAAGTATCGGTTAACAATAACAACTATCCATAATATCATCTCCGTTCAGCTAGGTGAAAGGCAAAGTACAAATCATCTTTCTCTATCTTGTCGCTAAATGTACCGAGTACAGAAACTGCATCTGAATATAGATACACCGCCACTTTAGTTATATGACCGTATTGTATTTCAGGACACGACTATGACAGAACTGCCCGGGTTGGTTCGCGCAATAGCTTGAAATATCTACTGCTGCCGCCTTTTGAAATGTTTTGTAACAATCACGCAAGAATTACAAAAAAAAACGCATCCGTGCCCATAAACCTGTGCTCCGGCTGCACAGTGTCCGAAATACGCGGACGAGTGCTGGACGAATGGCTCGCATAGATCCCCTGATACCAACAAAACCGCCTTGTGGGCCAATACTCTACGTTACGGGCCACTCGTGGGCCAATACTACGGGCCAATACAGACCACGATAAACATGCGGTGGTTTCTCGGGAAACTCGATTTTTCTCTGGACTACATTATGCTATATTTAAGCCTGCTTTGGCTCTTCGACTTTCCGCTGCAAGAAAACCGATATCTTTGCGATTTCCAACGAAATTTCAAGTTACTTTTGCAGCAAAAGTACTTAACTTGCAGATTCGCGCGAAAAAACTTGTATTTTATAAGGTTTTGACCCGACAAAAAATTGAACCAGTTATTTTGTTTTATTTTAAAAATTTGACCATTTTTTTCCATTTAATTACAACTATTTCGTAACTTTTTGGATTCTCAGCGCTATTCCAAGCCACTTGTGAAGAAGACAGACCGTAAACCATTACACTACAACCGACCATGACACACTGAATGCATAAAACTTTAATTTGTGACATCAATTTTTCTGTGTCCAGTTTTCCCCGATGAGTCCACTCAAAGAACAACAAAAACATTTGCAACAAACAATCAGTCGAAAGGCTGCGAGCCACACTGGTAACAAAAATGCCGGCAAGGACAACTGTCATGAATCCGGATCACTGGTCAATGCGACACAGGCCGCAAGATTAACCGGCTGAATTCGTCATAAAAGAATAAAAATCCATCTCGTTTGTTTAGAACAGATGCAAATGGAGGGAATTAATCCAGTGGATGGTGGACACCCACGCCGGCATCCGTTTTAACAGATCGTCCATCAGCGGACTGCTGACCGTCAGAAAATGATTGACCACGCCCACTTCCACCACCCCGGAAGCTGCGGACGCCCGGCTGGATCCAGATCCGCACTACAAAGAGCACGAATTCAACTAACGCACCCGCAAACAATATGATCAAGCGCAATACACTCCGTGACTCCATTACGGATAATAATATTTGTTTTCCTCAATCTGCTTCCATTCTTGTCAGTTTTTCTATTTTTTATTTTCGTTTATTTTTGTGCATTTCAGATTTTAAACTGTATTTTTTACTTTATTTTATTTTTTTCATTATGTTCATTTTTATTCCGTCAGTTTTTTTTATTTTCGTTCAGTTCTTGCTCTTTTTTTCGTGTTAGCTCCGACCGCTCTTAATCGCTATGTTTGCACAGTACCGCTCTGAAACACTCAAGATGTTTTTAAAAAGCACAGAAAAGGAACGATTTTTTCCTTAAATTACCAAGCCGATTACCGATATACACAGTTAATCATGGCGCTTAAACGCTTAACTCAATCCATCTGTGAAAGTAAAAATTCCAATTTAATCTGTTGTACATATATACGGTGCTTGTAAATACTATATTTCTTTTAATTTAATTTTGTATATTTAACGAGCTATTTGTCTATCAATCCTACCCGCACATCCAGCCAGAAGACCTTCTCATACACCGGCTTCTTGGGATTGTAGCCGGCCACCAGGAAGACGAAGAAGCTCTGCTGATCGCGACTGATCGGTCCCTGCATCGGCACATCCGCCGTCAGATTCCACGCCAACAGGAAGCAGTGCGACAACGGCGATAAGTACACATTGCTGTGATCAACCACTACAAATCCACAACTTTATTAATTTTATAACCAAACGTGCACAAAATAATTGCAACAACATTTCGAAAAAAGTTCAACTATGCCAATAAAATCCCCATAAAACCTAAAAATATAAGCTGAAACAGAAAATAAATATAGAGATATATCCCATTAAGAAATAATTTATCATATTCTATGCTATCGCATCGAGCTTACGCTGTGCAGAGAGAGTGATGCGGTGCGTCCGCCAATTTCCTTCATGATCGAGCACCTGTTCGTCCAGTTTCTTCACGTTCGGCTGATACGGGACACTGGCCATTTCCGGCACTTTCACCACTTGATGATGCCTAATAAAAACCATCAAATAAATAAATGAAGTAAAATAAATCAATTCACACATAAGTAACATAATTCTACGAAAAATACGCAAAAAACAGTAAACACTAATAACTGGTAATTAAAATTTTGTATAATCATAACCGAATGCTACAAGAACTGTAAATGACTGTCTATAATGTTTCCCATCATTTAACTGCAATTTTTTCCAAAAATATTACCAACGCTCAAAAAGAAGAAATACGACAAAACACACGCGCTGTGGCCCTTAAAAAACTAACTGTCTCTGCTTTAAGCCATACTTTAAGTGTTCCATCATTGGATAAATAAAGGGCAGTCCATAATACAGCAGATCATGGCGCATCGGTTCGGTGCGCTTTTGCACTTCCTCCGGTGTGGTATCGAACACCTGGCCCAGATTGATGGGTGACACACCCTGAAAATCCAACGGCACGATCCAGACGCCGTTATCCGAGCTGGTCAGCGTTCCGTTCCGGTTAAAGGTCTCGCGGTGGAAATGCTACCGGCAAAATAAACCAGAATTATCCAATTCGATTTCTTATACCGACAGTCATGATTAGCTACGGCCTATGTAATTATAGAATAAAAATGAAACACATTTTATAAAACTTTTTAATGTATCCGAAATTTTTTCATGGGTAATCATGGCCGTTTCACAAATCGCATTTTTTCCAGTGCATTTTCAGAGTAATTATTAATCTGAACACTTTTCTCGCGCTGTTCACACTCTGCATTTTCCCATTTTCATACTGAAAATTGTTTTTAAAAAATCATTAAAAAAATCATTTAAAATCCAAAATTAATAAAAATTTATTTCAATGGATCAAAAATTAAAATCATTAAAAATTAGAATAAAAAATTTACATCATTTATCCATGTAAAATTTTATTCTCAGCATTGTACCTGCATAGCCAAACGTTTGGGCACGAGCGGACCCGGTGGAGAACTGTAAGGGAATCCCACGCTGGAGAACGCGACGACTAGCACCGTCGACACGAACAGCACCGCCGAGAATTTGACAATGAGCCATGCCACCCACTTCTCCGTCACTTCAATCAGACTACTCTGCAAAACGATGGAAACAGAACATATTACCGACTTGGTGGCAGCTTCAAGCAACAACCGCGATTCTGGCACCGGAAGTCATTACAACATTCTTCACACATACTGGTCTAACGCGCAAAGAAATAAAAAACGGAAAAAATAGTAACATTTTACATCGCTATCAGTTTACACTAGTATTCACTCAACTGGATTCTCAACATGTACACTCAACTGGATCCATGAATCTAAGGCTTTATGCCAGTACACTACATCATCCCATGCACAAACGGCATTTGTGCATGCATTTGTCAAATGCATAGTTCAGAATTAGCGTACTGAGAAGTGTGAACTCAACTGCATTTGAGCAAATTTGACAAAAAAATTAATATTCAAATTTTAATTACTTTCAAAATAATAATAAATAAATATCTAGGATAATTTTCAGAAAATACATAATAACAATAAAAAGACGCCAAGCATAAAATTTATAAATTAATACATAAATTAAGAAGGATACGGACGTAAACAACAAAGATAACAATTCCTTTCCAACGAGCTTAAAAAAATGAAAGATTTTCACAATGTGCACTCAGTTCAGAAACCAAATATTAGCAATTTTTTAGGCCGGGAAAACCGAATTATACTGTATATAAGAATAACCATAAATTATCCTAATTTATTATTATTATTTATTCTTACATAGTAGCCTCCGACCAGCACCGTGATGCCGGCGACCAGGACGGCCAGCGCCACGTCGGGATTCAGCTCGGAGCCGGTGCGGCCGAAGATGGGCACGAAGACCTCCATGGCCGACGTCAGCACGTACAAGCCGAAGACGGTGGGCAGTGCCAAGCAGATCAAATGCGCCATCACGAAGGCAACCACATCTGCAACAAAAAATTCACATCACCACTGAGAACGCACTTTTGCTTCGTAAGCAATTTAATTCTGCTGCCAAAATCAAGCTGCGAACAACGGGATAAATCTCCTTATAATTCTTATAAAAAAAAATTACAAATTACTGTTTTAGTACGGACACAGTACGCATTCCATCACAATGACTTAGAAAATTCAATCTCCATTTCCACAAATATTAAGGGCAAAAAAGTTAAAGGCAGACACCATTACAACTGTAAAACTACATTTTTCAAAACGATCACATTCAGCTTCAACATCTCGTATTTTTTCTCGCTGACGAGACCTTACACTACGTCACTCAACCAACAACACAGAACACACTACAAGTCCACAACCAAACAAAAGCTTTCCACATAAATGCTAAATTAAACGCACCTTTGCGGACGGTCGGCTGCATGTGCAGCCAGATAAAGCGCAGCGGGATGGGCGCGGCCACGAAGAAGAGCGGGACAAAGGCGGAGGTGAGGCCCTTGACGGTCATGCCCACCAGGATGACGATCCACACTAACCCGGTCAGATAATACACCAGACTCTCTTTCAACGCCAACGGAATCGACACCTACACACAGCAGCAAAAGATTATAACAATCCAAGGGAAAACGAATCAATAAATTACATCGATTAAATAAAATACAGCAAGACCGAATAAAATTCACAGAAATTAAAGACAAAGATTTACTGAACAACACTAATACAGAAGACCGATAGAAAAACACAGAATAAATACACGTTAACACTCTAATTTGTAAGGAAAATTTTTTGGATAAACAGAATATTAAAAAAAACGAGGAAATACCAGAAAAACAAATGATCACCAAAATGTTAAGACTACGACACAACCATAGAAAGAAATCACTCGTATCACTTCTCATTCCGGACCGCGCGAAAGTAATACACCAATAGAAAGTCGGTTCGCTAGCCACCACACTACATTCCTTAATCAAAAAATAATAGAACGCATGGCGTGGGCCGTGGTGTGTTATTTTATGCCTGCTAAGCATTAAATAATTCACAGCAAAAACAACGCCATTTGCAGCACAAATGACAAAAACGATACAGTACTAAATCTTACAAGTTAGCCCAAAACGTAAAATCAATCTCGTGTTATAGCAATACAAATAATAAAACGCTAATAACAAAAAAATTAAAACAAATGAAAATAACGTGACAGAATAAAAGGTAATCCCGATCGCTGATTACTGGAAAAATTTTTAATTCAACGAACGAAATTAATATGAGCAGTTCCCATATCAGAATATCCCCTTGGCCACACTCTACGTTTCTCTATTAATCTGCTACCAACTGTGCCGTAACTCTTAAGTCTGTGTTCGAGTCGTAATGCAGAAATTGTGTAAAAAATTAAAAAAATTACAAAGAAAAAAAGCGCATTCACTTTCAAAGAAACAAATCAAAAGAATAAGTTAACCAAAAATGTAATAAATTATATAAATGCCATAATAAAATATTCGCACCCACCATATCACGATAACCGAACAGTCCGGTGTGCAGCGCAAACACCACGCCCACCGCCGGGACGGCGTACAGCGCCACGCTGAGGACAGGTCGGGCGAACCAGCTCATGGGCGCCAGCAGACTGACGGCGTAGCCCAGACCGCCACTGACCGCCACGGGCAGCGTCCAGCTGGTCAGGACCACCAGCACCCCACAGACCACGCCCTTGAGGATCGGGACGTCGGGGAAGAGGGCGCGGGCGTCGCGGATCTCCCGCTGCAGCTCCAGGAGGATGGCCAGGCTGGCGGTGACGGCGAAGAAGTAGTTGACCACCAGCCCGGTGAAGTACGAGTACATGATGAAGGTCAGGCCCAGGAAATCGTAATACACCGCCGAATCACTGGCGCAGGTGACGCAGTTCTCTGCAAAAATATCACGAAGTTCATCAGTATCATGAAATAAAAGCAGTTGAACACAAATTTACAGTGCGAATTACAAAAAAAGCGAATAAAAAAATTAAACAATTTGAAACGCAATTAAAAAACCAATTTCGCTACAATTAAATTATTAATACGAATAATACGATTTCGCAACAGGAAACACCAACTAAAATATCACAAAAAATAAATTACAAATCCTGCAGTAAATAACTGCAATTCGGGTGACTAACTGCATCAAACTTGAGGAAAATAAAATACAGATACAATCCAACGCTAAACCCGCCGCACTGCGAAATCCCCCATCAAATGATTAATGTTGGCAAAAACTGAACAATAATATCACCCGACTGAAAAATCATTTCCATTCTTAAAAATTAAAAAAAATCGCTCTTTGCCTATTGGTTTCAGTGCTTCAACCTACCCAGATCGTAGAATTCTGGTGAGGTCAGAATGCCATAAATCAGCGCCAACAGATTCTCTCCCGACCGCTGCAGGGTCCCGCGCGTGATCTGGTCAATAGTGTCGTAATGCGTGTGGTAAATGTAACCGTTCTCAACGTAGGCAATATCCACACCTAACCACCAATTAATTCACTTAGTGAACTTCCATTTCGGCAACCTGAAAAATGCGCCAGAAGCAACGGAGACCGTACCCGGCAACTGGCCATGGTCGCGGAAGATGCGGAAGTCGGTGTCGCTGGGAATCACACCGCTCTGGAAGATCTCCTCGCCCATGGAATTCCCGCACGGGTACGGCACACGGGAGTAGGCTCGCACCAACCACGGATGTTTAGGCCCTAAGAAAAATTAATCCGTGATCTTTTAATAGGATATTTCAATATACCCACTCATACATTTTAAAATAAACGTTTCTTATTTATTAAATTTTTTTTCCTTTACGTTGTTCAATCTTGATATCTTACAGAATTTAAAGAAATATGCTCAGGGAAGTCATAGATATCAATTAACAACAAGCAAATCAGGAGAAAAAAATACTGTATAAAAGAGCACGACAAAGACACAAAGCCAAAAGATTAACCAGAATTATTGTACTTAACCGAACGTAATAACAGTGAAAACTATTTGCAAAACGCCACAAAATATCAACTGACGATAACGGAAAATTCTGTTACAAAACAAAAAAACAGCGCTCAATGAGTACAAGTATTATTATAATCGCGCCTGAACCACTCCATGCCATCGTTTGCATTTCTGAGCCCCTTCTCTACGCTCCAACCGGTTTTAAAGTGAACATTTAAAACGAGAAACTTCACTCGATAAAAGCCGGTTAAGAAGCAATAAGCCTGCGCGGATGGGAAATAATTAAATGATTCAAAATGCAATTTGTAACCAATTCGGTTACCGGTCTGAAACAGGGCGTCACGTCCTCCACTGCCGGCCGCTTCCAGGTTAATGAAGGCGGTAATGTCCTTCGCCCAGGGATGCTGCGTTACGAAGCCATGACTGCCCTGAACAATACAATAAAAAAAGGCTGATATCAAGCATTTTACTTTCGACATTAAATTTTACACTGTTAGAAATTAAGTTAACTACAGTGCTCTCACTATTCAAATACAATTAAAAACAATTTATGCTACCGTACTCTTAACAGCGAAGAACGGACTTTTTTCCATCCAAATAAACTGGGTTGATTTACCGCAAAAAAAATCAAAAGTTTTTGAAGAAAAGCAAAAAATTATCGGGAAATATGATTTTTAGCATGGTAATAAAAGTTTCACATTTAATGCCGCCCAACACCGCGGCAGGAATCCAGATCAGAAGATAGTGTCTGTAGATTGTATGTAACCAGCGACATTGCAAGCCACTGCACTACGTTGAGTCACACCAGAGCAAAACCATCCGGTCGTTAGCGTATCACAAGCATATCACAAAATCATAGAAACCCGTGATTTTTTTCATGGAAAACGGTGAATTCGTTTTTCTCCGCTAGTGATGCAAGAAAACCAATACGGAACGCGCGTAGTCAAGATCAGTTAGACAGCGCCGTGGCTAGCTGACCGTGCGAAATCAATCCAGCAAAAATAATTCAATAGCGTACTGTACCTGTAGAATGCTCTCTTCGGCCCCGTTAAAGAGGAAGAGCAGATTGGCCGGGAGAGTGCCGCGCTGCGAAAGGACCGTCAGCACTTCCAGCATACTGACACACTGCGCTAGATCGTCACTGGCCCCGTCCACGCCGATAGCCGCGTCAAAATGGCAGTTGACCAGCAGTGTGCGATTCGAGTCGGCGTCCACCGGGCCGATGCGCACCAGCACATTGTGCACGTCTTGGTAGGCGTTGTTGAAACCTGCCGGATGAAACCGACCGCAATCAGACACCATGATCAAGGAAACATGCGTTTGCTGTCCGCGCGCAATTAGACAAATAAAAAATAAAATAATAAAAATTAGAATACAGTAGTATTTTATTTAGTATTAAAAAAATAGTATTTCAACAAATAAAGCAATTTAATTAGAATGTGGATTAATTTTGAATGCATAGCATTAAAAAAATTTAATATTTTTTGTTATTAAGTTTAAAAGGAATTTTCAAAAAATGGACTGACGTGGGAAAAAAACACAGAAGACGCTTTTCTAAGAAAACAAAAACGACACATAGATCTAACAGTTCAAGAAAAAATTATTTATGATTACACAACGGAATGACATGTATTCATTCAACAATAAGAATTAAAAGCAAACAAAAACTATAACGAAACTACAAAAACTACATAATTATTTTTACTTATAAAACGAAAATCAAGTGGAAATCTACAAAAACTACGCAAAAGATACACAAACAGGAATGAAAGAAATAAGAAAACTAAGTAATAAAGAAAAGAATAATCAAAAGTGAAGAAGAAATAAACAAAAAAAAATAGAAAACAAACCAAAAACAGACCGCAGACCAACTGAAAATAAAAATTATCAATAAGAAAAAAACCATCAAATAAATAAAAATATTTAGAAAGCGGCAAAAAGCAGCAGAAAAGCCAGACCAACGCGAGACACGATAGGAAACACGAACACAGGCACGGACAGTCCACCACCCCCCGCTACGATCAAATACTCCCCCTTACCACCTAGAAATGCCAGCCGGAAGGATCCACTAACCACCTGGTGGTCAATCTCCACCCGGTGCACCGGCGAGGCCTTCTTCTTGATGGCTTCCGCTTCCTTAATGATATACCGCGCGGCAAAGCGGTCATTCCCGTCCGTGCCGACGGTGCGCGGCCGGAAACTGGTCAGGACAATCAGATGCTGCAGCGCCCGGTCCTCGCTGAAGCGGGTCAGATCGCGGGTGTCGCCGTGCTGCGAACTGGGCCAGGGATCCGGCAGATGGGAGGCAATGTGGCGGGAGGTGAACTGTACGACGGCGATGTAGGCGAAGATGGTCAGCCAGCTGAGCAGACCGAGGCGCGGCAGGTTGCGGTCGGGTGCCGGCTGATAGTAGTGCTGTAAAGGCGAACGGGCGGACGGAGATTGCGAGGACTTTTGTACACGCTGACGGATATCCATGATTTATTTACCTGCAAATTTCCACCAATTTTCATATGAATACCGTTAAAGAACCCTTACAGTATCAAAAACAGTGTTATATAGTAGTCCAATGATTCGATCACAAACTTCAATGATAAGCAAACGAAATTAAAACTAAATCAAATCACAAATGTCTATAACAGAGTGTAGTTGCACATTTTTATTCGCTTGTCAGGCCTGAGTCAGAATCAATAAACCAGCGCAAAGATGAATGATTAATATAAATAAAGGTTAAGGACTAATATAAAACTAATAAAAAAAGATTACAGAAAACCGAAGATTAAAGATTCTTAAGATTAAAACTGAAACCGACGATTAAAGATAAATCTAAGCTTTCAAGACGAAAGTAAAACTAATCTAATCCCAGTCTGAACTTACAAATCACATGCAAAAAGGATCTTAGAATTTGACATTGAAAAAGAGCGGGAACCCGGCAAAACAACTGTCGAAAATGCAAACTAGCAAAGCGAACGAAATTAAATGGGGTGTTTTAAAAATGTGTAAAATTACCGCAGTTATGGATACCAGCATCAAATGATTAATTAATCGTCCACGTAACGAAATATCCGACAGAAAATAATCACAAAAAAATTCTACAATCCTTGGCCATGTTTCATCATTAGTACATTCGGCAGCTGTGCCACTAATCAAAAGTCTAGTGCGAAATAAATCATAACTGACAAATATTTCGGCACCGGAAATTGAACCGCACAACGAGGCGGAAAATTCTACCAGAAATAATCAAAAATTTGCAGACACTGGTGGATGACATAACGCAAGTTAAAACTGGATTACTTCCGATTAGATAAAAATGCAAGATAAAGAAACCAGAGCAGCCGATAAATTTTTAGGACTCTGCCTGTAGGCTGTCGGCAGATTGTTACGAATTAAAAATTCAGGATGAAATTACTACAAAATATTATTTCTGTGTTTACTGTACTCTTTCCACAGTTCTGATGCAATATGACAAAATAAGAAATTCATTATTTTTTTATTAATAAAACTTAAAGCTGTTCTACTGCCAGGAAGGAACGAAAGTGTGATGAAAGCCGATAAGATGTCAAGGTTTCGGTTGCTTGGTAACAAAAATTCCCGCTAATTCTACGGCTTCCGTTGTGCCAATCATAAACTGTTTTTTTGGTTCAGTTTATTGTTATTTTCGTAAATTTACATTCTTAAACAAAACTACAAAAAAACTGCAAAAAAAAAGAAGACAAATGCAGGCGGGTATGTTGTTTAATTTAAAGACAGGTAATTTAAATTTAAGTCATATTATTTAATTTTAATTATCTGTAGAGCGCTCATGTTCTATCAAGCACGAACAATTTCTAACAGATTAGGTACCGCGAAACGCAGAACAGAACAACTCCTTAAATTATTTTATTCCATCTCCAAACTAAATGGTACACTCTACGATTCACACTCATGACTTACCGTTAAATAACACACGAAAAAATCCAAATAAAAAATCTCCAAAAAATTCCCAGTAAATCACAAAAATCACTCCGGATGGATATCATAATCCCTCATGGCGCGCTCCATCCTCCACCACCTTCCCCACACCCCCACATCCACCACGGTGTCCCACAAGCGCTCCAGCGGCACCTTCAAGTACTTACACCGTGCTTCGTACAAATCACAGCCTTTATCGAAATCCCTCCGCAACACCACCGCGGCCAGCCCCCAATTCTGATACTCCAGCCGTCCCTGATTGCGCAACCGGCCCACCTCCACCAGAAACTCCTCGGCGGCCGGATTACGGCTGCGCACCGGCACTTGGATGAGATCGTTGTTGGCGTCCAGCCAGTGATCGCGGAAACTCAGCTCGGTCGGGTTGCGACGGTACGCCAGATACGCCGTCAATAAACCGAGGCTAATGGCCACGGAGCGCCATGGACGGGCGCGGGAATCCTCGGCGGCGTCCTTGATTACGCTGGCGTAGTCGTCGAGGACGTTGAGGACGAAGCGCACTGCGGGGAAACACGGTTAAAACGTCAAGAAGCCATTTACGGCGCAAGGGGACGGTTCGCTGTACGTACCTGGTTTGAAGTTGGTGATCCGATCGCGTGTTTTCACTATCGACGGTCGGGCCAGGAATGTGCTTACGGAGTGCAGAGGAAAACGCTTCAAGATTACCGACATCTGTACAGGTGAGCAAATAAATCTAGCGAAGATGAGTAAAAAGTGAAGACGTGGGGATTTTAAATCGCTAGCAGCGATATTTCGACATCACGAGGAAACTTGTTTGCAAGAATGCAAAGACAGACAGATGCGGATAAGGACATGCGACTGCACTGCCAATGCGTTGAGCGCGCTGGTGTTCGTTGCGACGTCGGCCAAGTGCAATGCGGGTGACGTCGACAAGGCATACTACCTCCGGATGTCGCAACACTGCAATAGCTTTACTGTGTTTTAATTTGCAGTCTCATAACTTATTTCTGATTTTTTAATCGAAAATAATTAGTTTTTAATATCTTTGTCATTTGAGGTAACAATAAGTCGATAAATCCAACTAGTGCTAAATTCAGTAAATTGCTAATGCAGTTCACCATGCACTTGTAAATCAAAGTTTAATTCTACGCTGCTGTTGATTTCAATAGTTCACTTTGAAAATTTGTCGATTTGATTTTGTATTCATAAATTTTGTAAAATCTTAAAAATAAAGCTTTTGCTGTTGTTTAGAGTGCTTATGAACCAGGTTATAATGCTGAGCTCTAACAATAAATACTCACGGATGCAGTAAGTTAATAGTGAATTTCTCGTTATATAATTACAGTTTACGTATGTTACAGATTTTGAGAATTAAAAAAAATTGCATTTTACAGGTATTAGAGCTGATTGCACTGTAATTAAACACTTACAGATTATACATTAATGATAAATAAGTATAAGCACTTGTGCGCTACGATAACCTTTCTTTTTCTCATATATACACCAAAACATTTGGAGAGAACTGCAAACAGACCGTTCGTTTCAGGCATGAATTTATTATTTCTGGCAGCCCAAAGTAAAACGTAACATTAAAAACACTCGAGTAAAAAATACACGACGGCAATGAGTCATTAGTTCATATTTAGTCCTAGTCGTGCGGCATAATTGTGCACCACGGTGTCTCCAAATGCTGATTACTGTGCACCACAAAAGGATTCATAACTTTTTTGAAAATAATCATTTAGCGCATAGTGCTTGTGTTCTTGTGACTCCTATTAACGGTTAACCGGCATCATAATTTTATCCTGCGGCTATTTATAACTTTTTTATTCAAAATTAAATGTGTTGCTGTTGCAATATTAATTTTCATCTCACTTGCGTTATATTACGCAGATATAGTAATACCACATCTGGTATTATATGTGTAATTATATAAAATATGTGGAATTATATAAAATAACTTTATAGATGCAAACTACAGACTTGCACGAGTGCTACAGAGTAGTCGGCTTTCGGCCAGCACCTGATCAATGGTAATTGGCAAATAAAAAATAACCTTAATACGTTTAGCCGCCTGATGTTGCGGCCCATTTCTTTAAAAATTATATTCCTGGTAAGTATGTACGTGTAACTTACGAAGTATTATTTTTTGGTACTATTGATATTACTGGAGAATGTTAGAATGTATGATTTTATTATTGTAAGTGAAAAAGCATTTTAGTTACAGTACTCTGGAAGCCGGCATCTGCCTACTTCGAAGTGTTTAATTTTGACCTACAATTCAATGCAAAAAAATGATGAAAAAAACTGCGGCAAAATCTTTGGCGTAGCGAAAATTTCACTCGAGTGAATACAAGAAAACGGAAATTTTTAAATTTTTTTGACGGAGTTTTTTAAAAGATGGGAAGTCAGAAGGTGCATTTTTATGCGGGTGCCTCACTAAAAATTTTATAAGTAATTTTCCGATGCATTCCACAAAATTCGCCACACAGTTTTATAATTCACCGGTACATTCCACAAAAATCCAAAGGCGTCGCGAAATTACTGAAACGCACTATCAGCCAAAATACGAGCGTATAGATATAAGAGCTTATTCTTTAAAATTGTAAACTGGAATTTCGTGGTATATGCCGGTGAATTATAAATTAAACTTTGACGTACGTAGTGAACAGCATTAGCAATTTACTGAATTTGGCACTAGTTAGAATTATCGACTTATTGTTAGATCAAATGACAAAGATATTAAAACTAATTATTTTCGATTAAAAAATCAGAAATAAGTTATGAGACTGCAAATTAAAACACAGTAAAGCTATTGCAGTGTTGCGACATCCGGAGGTAGTATGCCTTGTCGACGTCACCCGCATTGCACTTGGCCGACGTCGCAACGAACACCAGCGCGCTCAACGCATTGGCAGTGCAGTCGCATGTCCTTATCCGCATCTGACAGACAGCCGAAATGCAAACATATGACGGGCTGGTTTGGCTGCGGCACCGAATGGCCTGCCATAAATCCTAATGGGCTGCTGAACGGTCCATCAGAGCCACTCAGCTGCGTAGCCATCGCGCAGGCTGATCAACATCACAGTTGATCTGAAACCAAAATTTCGAAATCACGCGTTTGATAATCTTCTTTTTCATTTTATTGCGATTCCTTCGAAAGAATAAACTTCACAATTTAACTTACTAACTTTTAGATTTTCAAAATAAATTTCTGATATATCTAGAACTTGTTGCTTGTCAGTTCTTACACATTTGTGAGCTGAGTTGCTTATTATCGTCGTTTTCTGTGCGCTCGGGAATTTTCCCCGCGCTGTCATACTCCACGATGTCGCTCTTCCAGAACAGCCTGCGTTTCGTCGCCCGCAGCCCTCTCCTGCGTCCCCGCCACCCCGACCCCCTCGTTCTCACCGCCGCCTACCACGAGAACGTCATAAAGCACTTTGAAGCCCCGCAGAACGTCGGCTCCCTCAACAAGGACGACGCCAACGTGGGTACGGGACTGGTCGGTGCTCCCGCCTGCGGGGACGTGATGAAGCTGCAGATCAAGGTGGACGAGCACGGGAAGATCATCGACGCCAAATTCAAGACGTTCGGGTGTGCGTCGGCCATCGCCTCCAGCTCCCTGGCCACGGAGTGGGTCAAGGGGAAGTCGCTGGATGAAGCGGCCAAGGTGCGCAATACGGACATTGCCAAGGAGCTGTGCCTGCCCCCGGTCAAACTGCACTGCTCCATGTTGGCGGAGGACGCTATTAAGGCGGCGCTGAATGACTACAAGGTGAAGCGGGACAAGAAGGACGGGGAGGCGCCGCGCGCGGCCGCCGCCAACTGAGTGCGGGGTGGGTGCCAGGCTGTTTGGTTTCTCCGTGCAACTGTGAGAATTTTAAATTATAATATTCGATATATTATCTATAGAATTTAAGTGATTTAATCCTTGCGCTGGGCTTGCTTTGGTAAAAATAATTTTCGTGTTATTTGCTTGGAAATACCGATCGCTTAGTATGCGACAGCTGTATAACTTGACTGCGCCGCAATACTTTCCAGTTTAATCTTCTGTTGGCAGATTTTTCTGTGCGGATTTTAATGAATAATTCTAAATAAACAACAAACAGTAGAAGTACTGCAGCAGTTAGCACTCAGAATACTACGTACCTAATTGCAGGTACTTACACTGTAATTAGTGTAATAATGTGAATACGCAGTTCCATATAATAATAATACTATATAGTATTATAGACGCGTACTTAAGAAATTGTTAAAAGCTGCCCAAAATCAATATTTTGTATTGTTTGCTATGTGATATGACAATAACTTAATCATTCGAAAGGCAATGCAGACAGTTAAGTAATGTACGAGTATCATATAAACATCATCCTGTCACCTGTGTACAATTTGCAAACATGCACCTGTATATCAGTAGTTAATTGTTTGCATTTTTGTTATAGAATTCAGAAATGAATTTTTATACTGATCACAGTCAGGAGTAAACGGTTCTATAGCTCACCATCAGATGAATATGTAATCCTAATGGTAATTTAAGTACTGTACGTAAAATCTATATTAATCGTACAAAAAACAAAAACTGGTCTGTGAAACATGCAGTATTCATGCTATTACCGTACCCTTTTTCGAGCTCGTTAGTTATGGTTACGACTTATGATAACATATCATATTTATGCACAACAGAGTCGTCAACTTCCGGAAGGACAACAAGTACTTTAGTACCAGCGTAATATCTGATCATAGCGTAAAATACAGTTTATAAAATATTATATTACATATTTTGCAGTTAACGTTTCGTTGATTAATTTTTCCCCATTTTAAGTTCTGTTTTTAGTCAACTTATATTATATACTTGTATGCGTGCGATACGTCAGATAGGTAATTTGATTACTACTCGTATTTTGCGCAAGGTTGCAGAAAGTGGTGAGCACTGAGCTGAACACGTATCTGTACGCGAGCTCAGTTAATGAAGTATAAATTAGACACTTCGAGGTATACTACCAGTTCGTTAATAATTACTGTATTAGTACCTGAACTCGTACAATACAACCTCTTGAATTTATCAATAAAAAAATCAGTTATTTTTGAAGAAACTAACCAGCAAAACAAGAAAAAATGCTTTTCTTAGACAGCAATTTGGTTGGCATTGTTAAACTTACATTTAAATATACAGCGTAGTAGTGCGTTGTCTGCACAAACGTCCACTTGGGTACACATGACGCTACACTACGATAATTCCGCTTAGTACTCAGTGTTGTGTTCAGCCTTTTCGAGTTGCAACCGACGGAACCGAGCTGCTGTGCTCACTTAGCCGCACATCAGTCAACGTTGTTATCTTGTTTAAGCAATTGTTTTTAAACAGACCTTCAAAAATAGCCGCAAAATATTTAGCGGCGAAATGTTCCTGCTGTTCCTTAAGCCTAAAGCAATTCGAATACAAATAAAATGCAGGCGAATCCCTAAACTCACCTTCTTTTATCTTTTTATTTTTACATCTTTACATCGTGTTCTGCGTATTTAACTTGTTATTTTAATACAATTTTTATTGACATTACCAATGCCTGTTATGCAAAAAGTTTTCTGATTGTTTCTGCCTAATTTATACGGGCGGCACAGCGCATGGTGGGGGATATCTAATAAAGTTGTCGGAATTGATATCCTCTGTCAAATGTCAAAAGGAATAAAGTTGTCTTGTCGCGTTGTCGTGTAACCGGTACCAACGCAATCAAGGAACACAGTTAGTGCAACAAAATGCTACTTAATGACTCTCAGAATACCGCGACAATTGCAGACATTGGTTCAGTAACCGTATACATGTCACAGCGGTGAAAAAAATCCAAAGGCTTTTCAAAATGTTTAACATTTCCGTTAGCTTTCTTTATCACTGACTCAGTCTACTGTAGATTGTTTTACAGTAGCCGGCCACATGGTAAAAAGTGATCGGTAATGCTGATTTTGTCAAAAAGTTGCACAATGCGTGAATCCCTTAAATCAACAGCGAAACAACGGTGCGTATTGCGAGCACTTACCATCTGTTATTGCGCAGCTGATTGCCGCCATTCATCCATACCGGACAGCGACAATGTATCTGCTGTTAAGAAAACTCAAGTAGCTTTAACCGGAAATCAATAATGGTTGGCGCGCACGCGTTGCCACAGTATTTACAAATGTTGTGATACGACACGGCAGTAATTTCTTCATAGCAGTAACAGTAATATCGCACAAATCATGGACCATCGCCGGGCAACGATAGCGGGATCACGTGTCGAAGGGTCAAAACATTTCCGGTTGTGTTTGTCCTTTACGCGGGTGTCCAACGGGAAGCCGGTAGTTTTTAAGGCAATCTGCAATAATTTGCTAAATGGATATATTAGCTGCAAATTCGTTTTTAAGAAGGCTTTTACATGCAGGAAGATGGGCTTCGTTTCTCCTTCCCGGAAACAATCAAATTCGGGATCGACGAACCGTATCAGGTCTTCTTGACCTTTGAACCGGCAGTTCGCATTGTGTGAGTACAAAGCAATTTGCCCGCCCTGAACACTTTCATGAAATACAAATTTTTTTACTTCGTTATGTTGTTGCTTAGTTGAATTCGTTTTTATTACTATTTATTGTACATACCTACAGTACTTAGTTTTTTTACTGTAGAAAAATAGAAATTACGCGCAGAATGAATAATTTCTTATGCTTTTGAGATGTTTTGAGGTTATCAAATCGTAAGCATTATTGCTGAGATAAATATTGCTAGCAGTATTTTGTTAATCATCAAGACATCTGTTTTAACTTAAGCCGCATTTGTTTACAAACAATCATTATTATTGCTTTGAATTACTTTTATGTCGAAGTTAAGCGACTTCGATCGTTCTGACCTTTGAGTATGTGTACGTGACACACATTTCGATGCACCGCTGATTTTGACAGGACTATGTCCGTCCATAATGACCTGATCGACTTCCGCCGCTTGGGTACCAAAGTGGACCCTAACCTGGCCACCTACTGTGGAGTATGGGAACCCAGAGGCTTCCCGGTGACATCCTGCCATCATCGGGAGCAACTCAAGTTCGTCGTCGGCCTGGATGACGGGGCAGTGTTCATAACCAGTTTACAGTGCAAATTCTATGCCAAAGAAGAGACCAGTCACTGTGCATGGGGCGAGACAATGCATGCCATTCATTTCCAGTGTGTTACGTTGCCCGATAAGAGCGTCGTCATCGTCAAACAGGAACTGATGTAAAGTGAACGGTATTTACATATATCGCAGTACGGGAAACGTGCACAAACACATCAGGCAGTACGGAGTAATTATGTACGCTGAAAATAGGTTTAAGAGGAAAACGAAGTACTAACAAAAAAGGAAAAATGAATACGAAACGAGTGTGATTTCATTTATACAACGCCACAGGCTGAATAAACATCGCACATACTGTAAGTATTGCAAAAGCTATCGACAACGTAAGAATGTTACAGCAAACTGAGGCGAACAAGTCGACTTCGGAAACTGAGCTTCTGTTGACATATTCTAGCTTGATGGGTTTTTGCGGAGTGCACTGCAACATCAACATCAATTTTCTTATTCCGTTATTTCCAGTGGTAGTCACCAGTGCTGCACTGCTGCTCACCTCCAGATAACTCCGCACTCCTGACCGTGGTGCGAGAGTCGCCGGAACTCGTACCTCTCCTGCCCACAAGGTATTACCACAAAGTCCAATCGTATATCGGCGACGAAACGCTCTTTTTCACTTAGTGTTCCCCAGTGGCCATGAACGCATGGCACCTGAATGGCTTTCACACTAATTAGTTTTGCTGCGACTGCGGTTATCACGGGAAACCCCGATGATCGAGTCATGTTGATAAATGTGATAGCGATAGTTTGCGCCGTTACCACTTGGTCCATGCACCATGCAAATTTGTATGTGCCTCCCAGGGCAATTGTGCAGCAATCGAAAACAACATGTCGGTTTTGAGCTCCTTTTTGGGACAACAAATCTCGCCATAGTGGGCAAACCCTTCAAAATCCGAAACACATTTAACAGCATTAACTCAGTAGGACATTACCGGATGCGCATCCGCAATTATGGCTTTATCATGTGCATGATGACTTTATGCACTTACCGCATGAGCATCGCTTGTCCGTGCAAGTGCACGCTTAACAAGATCTCACTCAGAATCGGAAGTGCCACGGTATGAATCATGACATCTACGACCAGCAAAGAGTTACTGTGGACTTCTGAATCTTTTGCTCGGATAGAGGTCACGTTGCTTCGATGGCGAACAGCAAACGGAAAAAAATATTGACACTTGAGGTCTTATGTGTAAGTATAATGGAGTCAGTCACTTTAGTATGCAAGATAGGCGTCAATGGGTTATGTACAGTACAGATTAATAAAAATTCATACGTTGTTGCTCGTGACTTGTGGTACGTATGACGAAGCTGGTACTAGCGTGGCAATTATTCCTTGATGGCTAGCCCTGCCGCACGGCGCATGCAAGTATAAATTATCATCGCAAAAATCTCCCGACGTTAAGGAGCTGGTCTTTATACCGCTACGTACTTCTGTTGTGTACGCACCCACCGGTACGTGTGAGTGCGTACACAACAGAAGTACGTAATTATTTTATATACTGTATATCCAATAACATAATTTTCATTAGTATACTATTATTCTACTGTTATACCTACAGAGAAATGGCGGCAAATCATATTTCTGGGAATGCTTTTATCAGATTGCTGCTATCAGGTAGTAGCTTCGTTACCTTCTTCATGATGAACCAATTCTTCAACAGCCGATTTTTCAAGGAAGGGGTTTTTCGTAAACCATAGATTCAAGTTGCCAAAGTATTGCCGACACGCTTCGATTAAGTTTTCTTCACTCCAAATCATACTGTCATTCGGACTGCCCGCTGCATACTGTCCGCACACAAATCTTAACTGGTCTGCGTCAGCGCAAACAAAAAACCGGTGTTTTGTCCGTGTTTGAGCAGGGTATCCGATGCGCAACGCTTTCTGTCGTGCTAGCTCGATACAGCTTGTTATGGTATCCACACGTAAATTGTACTGGCACCCTTTACTCTGCTTCTGTTGAACCTCGTGTGGATGCTGTGGAACGATGTACTTGCGATAATACAAGCCATTTGCGCTATTCCGTTTGGCGAACAGGGATGGTTCGTCGAAAGCCGATCTGGTTACCAGCTGCCACAAATGAGCCACCAAGCGCGTAGATGAATCTGCAGCCACACTGTCCAGTTCGACGAAATACACTAAAATGCAGACCAGTATTATGTACAATACATGTAGGCTATTTTTGAAGAAATCAGCCGGTAAAGCGTTCAGTTCCAGTCTGCGCGATCGCTGAAACTTTTTTATGATTGTTATTGCACGCCTCGAAGTTCAAACGACTTCTTCGGAGTACTTCCATGCTACTGCGGATGATTCATAATCATGACAATTATTTTTATTTCAAACTGGCAGCACAAAACAAACAAGTTTTCCATAAGTAAAAGGTTTGTACTTATTGTACCGGTATGTGAGTGTGTATTTGTACCTCTGCGATAACTATGCAACGCTTTGTGGTCTTCTGAATGTGATAAAATAAGAGTAAAAATACATAAAACCAGAAAATCGTAGATGTACTCGTAGCACTTTTATTGGAATTTGTATATCTAACCTAACTGCAGGAACTTTTTTAATGCTGATTTTTCTTCAGTGCGCATTAAAAGCAAAAACGTTTAGAAAACTAAGAATCAGTCAGGGACTATTTGTATTTTTAATATCTACTTTCGCTTCGGTCCACCAGTGCACACCAGTTTCCCTAGTACAAATAACTCTCACGGAACCATGTATTATATAACGGTGAACCTAACTGGCTCTCGACCTTCCGCCAATGATTATTAAGTATTGACGATCATTTGTATTATTGGTACTTATGAGCAAGGTTAAAGAAACGAAAGGTGAAAGCGAGTTTTTAGCAACTATAGCAGGAGGTGCGCTTAAGAAGGCGAAACAAAATACTGCCCGTTTACGAGGGATTTATACGAATTTCTGGAGTTGTTTACTGTTTTTTTTTTACAAGAAAACAGGCACCACTAATCCGTAATGCTTGGCACAGCTAACTGTGAGAGTTGGTTGTGCCAAGCATTACGGAGTAGTATTGCTTACCATTTGTACTGCCAAAGGCTGTAGCATATGTGAAAATAGGCACAATCAGCTTGGCCGGTTGGAATTTGTACGGTCCATCGTCCTCCCTTCGCAGCGCCACATGCACCTTAAAATATCCTTTTGTTTCAATTTCGCTGTCAATAAAATTTCGTTGTGTATCCACAAACGGATGTGACCGGACATGCTTCATATGAATCCAATCGGAGGCGACCGTTGTGGAATTGAAATTAATGAAAACGTAGTCACCTTCAATATCCTGCATGTACCCCAGCCACCATTCGTCGTTTTCTCGCTGAATCAGTGCGGTGTTCCCGTGATTAAGTTCGTGCTCTGTGCTAGCACGCAATAAGCTCCGAAAAGGAGTCGATACGATACAATCCATGTTAATGGGCGAATAACGATGATATTGCACAGTGTACCGATTTGCGACCAATAAATACACAATTATGTACAAATGTGATACGAAGTTCGTCGGTTGCGTCCGTTAGATGGACGAGCAGATGGTACGCTGTCACGCTATTAAAATTAATATGTATCAGGGAACAGTAAAAGAGACAATGATACGAGTAGTTATTAATGTAAAGTAAGCTTAGCGAAAACTCTTTGCTGCTTTGTTTTAGTCCTGGAAGGGCTCTTTCAGGGCGTTACAAACAGTTTGGTGACTATTTTTTGCATTGTGAATCTTGTTTCGCGAAGCTAAGGGAATTCAGTGAAGTACAGGGTACTGCAACCCTGCATATCACGGGCACAGCAAGCTACCAAGCTCGGAAGTCATGCTCCTGCAACACGGCCAGCCACCAACGGACGGCGGCCCACTATTACTAGTATTACATTTATCGAACATCTGCTCACGGTCTGCAAGCAGCGAAAGTGGGTCATCTCTTGCTGTTCGTGAAAAGACTAAGCTTTGAATAGGTAATTATTATTATTACGTACTTGTTATTCCAAGATACATACAAAATCTGCTAGTCAGAGATCAGGTGTGTGTTTTCACCCTAGGGGGGCCAGAAACGGCATCGATATTGCGGCATTTCCTAACAACGGAACTCGTACACGTACATCTTGCTCTTCGTTATTATACTCGTACATCCTGAACACTGGATTACCCACGTAATAAAATTTTCTGATAGATCAAAAATTCCAAAATTAACTGTTTTACGTAGTCACGGTTCAAATCAGATTTTAAACCTAAAGCTTCCATTCACAAGTACTAATCCTACAATGAAAACAAAATCTTTGGGCAGACCGGCAAGCAAATCTGAACCAGTTGCAGAATGGCACGTTATGGGAACTGCGAGAGTTTAACCGCGGGTTTAAGATTGGGACTTGTAAGACATTTAATTTATGGAAAACAGTTATTTTGAGATTTTTGAACTGTCAGAAAATTTGAAACTAACGGGAACTTTGAATACGAGGGTGATCCGTTGTTCAAGATATATATAATTATGGTGGAAGTTATCTGTTTTAGGAGCTGAGAAATGCCGAAGTACCAAAGCTTTTTTCGTTTAACAATGTTTCTAACAATTTCATTTCGTTACTTTATAATTTATTTATTTATAACTCGTTAATTTATAATGCAGTTACGAGTACTTATTCGTATGACATCAATATTAGAAATAACTCCTGATCTTTTTTCTTTAAGTGAACTTTCTTGTTTCGCAAATTTCAAATGCTCATCATTTTTTGGCTTGCGAAGCTTAAATGCACAGAAACAGGCAGACAAATGTTGCCTAATGGGAAATTTCTTTTCCAAGTTAAAGTGCAACGCACGCGACGCGGGAAATTTGCAGATTTATGATGTTGTTTTGCTTAGTTAGCATTTCCGCATAAGAACATAAGGTATATAACACAAGAAATAACCGGCTTATATCGCTGCAAAGTCATGATTAATGATCTGGGTTACCGGCGCGTTGCGGAGAACAGACAGAATGCTGTTCTTTCGCTGTGTAACTGTGTAAATGTTTCGTCTGCGGTGAGTTAATGTTGCGTTCGTTCATTCGGTAACGTAAACTGCAGTTACAGCCTCACCGCATAACAATTACCAAACGCTGTTTATTATGCCATAATATTCATTATTGTATAAGCAAAAACGGTCGAAGAAGAATAAGATGCCATAAAAGCCAGATTCCTCAAGAATGAATCTGTTGTGAGGTTAAGCACTGTAGTGCATTGACAATATACAGCTCGCCACCGATTCATTTCACAAAGATGCACCATTCTTTCAAAGCACTGTCCGCAGTGACTTTGGGTACGTCTCAGGCCCTCAGTTTTAAAATATTTCCAAGTTCTCGATTTGTGATAACGGCTTGTATTCCAGCTTAATTTAAAATACATTGTACTAATGGTGAAATTAACACATAGCAAAAATGCATTTTTAATGAATAATTTCTTTTTACAGTGCTGTGCATGGTGGCGTCTGTTATCGCTCAGAGTAGTTATTATTCCGCACCATCACCACAGCAATGGTCACTGGACCCATTTCTGGGCGTTTATGACCAGTGGTATTCCAAGGCTGCCGATGTATTCGGGATCAACGACCAGTTCGGTAATTGTCAGCAACAAACAGCGACTCACTTTTGCGCTTGTACTTAAGAGCATAGTCTGAAATGTTCAAATCAAAAAGTTTTTGTAATTTGAAAACGTCGCTGTAGGACTTCCTCACGATCTGATTGAGCAAGGCGAGCGTGTGATCTACAAAAAGCTCCCGAACGGGCAATACTCCCAAACCTTAGGACGAGCCAACGCGTCGTACAATCTGGTCACCGTATTCGATTTGGGCGTACAAGGTATCCAGGATGTCCCGTTCATTCCGAACAACACGTTCCAGCACCTGTTTAACATGATCAACGCCACCACGCTGAAGGCCAACTTTGTGTGGAGCAAACCGGATCCCACCAAGACCGTTGTCTGGGAATCGATCATCGCCTTCTACCCGAACGCCACGGGATACTTTATTGTAAGTTTCCGAAACCAAAACAAGGATGAAGCGGCTTGTCTAAATAATCAATGTGCCTTTTGCTGCTATTCTGCTCAAGTTTTAGGACTGCGTCTGATATATGTACTGCTTTTTTTCCTTGCTTGATTTAAGCAGCATACATTCAGCCGCAACGCCGGGTGGCAGCATGCACGACAGGAATTCTAGATTGCGCCGCTGTCCACCATTTTATTAGGGTAGATGTGGTAGTTAAGGATGTTTTATTCGCAGACCGCAACCGTCGCCAGGCCGATTCCCTTGGTGTCAACAGCGCCATGGTTCAAAGTTGCCAATGACGAAGCCAGTGCACCACCAACGATCTTGAAGGCTCCGCCTGGCCAGTCGTAAACGGCACTTTTGATTATAATATTATTATCATGTGCATGACTCGCAATAGAAACCTTTTAGTTTCATACAGTTTCGCTTTTGGAACGTAACGGAATCTTACTGTCTGATGTCCAATTTGTCCTAAAGTTTTTTGATTTCTTTAATTTTTCTGGTTTTGTACTAAGATTTGTTTTATCAAAAACACATAGCAGAATTCGACTGTTCATTGATCTGTCACCTCTTGACGGTAGATCTTGTTTAGTGTAAACAGCGAGAATTGCTGTGGGATGGCCTTGTGTTATCTATATAATCGACAAACTCGATTCAGAAACCGTGCAAATAAAACAAATGAACATAGCTCTAACAAAACAACACAATGGTCTGACATAACCTTTTAAAGGAGACTACCAAAAATTTACTAAAGAATGAGGAACCGGAGAGGGCCGCTATTTGATTCCTCGTTCAGCGTTTAAGTTTAGAGATTATCCGTGGCATGGGATAAGCGTTCTGGTTGATGTCCTGTTATATGTACATCAGGTCGGACGGATTTCTCATTCACCGTCCCTTCTTTGGATGATTGTGGACCACGGGATCTGGATTTGCTAGCCATTTCAGAATTTTCTGTGTGGTAGTTTTCTGTTTTAGTAAACGCATTTTTGAGACGACCTTTCAACCCGTCTGATCGGATGGCCGTGTTTTGTTAGCTTGCTATGCTTATGTTGCTCAGAGCCTCAGCCCAAATGGTAGAAGCTTCTACCTGTGGTTTATTTACAATATTGTTAGCTTTGATTGAATAAACCTAACCCCCCACGCATGAGTCGCTTTGCTTTTATACGTATTTCCCGACTGCTCGATAAAATAATAAATTACGATTATGGATGCTACATATAACATACCGTGCGGCAAGCAACAACTGCTTGTAGTTCTCAAAGTAGACTCTCCTCCGTATCCCTGGCTGCGATAACGGCTTACCGGTTGTAAGGAAATAAAAGGAAGATAAACCATTTGGTGGAAGAGCACGTTAATTTTGTTGCACACACAAATTGTTGCGAGAGAAAACGCTTGTCGTCTTCAAGAAAATGACCTCAGTGCGAACTTAAGATTGCCATTCAACCTCATTCCAGAAAGCCAGCGCAATACTGTTAACAGCGAGCTTGCTCAACGAATGCAAATCCACACCGCGCAGGTCAACATCAGCCCAATTAACGGTACTTCCGTCCACTTTAAATCCACTGTACCTGCATAAGAAGAAAGCGTGTTAATTTTAAATTCTAGCAAGGCCTACAGACTCTCAGTACAGTAGATACCGTAAATATTCGTGGATGTTTATTGTGCGTACGGTATTTTTTTATTGTAATAGTTACATCCTATATGAATTACAATGCTAAACTTTGTCGAACCGCCTCCCATTCCTCCGGATACGTGAGCGTCTCCATCCATCGTCGACGGATACTCTGGACCCTCTCATAGACGGCATCCGGCACCGCAGGACAGCTGGTTTCCGATGCTATCAGTAAACGCCTCACCATGTCTTCGTTGGTATCCGTTGCGCGGAGAACCAAGCGGGAAATCGTGATTCGTAAGTTCGGACGCTTTGACGGTTCGAATACTAGACGTCCTCCGGGTCCTCGTAAACAGGTATAAATCTTTTCACATTCGGGAAGATCATTATTAAGAATTATCGTGACCATCTCTCAGGCAATGTCGTCAACGGTATAGTTGGTCATCATCAGTTGCCCACAAACAGCAAGAAGTTTGCGTATGTCCTTCTGGAGTCGAACAGGGGATCGGAGACCACCCATTTTGCTTCTACTTTCCATCCCATAATAAGATGAGCTTCCTTTGACGTGAATAATACTCACTTGCAGTTTCTTGACGGTCAACAGTGCCGACGTGATGTAAGCAATGTGCTCGAATTTCGTGTACCAGCGGGTGATATCCGTGAAACTGATGCTGGCCGTCTGCGCCGTTAGCGCTCGGTCCAGACACCATGCGCATTGGTAATTTCTCCCGTGACCTGGTTCCCAACTCGGATATGATATAGCCATGTAGCAACTGATGATTAGATGTTGGCTGGCTCTGGAGTCATTTAGCAGCAGGCCCCATAAGCCGCAGACCCTGTAAACGATTCGCATCTCACAGCCCTTCTAACGTTCTGTTTTACGGCGCCTTTGTCTTTAAGCCCTTTTCGAGTTTTTGAATTTCGAGGTACATACCTTTTGGCTTTGGCTTGTGAATGTAGATCAAGGAAGAGAAGGATCTCCAAGAGGATGTTATGGCCAACATATGTGATCTTTGCATCTGCAACAATAACAGTCAATATCATTCAATAATTTGCATATTTTCTTGGTGGGGAGTGCGAACGTAGTTTGCGTTTGGTATACTTGTACTACAGAAATATTATATTAATGATAATACGTTAGCGCTTGGTATGCCATAATACTCGCATTATGGCCGTAATTTTCGATTTTCTGGTTTGTTCCAAAACTTTACTTGTAGCCCGAAACCATTGCCACTCTATTCCTAATGTGTTTTTCTGAGTTTTTAAACAAGATATGGCACGAAAAAAATGGATTCAAGCTGTACTAGTATATGTAGGCTAAAAATCAAATCAGCCCATCCAATCGTACCCATATCAAGGATGGATTCATAAGGGACATCTTTTATAGCGAGGAGGCGGGTCCATGCCCTCCTTCGCAGTGCTCCATTATCATCGTAATACACTTTCAAGGTTTTCTCGAACCCATTTATCATACTATCATCATCCCACTCCGCCGAGCAACGGTACGTCTCTCCATTGCGCTGACCGCATACGAAAACTACGGCATCCGCCAGGACGCTTACAAACAGCCGTAACGCTATCCGGTGGTTGTATTCGGCATAACCGTCCCCCACTCGTTTAGCAGCAGCACCATCAATGACCCAGTCCACGGCCTCCAGTTCCACAAACTCGATGCGGCTGATATTCTTTACTGGCACAGTGTACTTCCGATAATATATTGTTCCGAGTGCTCGCTCCAGCATTGAAGGACAGTCAAATACGGTAGTCGACGCAATCTGCCACAAATGCGCTACCATGCAGTACGGAGATGGGCCATCCTCTACGCTGGCATAAAACAATCCGAAATCTGCGGTTGGAGTAAGGAGACGGGCCGGCCGAAAGATGTAGGGCCCATTGTCGGCACTACGCACCGCCACCTGAACCTCAAGAGCGCCATCTTCTTTGATGGCCTTGTTGACACGACTCCGGGTCTCATACGTGTCTATACGCCAATGGTTCCAGAGATAACGGGCATGAATCCAACGAGCGGGAAATGCATCGGCATTAAAGTCAACATAAATTTGGTCTCCATTGATGTCTCGCACGTATCCCAGCCATGATTCGCCGTTGGGCTGCTGCACAATCACTGTAGTGCCATTGTTATGTTCCCAGACATGGCTTTTCGGCCTTTGGAAGGGATACATGTCCGGCAGGGATGTACTTACTATTTGCAGGTGACGTCTTAGTGTGCAAAGCTTACTTTTTGCAGTGATGAGCAGATCAAGGAATTACATATTTATCCGATAATTCCGATTGGACACAGAGGTCACTGCATTACAATACGTTATCTACTTTTTTTGCACAGCTTTTATAAAATTTGACTCGCTTTCACAGCCGAAACGGAATGCAGTATGGCGCCCTCAGTTTTGAAAAGCATTTCACAAAAGCAAAGCCCTAACGTGTTTTTACGATATCGTTCGGAGATCTGACCTGTTTCTGCTTTATGTAACAGGAATATAAAAAGAAAGTGATGGACGATGTACAGGCAATTAAATCTTTGTGGTAATGCAATCCATTTAGACAGAGGACAAACGTCCCTCGTCTAAGTCCTCATTTCTCATTGTTCTGCCAGAAGCAGAACTGGGTCAAGCAACCTGCTAGTAAATTCAGCGCAGTGTTGCAGTATTTAAACTATTCTATGTATTGCCGGTTTGATTACGTAATACTCGTATAACTGTACTGTGATTTTTACTGACATTTTCACCGCGACATAACAGTCAGAAGTCTTCACTACAGATTGATATTGCACAATCAAGAATTATAAAAACAACAAAATCACTATTATAAACAATTTTATTCTTTCCCGGCAAAGTTTTTCCGCACTTTCCCGGCAAGCAATATAACTGCAACTGCATACTGATGTAGTTCGCAAGCAGTTCTAGTGACTGTGAAACCCTCACATTTTTATTTTTGATTCTGTTGGGTCGTATCCTTATAGAAAACACCGCCTTCTCCTTGGCTGCAATAACGACCTGTCGGTTGTAAGGCAATGAAACGATTTAGACAAAAGATTTAGTGAAAGAGTACTTTTATATTACTGCACACACAAACAGTTGTGATAGAAAACGATTGCCGTCCACCAGAAAATGACCATAGTGCGAACTTTAAGGTTGCCATTCGACCTCATTCCAGAAAGCCAGAGCAATACTGTTCACAGCTAGCTTGCTTAACGAATGCAAATCCAGACCGCGCAGGTCAACATCAGCCCAATTGATGGTGCTTCCATCCACTGTAAATCCACTGTACCTATACAAGGAGAAAGCGTGTTAATTTTGATTTTTGAACGCTAAGCAAGGTACACACTACACAGACTCTCGGTACAGTAGAGGAGATACCGTAGATATTCTTGCATGTTTGCTGTGCGTACCGACAGGGTACGGTATGTGTTAGTGTAATCGTTAAATCTTATGTAAATTACAACGCTAAACTTAATCGAACCGCGTCCCACTCCTCCGGATACGCGAGAGTCTCCATCCAACGTCGACGGATGCTCTCCACCCTCTCGTACATGGCATCCGGAATCGGAGGACAGCTGGTTTCCGCCGCTTCCAGCAAACTTCTCACCATGTCTCCGTCGGTGTCCGTTGAGCGGAGAACCAAGCGAGGAACACGATTCGCAAGGTCTGGCGATGCTTGAATTCGTCACTTCCCCATATACGGGCATATATCTTATCACAATCGGGAAGGTTATTAATTATTATTATGTTCATCTTGGAGGAAATGTCGTCAACAGTGTAGTTAGTCAGCACCAGTTGCCCACAAACAGCAAGAAGTCTGCGTACGTCCTTCTGTAGTCGAATAGGGGTCCAGGTAAGACCATCCATGTTGCGTTCACTGTGCATTCCGCGGTAAGATGAGCCCCCTACGACGTGAATAACGCGCACTTGCAGTTT